ATGAAGAAATAAGAGGAAACAACAAGTCGCAATGAAAGAGAATTCCTTTGCATGAAATCATAAATCATTTGTTAATCTCACTTCGAGTGTGAAAAGAATTTCTCGAATAAATTTTTCTTATTCTTAATCGGAGACTTTTATTTCACATCAACATAAAAAAAATGTTTCGCGTTAGGGTTTCATGCACGAATGAAGAAAAAAATAATATCGAAAACTTCTTTCCCTCTTTATGAATTTGTTGAGAAATAATTAAAACTTGTTTATTATTAAAAAAAATGCATTTTTTGGTTACTTCGTTATGGTTAAACGTTTCCATTCGGCAGTGTCGGAAATGAACATTACCGAACATCGTCTTGTTGATTTTTTGTTTTTCAACTCAAATAATTCTTTTGAAAACTGCGTAAGAATTACTAAGTAACAACACGACATCCGATTATAATTAACAATAGATTTTCTTACAACCACTGAAGTTGAAAACATTCTCTTTGTTAGAAACAACAAAATATCTAAAGGAAGAAAAAAAAACTGTTTTATGTAACAATTCGAATTGATTGTTTGCCGTGACGATTGTTGGGACAAAAGCTGCAACACTGTTTGGTTTTAAATTTCAATCATACTTATACGAAGTCAATGAGTATAATAAGTATAAAGTCTCGTGAATCGTGAAGTGATTGGATTCAAGCTAATTAACCTTGGCTTTTGACGGACAAATCTCGCAAATATTTTGTTAGGAAGAATGTATTGAAAACTCGCCCAAAAATAATTCACCGCAACCTTTCCCTTTTATTTAAGGTTTCTGCACCTGAAACCTTAATGTTTTATTAGTTGTTTCAATAAAGTGATTGCCTTGAACTCCCTTCCGTTTGTCTTTTGAATTATTGTCGACAGGTAAGAGGATGAAGAAATGGTTCTCGTTACAACAGATGAGACTTTTATCCCTGTTAAGACAAATTGGATTTGATGACGAGCTCGAATGGTTGCTGTAGGAGATTCTGAAGAATTTGCTGCTGCTTATATTTGAAATGACGAAACTTTATCGATGCTTTTTAAATGAATTTAAAACTATCAGAAGTTTGCAAAGCAAACAAGTAAATGTCAATATAAGCTTAGTTCTACTTTAATTTCATTATTGGCCAACAGTTTACTCAACATTTAAGTGGACTTAAGATAAAAACTCTTAAAATTAATCATTTTGCTTCTTCATGATATGATTGAGTAATCTTCCATCTCGATGTTCCATTCAACTTCCGAATCAATTAAGCTTCGACATCTAAAGATCGATAAGTAAAATTGAAAGTGAATTGAAGATGCTTGAAATCAATTGAAAGTGACTTTTATTGCGGCATCACATCAATCTATTTGTGTTTTTGTCATGTTGTCTACTCCAATTGAGAGCGGATTGCTATTTCACACGTTTCAACGTCTAAGCATCGAATCAAAGGCTGACGAAAAACTCACAACTTGATCTGACAATGCTCAATCATACAAGAAAAAAAAAACACTTTAAATCTCGCACTCAAATCAACAACAAATACATTGCGCAATGTCTTTTTTGTGTGATTGACATTTTCATTTAAGTGAATGAGCGGCGGCCATAAACAGAAGCTTTGTAAAATAATCTGCTTTAGTAAATGCACAGCTGATTTGTCATTTAAGACAAGACAAGACAAAGATCAGCAATTAAAATTGTCAATTTGTATTCACAATAATTATTTAAGAATTAATTTCAAATATTTAACATTCCAACGACGATGTAAATAAAAAGCAAACAGTTTGAAGAGTCAATTAAACTTAGGATAAATTGCTTCTGCAATTTAAAATCCGTTGAAGGCGAAATCAAAGAGTTTCTGATCCTAATCATGAAAATACTTTATTCTTTAATTGCTGACACGTGACGTACTTCGTTTGGGAACATTACCAACGATTGTTTCTGGTCTACTGCTTAGGGCGAAGTCCTTAAAGTTGAAAGAAAATTATTTCAAAAGGCTTCCTTTCCTTAAAGGCTGCTCGTTGTGTCTTACGGGTCGGAAAATTAATATCTTTCAGGCAGATGCCTTCAAGACATTTTCTTCTTCAATTAAACGAACATCTTCATCATATTTTTTATAAATGAACATGTAAGAATGAAATCATTCGTGACGAAAAATAATATCGTCGATTTCCTTTAATGCAACAAACTTCCATACGAGCTACATTGTTTCTGCATCGTATACGAACAATTATGAGAGCAGAATAAAATCTCTCGTCTTGATTCTTAAAAAAGCCTTGAAATAGGAAAATATCCTTGATCCAATTTACATTTATGGAACCTGTAAAAGATGCATCCAACTGCGCATTTTGCCATTACCATTAATTGAGAATGTCATGTCGTTTCCAAATACATTTCAAGCCATTTGGTTTGTGGTTTATTGGTACATGTTTTCGAGTGACAAATAAATTCTTTGATGCAATTGATGAAATAAACGTGGCTATCCTCCCATGCCACAAACATCCACCCCTGTGAATTTTCATACCTAAAGGAACACTGCTGTTGACAACGCAACAATAAAGCTCATCAAATGTTTTTTTTTCATGGGAATAATGAAATTATACGAACAACATCAAGCATGTTCTGTTAAATATTCCCGTGAAATTTCCGATTTTCCTCGGTGGTATTTAAAATCAAATTTATATTTGAATTTTGCTTAATTATTTAGTGTCATGCAATTCAAATATTTTTTTTTGTACATGCTTGAATTGAATGTCAATAACCAAATGCAGGTTATCTACAGAATGAAACCAAGATATTCGTTCTTGTTTCAATAATAAACATTTTAAAATAAACATTAAACATCCTTTATTAAATATTTCTTTTCCGCTGTTGCTAACAGAGAATTTTTTTCTCATCTGCTCTTGAATGTTATCTATCAATATTATTTTTACGACTTGAAACATGAAAATATTTTTTATCATCGCCTATGGTTATGTTTACGCTCATAAAAATTTGGTTGCTTTCGCTTATTCATATTATTATTATACATAAGAAGAAACAGCTGAAGTGCGAAATGAAGAGATTAAGAAAATTGAAAAATGTTTTCTTAAAAAAGATTGAAAATCATGTCGAGCATTAATAAAAATCATCTTTCTATCATTGCTTTTACAGCCGTCAAGCTAGTCATTGGTCTATAACTAAAGAAAGCCATGACCCAGCAATGTCATCAAGTTCACCAACCAACAAACCTACCATAAAACTAATGCAGCAGAAATCTATAGAGAACACACATCAGAGTCCACATCATGATCCACCACAAACCACAAAATTGAAAAGTTCATCAGATTTATTTGAGCTCCTAGAGCGCTGTCAATCCCAAAGACTAGATGATCAACGTTGTGTTCTTCCATCATACTTTTCACAGGTCTGTTCAATTTTTATTGTTATTATTATTATTTTGCTTCTTCGCGCTAAAAAATTGATGTTTTGATAATAAGTGACCTAGGTGAACAAATATATCGTTAAACATTTGTGCGATAGAAAATATATTTGTTCATACATTAATTCACATAAAAAGCGAGAGATGGCGCTGCTTATATCCAGTCGATATCAGCGTAATCCGAAAATTATTGAGAGTGAAGCATATCTGCGTAATCCGAAATAAAAGAGAGTGAGAATTCTCGAAAAAATATTTTGTTTCTTCAGAAAACATTTTTTCTTCGTCAGTCACATCGAGACTTTGAATAGTTAAACCACAACAGAATCGTGATCCGCGAATATTTGTTATCCATTCACAAGTCTTCTTTAAATCTTACGTTCAGATGTGTATGAAATCAACAATCAATAGGAAGTCAAAGTAGTTAAGCAAGTGATTTTTCTGTAAATGTGTGACATACAGTTTAGATACAACAAATAATATCAGCAACAGCCGATTAACGGCATAAAAGAAGAAGAATTTTTTGCATTCGTCAAAGAAATATATTCAAATCACATATGCGAGTCATTCAGGCGACTAAATAAATGAGAATAAAATGTGACATCATCTACTCAGTAATTCAAAAATTAAACAGAAAATCGAATGCGACTTGTGCTTCATTGCAAATAAAAAAAAGCTTGTTTGAAATTCAATGAGAGATTCAAGGCAAATGTGATTTTTTGCCTCTAAACACCGAAGTTACTAATTTGAAACCAACGACAAAACAATTTTAATCTACCGTAACAGTAGATGTAAATTCCTTTAAACTTCAGCATAACAAATGCAATTTTCTAGAGAAGAAAACTTGACTTCGAAACAAAAAAATTAATATAAAAAGCGACACAGCCCACAGTGAGTTTTCATGTCTCAAGTGAATAAAGTCTTTGGACAAAAAATAAAAAAAAACTTAATTGAAATTTCGGAAGATAAGCGAAATTAAAAAGTTTTCTCCCGCATCTCGTGTCTTTCTCGGTTAGTGTGTCAATTTTATGTCTTTGAAGATTAAACAAAATACCGAAAGAATGTTTAAGACAACACAGTTGGTCTCTTAAAGGAAAGACAATAAAAGATTATTTGTTGAAGAAGGAAAGAAAAAAATCATAATCAATGCTAAAAGAAACTTTTGTCTGTTAATTACGAAACAAGCAACAAGACAATTTTGGCAAATTGAATTAGAAAGTTTAGTTTTGCTGCCAAGACATCGAATAAACTCTTAGCGATAAACATTGTAGTGTAAATCTGAAATTGTGGCGAATAAAATTGATAAATTTAACAACAACCTCACGCCGCCCCCTTCTCCTTCAGTAAAACGTTCGAGCCACTTGTGGCGCGACATGATGGGGGTGCTGAGGCGAAAGGATTCAACAGCAGCGTCCAATGTCGCATTGGCCAATGCAATGAACAACAATCGCGTTTCCTGCCCAACCGGCGGGAATCGCTCACCATCCATCAGCATTTTGCGACATCATCGGTATTATTATAGTGAGGTTGGTTTCACTTTATAAAAAGTTTTGTTAGTTATTGCCCCTAAAAGTATTAAAAAGGCCTTTGATTTTCAATTATAATCGACGTCAAAAAATAATTTCTTTCTATAAAGTTCCACGAACAAAATTAAAAAGCTATTTCACCCTTTCAACATGAAAAGGATGCTTCCATCCATGAAATAAACTTTGTGGCAGTTTTGATGGATTGAGTCAAACCATCCAACCAGGAAAAGCGCATAAAAATTCTATAAACGAAGGTTCATGAACCTTTTTGCATTGGCATAGAAGAAAGGCAAACAACGAAATGCGATTATTCCTTGTCGGGTGGTTCTTTAATGCTATTGTTGTGGTTTTAGTTGCAAGAATGTATTTGAAAATACCTACTTAAAGTTACAAATAAACAACCATTCCGAATTCAGAATATGTAAGGGTTTGCAAAGAAACTTATGGCATATTGAAATTCCGTTTCTCGCATTCATTTCCTTTTGCTTTTATTTGGAGCTTTTTTCCGTCATGACACATTTACACTGCAATTTACGTTAGAATTAATCAAAATGTGGTTATTCGTGTCTGTGTCAATGACAGATTATGATAAGTAACAGTAAACGTTCTTGGTAGCCTCGATTCATGGTCATGAATGCTTCTAGCGTTCAGAAGATAAAAGTTAGACGTTTGTCTCATTTGCCTATTTTAAGATTCTTTCGATAGCTTATCATTGAGTAATTAAAGGAAACTTGAGTTTAAGAAATTCATAAAATAATAACATTAATTAAGTCAAACAGAAATCTGATGACTCGAGGGTTTACTTTTAAGTGAAATTTGCGTGTCAGCTTAGCATCGTTATTTCGTCAATCTCCACCCTCCATAAACTTTATTGTACACAAATTTAGAAATTAGACGGCGACAATAGATTGTAAATGCGTGGGCGTAGACGAAGGGAAAGCTCTTGAAAGGTGGTTAATTAATTGTCAATAAATGTTGACTCACGTATCATGGCTCCAATGACGGATGGATATGAATTCTTAAACGATATAAATTCATCGACAAATCGACATGAAAATAAAAGTCGAGTGGAATTGAAATACAAACGAATGTTTTAATATCCGACAAATTAAATTGGGGACATTAAGGCCAAGACAACAAGAAAAACTGAAATTTGTTTGCTTGCTTAGCGACAGCAGGTGAAATCGCTGAATTCCAAATGGCTTCATTCCATGAAATTTCGTTTTTCCGCTTTTTGGTTGTTTGTCCTTAAACTGCCAACAAACTCGTCCCCGTATAACGAATACTCGACGAATCTCAAATATCATATTTTATTTTTTTTGAGGGTGAAATTACGTTGAAGAATTCACGACATGAGAATTATCTGAAATAAAAATTCCAAAGTTCTCATGAGAAAATTGCCACCTGGCGCTTGATAGTAATGAAAATCCTTGTACATAAGCCTTGTTTTACTACTCTTTGGATAATTCAGTTTTATGTGCACGGATAGTAGCAAAATTGTCGTCACATAGAATTTCTTACATATTTTTAATAAAGAAAAGTAAAATAAAAATTCTTGAAGATTTTGCACAAAGGTCAACAAGGGGGAGTTGAGAAGTTTAGTCAAGAAGTTTATTAAAGATATTTATTAATAAATCAACGGATGTAATGACTCGTCAGTCACACAAATAATGCAAACAGTAATCATTATTTAGAAGTTCATCACACGCAAGCATTTTAAAAGAAGAAAACTAACAAACCTTTTATCCATTAGATCGTGACATGACATGCGAATCTTTCATTTCTAAACATTCAAATAATTATAAGTATTTGGCGTCAGAACTCTTGGCTCTCACCTTGCGATTAAAAGTTTCTTGTTAAAGAACTATAACGATTACTTTTATAATCATAATTACGTGGCTCTTGTGGAAAAGAAAAGCAAAAAACTTAATTTTATAACCGCGAGCTAAAGCGAAACGTGCTAGCTTGGAATAGGTTGGAAATTTGCGTATAAAACGTTAGTTTTTTATTAGCTTTTTCTTTTATTCCCACAGTAGCTCAATAATTTGCTAAAACAATTTTTTTTCCTTAAAAAGATGTTCTGATTAAAGGTTGAAAGCAATGTGAAAAGCTTCATTCACATCGCCGACGCGCATTACACATTTGGGGGCGAGTTAGATCATCGAATTTTACCCTGAAAAATCTCTCGTAAATATCATGATGATTGAAATTTAATGAAGCATGAAATGAAAGTATGGCGTATGTTTTCTACGAACTTTCTGTTCACCGAGAGGTAAAAGGTGGCTCAGTGGTGATAATATAGCAGAACACTCGTGTGGGAAACAACAAAAGGTAAAAAAGATATCACTTTCTGTTTTGTCGCTGTTTGACATTGATAGCTTAAATAATTCGATGACAGAAAAGGCAATTTTACGAGACTTCGGTCTGTTGTGGTTGTGACAATCAATCCAACTTTTCTCTTTGTGCCTCAAACATTCAAAGATCGAAACGACAACAGATATCTCTAACCTGTCACTCTTCTTTTCTAAAAAGATTCTTTGACATGTTACCTCAAGGCTACGACCTTTAGAAAGTTTTCATTTAAGACATCCCTCAAATCATGGCAGTTATTGAACGAGATTGCGTTGTGTTGTGCAAAAAAAAGTTTCTGTAGGAAGCAATTTCGATTTATTTGATATCGTTTTTCCATCCTTCGCCTCAAGATATTAATTCAAAGTGTTGCGTGTTGTATTTCATTCATCATGACTTCCATCGAAATGTTTTCATTCATTCCGATAAAAAAATTTAATTACTGAAGCCGGTTTGTCATTTATTGTTGTGAATAATTATTGTTAGAACTTTGCTTACATGTTGACTATGAAACAAAAAATAAAAGTGCTGCCATTAATTATTATCGGACGAAGTTTGTCGTTAAGTAAAAAACTAAATCGCTTAACTTTCTGTGACTTCACACACAACTTTTAAATGTAAATGAAGTCAATGCTGTTTACATCCACGGCAAATAAATATTAACTACGGGATTTTTTTGATTTAAAGATTGTAAATAATCGTACTGATTGACTTTGGCTGATATTTCATCCGTTGAAAATAGTTTAACGGAGTCTTAAATGTGCTAAAGAAAATAAGCTAAACGATCATGGAAATTTGGCATATGAAATCGATTTTCTCTTTACAACCTGAAAAATTCCTGATCAGTTTCAAACTGAAATCAGTTCAACGAGCTACCACTTTTTATAAGCCACAAAAATCAAAAAAATTCTTTTGAAATTACGAAGCCCATCAACCGTTCATGTTCTCTAAAATAACTCACCGAAAGTTTAAAGTCAAACGAAGAAGATTCCTGGCAAACGATTACAGAAACCGCATTAAGGCATGTCTTCCTTTGCAATCCAATTATTAACTCGAGACAGTAAGGCAGACAGTGGAGTTATTTAAGCTTTTCTCTCTCCTTCCTTCATTTCAACTTCAGTCAAACCACAAAAGGGAAGACAAAAGAAATTGCATGCGAACTGGGCATTTTATTACTCACTAACCTGTGTGTGACTCACAGGCATAAAACATAATATAATTTTGCTTTCAAAACTCAGCCACCAGCATGAAATGTAATAAATGAGTGAATGAATGAAGGAAAGAAAAAAAAAGAATAAAATTAAAATTCTTGACTTGTTTTTCATATCTTTTCGCTCTGATGATTTTCACCTTTAAGCACGTATGAGAAAACTTATTAGGGCTTAAAAGCAAACCAAAGACATTTGCTAAGAAGGGGAAAAGAATTGTGTAATTACTGAACCTTACTTCCCTCCCTTCTTGTTCACAACATTCGTCGTTACATTTTGCTCTTTTTTCTGCCCGTGAAAAATACATAAAAGAACATTAAAACAATAGAACTTGATCCATTGTTACACAATTTGATGGTTGAATCTTTCTTTAGTTTCTTGTGGAAAAAAATTCATGGAGAAGTGCCAAGATTGAAATAGAAATAAGAATTGTAATTTCAAGGCGAAGAAAAAAGTTTTTAACATTGACGAAGAATTCTTTTACATTAAGACGAGCAGAACAATGAACATTTGATTAATTTGACTTTCGCAAAAGTAGATATTTAATTCATTTTTTTGTTTTCTTATGGTAGAATTCTTGAAAAGATTCATGCATGGAAATGATTGTCGGAATTGTTCATTAATAAAATTATGGAAAAAAATATTGTAATTTGTCTTGAATGGTTACAAGTGAAGATAAACATATTTATTACGATAATTTAAGAATCAAAGTCCTAAAATGTTGAAGTCCAACCTTCAAGTTCATGCATTCTGGTTGTTTGATGCTTATTGAAAAATATTCCATAACTTCGACGTCATTTCAGTTCCCAGCTTAACCGTAAACCATTAATTAAGTTTCAAAATGTTTTCCAAGTCTCTCCTTGTGACCTACGATCTTCATTAAATAATCTTCGTAATCTTCAAAGATTTAAGAGAAGCTTTTGCAACACTATTGAAAAATGGGCTTTTTGTCTTTTCCATCTATTGCTTGCTGCTCGTTTATGCATAGCACCACGAAACAATGGATCCAGAAGAAGACGTTTCAAGACCATTTTAAAGATGTTTCTAAGCTGATAATAAATTTTTCTTTAGTTTCCGATCCGGACTGGGAAATAATAATTTAGATCTTGTAAAACAGTCGAAAAGAGTCGTGAAATAACTGTTGCTTCTTCTATCTGAATATCTTTTGTTTTACAAATGTAGAAAATGCTTTTTGTTTTGAGGCCTCCAACATGCAAAATTATTGAGATTCCAGCTCAAAAGTAACGAGAAAACAATTGCAAGAACAAGCTTCATCTAACGGTTCTCCACTCCTTCTCTCTTCCCCCCCACTGGCATAGGAATGACATCGAAATATCTCTTTAAACAAAGATTGTTTCTGATCTTGACTTGACGACTCGACTCGTATGTCTTTTTTATTCCCAAATCGTTAGCGAAGACTTTATTACCAATGTCAAGCTTTGTGGCTTGTCAAACATGAATAAATTCGATGATATGACATGACGCAAAGGAATATCACAACATAAAACATTCTTCTCCCGGATGATTTGAAGTCTTTCATCTTCTTTCTTCCTTACCAATCATTGAGACGCACATGATTAATGAAGTTTCTTCTTTCAAAGAGAAAATATTCAATCAATATTCATACAAGCTGTAGCTTCAGATTTTATCGCACATGTGAGGGAATGAAAGAAAGTAATTTACGAATCAGCTTTTAATTCATTCGCATCATTATTAATAATCAATGAGAACGAGCGAAAAATGTGAATTAATGGGAAGAGTAGCCGTAACCAGCTGTTTTAAATCGAAGTGCGTCTTCTAATTGAGTGTTGAAATGATAATTGTTCGATTCGTTTTTCACATCATGAGAAAAGTATTCGCTATTTTTGAAGGAGTAAATAGGAGTAACAGCTGCCACCACAGTCAATGTAAATAGACAACGAAGATAACGACCGAACGAACGAATGTTTATCTTCTTCACTCTCCACATTGCCATCGAATTTCTCGGAAGGGAATTGAGGGAAAAAAAGTTTTTATAGAATAAGCGGGCGACAAAAAGGGGAGAAGAAAAGTCAATGGAAGGGAAGGGAAGCAACAGATTATGTGAGAGATATGAATATGTTTTGAAGTGGATTATGGATATTTTCTCGACAACATATTCGGAATTTATAATTTTCGTTTGATTTCAATCTGTGGTAAATATTCGGCGAACCTTCGCTTCATTCAGGTAAAAAAAGCGACACTGGCTAATGTGAAATGTTTCCTTCCACATCGTTTCACGTCTTCATAGATGATTCGTATCAAGATTACCATTATTCCGAATAAATGAGACGAATGAGTCATCAAATGGCGGTGAGAAACGGCAATTTCACCAGCCACAGCTTATGTCAAATGTTCTTGTAAATTGCTCGCAATATAATTTATGTTACGATTAAACATTCTTGGAAATGCGAAGAAACAAAAATAACTAATATTTCATGTCGTGTTGTGTCAACGACCTTTCGCATTAATTATTTTCTTCACATTTCTCTCATTGGAAGCTCAACGATTCACACTCATTGGCGTGATTCTTTTTTTTCTCATCCAGAGATCATTAAGCAGAACGAAAGTTGATTATAATTGACAAATATTTACATAAAAATATTCCTCCATTGTTAAAGTGTATGAAAGGAATGAATTAATGTAAGAAGAAGGAAACAGTGACAGAAATAAATTGTTTGTGCAATGTTTCCTTTTTAAAATTGTTAATTTACGTCTCGAAATGCATTTTTGCATTTTAACGTTTTTAAATGAAATTCTCCTTAAATTATTCTTCTGGTTAAAAATAATTATTTATGTAGAAATGCGCTTTTCTAGTTTGAAGTTTGAGACTCAAACGATTTTTCACAAAACAACTCCATGAATCTTTTTCAAGTCGACTTTTCGTTTGCGAGATTAAAATAAACATGAAAAAGATTTTTTTAAAATGTGTTATGGATATGTTATGAGGTTTATCTCGACGGATGACAGCACAGTCACAAGTTTTATCATCCCAAAGTTCCTCTGATAACTACACAGTCGATTCAATTGTGGAGACTGAAACACTAAAATATTTTAAACTTTCATATTGTGACAAAATTTTCAATGAATCGTTTACAACTTTCGTTTCCTTTGTTAATTGAAGCTTTTTACTTTTTTGTGTTCATTTTTAAATCGGTTTGCTCCACCTACGCTCTCAAATCAATCAAAATATTTGATATCTCAAGACATCAAAGGTAAACATTTGCCCCAAGGAAATTGCTTTTCAAAACTTTTTCATTTATTTACGTCAGCATCGAAGGAAAGTATTCTTCTCGTAAAGGGAACAAGTTTCGATTCACTTAAAGCCCATCAAAGTATGGAGAGGAAAAAAATAGAATTCATGACCTAAATTTTCCATAAAACTTTCCGACGCATCTGCCAGTCATGGAAATCATTTTTTTTCGTCTTGGCTTCACAACATATGGGAAAATAATCTCCAGAAAATCTTAAAGATTTGCCTCAGTCAAATTTCGATCGATAGTCAGACTCGACATAAGAATTCAATTACTTACAACATCGTACACTCGAAACCTCTCACTCTAATTTCGGTTTTATGTTTGATACAATCGAGCGGCAAAAAATAAAATAAGAAATAAAAAAATTGGCATGCTAAATCAAATGCTGTTTATGTTTATTGGTTTTGACTCTTTCAAGACAATTTTGGCGTTGAACGGAAAACCGGTTTAGGGAGAGGAAAAGAAAAAAACATTTAAATAAGCAACAAATAAGAACAGAAACTCAAATGTGGGTCAAATTGACAAAGGAGAGTGAGATGGAAGAAATAGTAAATCGGTTTAACTTCTTTCGATTTTCATTTCGCAAAACAACGAGATTGAGAGTGGTTAAGTCAGAAAAAGGTCATGTGCGAGTTTCTATCATTTATTTCACCTTTGCCACAAACCCAAAAGCTTTTTTCTATGATCCATTAAATGAGTTAATAAGTTCAATATATTACATTTTGAAACAGCTGAAAGCGAACTGACATTCAACAATCGATAATTTAGCTTTACTCAAACGCAATTAGAATTTTAGAGCTTGATTGGAAACATGCAATGAGTGAGTGGCGTGCCAACGTCTTACAAATAATAATTCCATGCGAGATTTATGAGAAATTAAAACGAATTACTTAAAATAATTTTCAATTTTTGGCGTTGTTCAAGTCTCTTAAGCTCGTGCAGTGTCGTGATGATGACTATCATGTGTATAAGCGCACAGCTGCATGTTGTTACTTGTTCCACTAATAAATACTTTCCCTCTCTCTCTCTCTCTCTCTTTCTCTCTTTTTATTCTTCTTTCTTGTTTTATGAAAATTCAATTTAAACTTCATATGTATGACGTTCACTTTGGAGCTTGAGTCGAATCACAAATTGCTTTTTAAATGACATCAACGAATGAGAAAATGTTAAACTTGTTGATGATATCAGTGAACAAAGCGTAGAAGCTTACTTGGGGGGTTTTATCATCATTCATAGCTTGATTTTAATTATTCAAAGTATGGAATAGATTAATTCAATGATCAGAAGGAAGAAGTGGAGAATGTTAGTTTGTGTTAGTTATGGAAAAATATTTGAAATAGAAAGATTTAACTAATAAATAGAATGTCGCTTTAATTATTCACAAATGGAACAATGTTGAAGTTGAATTAAATGCTAAGCTTATACAAAGATGCATTAACATAAGTAAGCAGTGTGATGAGAAGAAGTCTTGTGTAACTTAATGAGTAAAAATATGTTTTCGTGACTTAATAGATTTAAAAACTCATTCAATAAATTTTATTTACCATCATAGTTTAATTATGCAAAAGAAATATCTGTAAAGGAAAGAAGAAGAAGAAATATTTCATGCTTTCCTAAATATTAAGAATGATTGGTAAAACTGCTGCCAGATGCAAAATACCGTAAAGTGAAATGAAAGAGAAATAAATATTTTAGATCTAAAAATAAAATAACAAAAAATTGTCGCCGTCTAACAACGGATGCCTTCTTGTTTGCTGCTGAGAGCTCACTTACTACATTCATTTAAAGAGATTTCGCTGATTTTCATTTTAAAATAATCTTTTTGAGTCATGAAAGTGATTTTATGACATCATATACACAAAAACCTTGTTCAGAGGAACAAACAAGCGACAGACAAAAACCAATTTTCAGTGTTTTTTTTTTCTTCTTCTCCGCAAGAGAATTGACATTAAAAATTATATTTTTATGATTCTTTCGGTTGATAGTTTTTCGTTTCACAAAAATGTTATTTTTTATGAACATCACGATCTAGCATAACACATAACTCGATGCTATTGTTATGAAACATGAGCTATAAGAGAAAATCTTGGATTAATTTCGTAGTAAGATGAGATCAGTTATTTTGATGATGGAAGTTGATTAAAATAACTTTTTCGAAGCTGTGGTAATCGTTTGATTTGATCACATAAAGCCTTTCACCATCGTTTATAGAAATTGAATGCATCTTTAAATTTATCTTCTTCGTAGGCCCTTATGCCTCAATTAAATCATCATAACTTTCTTAATGAAACGGTTGTTTTTTTATTTATGTTTTGTTTAGATGTTGAAATGGGAAACATAATTTAGTTTCCATTTGTAACCAATGTAAGCGAAGTAAAAACCAAATCGGAAATCGATCGCTGAAATTATTTTCTAGCTTCATTGTTTCCTTCATTTCTTGTCCCTTTGAGCTGCCTTAAATATGCCAATAATATTTAAACATACGTAACTGTCCTTGAATGTTTTGTGACTCTCTGTAATTCTCTCGCTCTTTCTTTCTGTAATTTATGGTCAATGTTGGCTAATATTTTCCCATGCAGTCAGTCGCTCGAACTTAAAAGCGATTCCCTCGATACCCATGAACATTAAAACGTGTTCGTTCTCGTGTTTCGTTTATTATATCTCAGTGAAACACAAAAACAAAAAAATACAAAACATTAAGCCATGAGAACTGAGTCATCGTTTATATTGGTTAAGTTACTCAATTTGCTTAGACAAGAGCGACAACTCGAAAAAAAGTTTTTATTTTGGTAGATAAATTCCATCGTTTAATGACGAATTTATAAAACGACAAATTCCCAGATGCATAATTTTTTTATTTTGTTTTTGGTTGATAACAGTTGAAGTTTGTCGCTTAAGATAAATGACCTCTGAAGGTCAAATTGTCATAAACAGTAATGTTTCATTCTAATTTAAAATATTAGCATTATCACTCATCGGTCGTCATCAGAATGATTTCTCACTGGGAATATCCAACAAAAATATTTATTAATTCAGCATGTAATTTAGCATCAATGAAATATACTTTTCCCACTCTTCATAAACAAGTATTTATTTGGTGATGAAATTGAAACGAAAATGAATAATTCAGATTTAATCAAGGGAATTTCAATTACATGTTTGTCTTGTCATGCCAAAAAAAAAGTTATGATCGAAACGAAGCGACTTCATTGCTAATGTTGATTCAGTGAAGTCATGATGAATACGGAATTGAGACGTTGAGATTGAATAAATTCAAGACAAGTTGCGTTAACTAACACAACACTCCATTTAAAAGACTAAAAAATAAACATCAAGTTAAAGAACAAACAAATTTTTTTTCTTAATTTTAAACCTGAACTTCACACCCAGAAAAATGAGACCAACGGAGACACAAACAGCAAGTCAGTTGTGAATTTTTGGGTGTGTTGTGGCATTTTACAACGCGCTTTTGTAATGAATCCGTTCTCCATTAATGTTTCATTTTTATATTTTTCCTTTAGTTACTTTTTTGCATTAGTTCACTCTTTATCATGATTCAGCTTAAACATTAAAAACTTTGGGTGCTTAAAGGTTAACCGAGTAAGCAATCAAGAGAGCGAGTGAATGTTGTGTGCTGTCGCTGTGATGATTAAAACAATAGATGATCTTTTTGTTTTTGCACACATAGCGCCAGACAGGGGGTTTATTACAAGCGAAAGGAGGATATGTTGATTTAGTTATCGCGCCTACACAACAGTTGGGCTTCTAAGGTTGGGCAGCTTATTGGAGCCACTTTTTAACAAATGTAAAGTGCATTTTTTTGTTGTGATATCTAAGTATCTATCTAAGGTGTGCTATGCCACCGCATCACATTTCATTTGAATACATTTTAAAGAAGAGAAATTGAGAATATGTTTTGTATGGGACATAAAAACATTTTTTTATGGGATTAAAGACATAAAACATAATTACGTTTGTGGGTTTATGTGTGAATTGTGTCGGTAATTTTAATTCTTTAAAGGCATACTGCATGAGACGTGGCTTCGATTAAATGAATGCAAGCTTCTGATTTATTTTTATTTCTTCTTTCAAAAGTATTTAGAAATGAATACGAAATTTATGAACTTTCCCCATGAAAGCTATAACAAACTCAAAGACGTGCTATAAGTTCAACACTTTTCATCGTGATCTCTGATCTTCTTCATATTCGTCTCAAAAAGAAAAACCAAAACATAAAAAGAAGAAAGAAAGATTTTTTATTTTCATTCACGTAAATGGGTCCATTGTGTGATTGAATTAAATTTAGGTCTTTTGCTTGCTGACACTTATCTCAGTTTCACTCACAACACAACAACGATGAATAAGTTAAGAAAAGAAAGTTTCTTCAACTCTCTCATTCACTCATTCAACGCCTTAATGACCTCACACAATCGTTCGTTCTCTCTACATCTGATCTAAAGTCATCAACCGGCAAATCTGTTGACACAAGTCGCAAATAAACACTTAAAAACGTTTTTTATTTTTGGCGCTAAACTGTCCCAATAAAAAGCGAAAAGCGGAATCTTTTATTCAAATTTTAAAGTGAAATTTCGCTTTTATGACAAATGTAAGAAAAGTTTTAATTTCGTCTTTTCAGAAGTCGTTCAACAAAATGAAGAAATTTTCTCATGACTTGTGAGATTTTTTCTTAATGTTTAGCTAAGATTGATATCGTTTAGATTGTCTCGAATTGAATCAATCAAATATATGTCAGATTTTATTAAGAAGATGGGAATCAGAAAGCTTAAAACCTGTTATTTGTAAAGATTGCAAGACAAATGAGAAGCGGTTGTTGTAATCCCGCGAACTTTAGGTCACTAGGCTGACTTTTATGTTTGCCAATCTATCATTCCACATTTGCCGTTTCTCTTTCTCTTCTTTTCTTTCTATGTCACTAAATCAGATAAATGTTGACGGTACATGATATAAATTGCAGTTCATTTTAACGGATTTCGCTGGAAGTTGTCATTGAACTTTAAAAAAGTCAAAGCAAAGCAAGACAAACATTCATAACAGTTCACAACATATTTCTAAGTATGTGCGTATAAAAGAATCATTTTAAAGTTTAAATTTAATTTCATTTGAAAGCAAATCGTACTTATTATTATTCTCTTGTTGTGAAACTTTAATTTCACGGCTTAAGAGCGAAGTAAAGAGCATCAAAGTAATGATTTCAGCCTTTTTTTATACACGTACTTACGTTGATGTTTTATTCGTCGTTCGCACTTGACGCGTATAATGATTCTCCCTGTGCTTGCTGTGAATTACGTCATGTCAATGATATGGGAGTGTTTTGATAATTACGTCACTCACCTAACTAATGAACAATTGCGCAATTCCCTAAAACAAACAAATGTTGATTGTAATTGGATGAAATTGACTGGAAATTAATTTTAGTCATTTATTTGTTTTAAAACATCGAATTGATGGCTATCGATGAAATATCGTTACGTGATTAGCAACCGTCCCATAAGCGAAAAAAGGCAATAGAAGTAAATCTAATGTGAAAAATGTTCACATCAACTTGGATCGCCCGCGCGTATTTGTTGAACGATCGTTTGCATGTAGATACAAGCTTAAGTAAGCTTACTTGATTTATCTTAAGATTCGCACATGGCAAGCATACGAATTACGAATTCAGAGATTCATCAAATGTTGACGACGACGATGAATTTTGTTGGGAACTCTTGAAATGTTCATCATCTTATTTAATTTTTTGTTTATTTGAAGGCGTTGATTATTAAATCTTTTTCTTCCTTCTTTAAATTCTGTTTTGCAGACATCTCGCGATCATCATCATCATCATGAGAATTATGAATCATCAAGCTATGGGGTAAATCATCATCCACAATATCAACATCAACAACAACAGCAACACTCAAACACGTCAACATTCTCACGTCATTCCATCAACACACCAATAAGTTCCCCGCCTATGTCGCCTGGAATGAATCATTACAACTCACAACATCAATACCAAAGTACCAGCACCAAATTACTATTGGAACAAATCCTTAGCACTACCAGAAATCCTGACAAACTACCAATGATTGTAAAGCCTTCACATGGCGGTTATTGGATCGATTGTGGACAAATTGATTATGATGATGAAACTGATCATGCTGAGAATGATTTTAATGACGACAACAATAACAACAACAGTCAAGAAGACAAGTTTGAGAATGAAGGTGAAGTTAATCGAATGATGGAGATTAAGATTGAAACAAATGACTTGGCACGCTGCTATCGGCAGCATTTCTACGGTCGTGAACATTCCAATTTAATTGGATTTGATGAGAATCAAGGTCCAGTGTTGATGTCAATCAAGCCTGAGTCAATTGCAAATCAGCCGCAATTGAGAATCTTGTTACGTCTTAAAAGCGGAACAATGCATGAGATCATTCCAACATCATGTCTTGGTGAGAATGCGACACCGATAAAGATCAGTCGATTGTTGAATGATCAACTGCAAGTCGACTCATTCACACCTATAATGTGTCCAATGGCATCGAATCTCATCGCTGCTTATGATGAACATCAACTTGTTATTAATTTCAAGTTTGGCATTTTGTATCAGAAATTCGGTCAAACGATTGAAGAAGAATTATTCTCGAACAATGAAACATCACAAGAGTTTGAAGATTTCCTGGCTTTGTTAGGCGAGAAGATTAAACTGAAAGATCATAAAGGCTACAGAGGTGGATTAGACATTCAAAATGGTCACACTGGTGATGCAGCAATTTATGAAGTATTTGAAGATCGCGAAATTATGTTTCATGTATCGACGATGCTTCCATTCACCAATGGCGATCCCCAACAACTCCAAAGGAAACGTCATATCGGAAACGATATTGTTGCGATTGTCTTTCAAGAGAAGAACACGCCATTCTCACCCGATATGATTGCTTCGCATTTTCTTCACGCTTTTGTTGTCGTACAACAACACACGAGATCGAGTTACAAGATTTCAGTTGCCGCACGCGATGGCGTTCCATTCTTTGGACCAGCATTGCCAAGAAATGGAATCATTGGAAAGAAACAATTGAAAGAGTTTCTTCTCACAAAACTTATTAATGCTGAAAATGCTTGTTACAAAGCAGAAAAGTTTGCAAAACTTGAATATAGAACAAGATCGTCACTTCTTCAAAATCTTGTTGAAGACTTACGTGATAAGACGAAAGATTTCCTTGGCGTTGATCCTGTGACACAACCAGAATCACCAGCAAAAGATAAAGAAAAAGATCAATCGAAAGCAGAAAGTTCTGGTGGTGCAAGTCGCTTTATAGACACCGTTAAGAAAGCTTTGATATCTCGTGTCAGATCACAATCAACAGCGGACGGATCAAACACATCAACACTTCCAAATGGAAAGAAACATCAGAATCATATAAGCTTTGAAAATGATCCAAACGTAAGTACTTTCATGACACCAATCAACTTTCATTTCTATTGACGACACAATGAGATTCATCTCGTTATCTCGAGTGATTAATCTCTTAACTTACTTAAATACGCGATACGATGTGGTGACGATGATACAAAAGATATGAAAGTTTGTTGTCGTTTTGTTATATCAATTCTTAATTATTCAAGCAGCAAGTAACACACAATTCACTTCCATCATGAATTACAAAGAAGGAAAATCATGCAATTAACCTGTAACCATCACTTGTTGGTCTCAATTTCAGTAAACTCCATCATCATCATCAATTTCTCTATCATGTTGTCTTTCTTTTTGATTAACTCGAACTATACCTTTCCCTTAATTGACTTAATATATTTATTTATCTTCCATGTTATTATTTTGGCAAGCAAGACTCAAAATGACATCGTAAAAATGAGAAGAAAATTGAAGTTAATTGAAGAAAAAATTTCGTTTTCGTTTTTCTATTATTTTGGCAACATCACAAGTAAAGCATTTTTTGAGGTCGTTTCCTTGTTGTTTTTAAGAAAGTAGACTTGTGAATATTTCATTCGTATGTTGTTTGTCTATTTAGAAGGAAGAGAAGAGGAAACTAATGGATTATATCAACAAAAGATGAGACACAGGATGAATTCATTTGTCGTCTAATGGCATTCAATATTTACTAACTACAACAATCATTTCTTAATTACAAAATCAAACAACTTTCGCTATTGTTTCTTTACTTAAAAAACTTAAAAAGCAACTTGAGAAACATTTAAAAATTTAAATAATTTATTTAATTTTGTTTTCTCATCAATCACTTGAATAGATCAACCGAACACCATCATCAAAGTCAAGTAATTTCTCATCTTCAAGCTCATCAATGGCAACTTTAGAGAAGAAATCACCAGCAACATCAAACAAACTCCCACATCAACAGTCATTGCCAACACCTCAAGTATCACATCACCAATTGCAACAGCAGTTGTCGCAATCATCGGTACAAAACAAGATCATCAGTAATGGTGAGTCGATGCAAGTGTCAAATGAACAACAAAGCGACAACTCGAGTTTATATAGTGTGGAACTTGAACCATTGAATGATGGTGAACATCGATTCAATGACAGTGATCCCGGCTTTGGATCTATGTCATCATCAGAACAAGCGCAGATGACGAACAATCAACTCATAAGACAGAATCAAATAAACGCTGAACAACAGGAAGTGCATCAAAAAGAAGTTGAAGAGTTGAAACAGGAAATAACGAAATTGAAGTGTGATAAATTAGATTTGTTAAGGCAGAATGTGGTAAGAACTTAGAAATTTATTTTAAACATCCAAATATTTTATCTTAATTATCTACAGACATGTCAACGTGATATCAAACGTCTAAGAGAACGTGAACTTTCACTTCAAGGCGACCTTTCTGCTGCCAGCAAAGAAATTCTTCGACTTCGCGAACTTCTGCAAGAATTCACAGCAACAGCAGCTGGCAATAGCACTACAATTGTTACCAACACAACAACGACCATGTTGTAAACTCACAGAGTTTATTTATATCAAATCATAAGAAACCTAAGAGACAACAAATCAGGGTAATTTAATGCTTTGAAACCAAAAAAAAGAATGAAAACGCAATTCAACATAAAGATCTTGGAAGTTCATAAAAATAAATAATTTTCCCAGCATTCATGAGTTGCGTGATGTGAGTTAGTGAATGGGGAGTGAGGAGAAGGGAGAACTTTGAAATTTCCCAAACTCAAAGCTCAGTTTTTTTATTATTATTTCTTATATTGTTGTGTTATTCAACGAAGGACAGTTGTTTTCATTTTTGTTAATATTTTTTGAAGTTTGCGAAAGCAATAATAAACCAAAAAAAAAAATCCACACGATGACAATCGCGTTTGTTTATCACGCTCTCATATCTTGTGTCTCGTTTTGTAAAGTTTTATGATAGATACTTACATATTTCTGAACTGAGAACGAACAAATTTAGCTGAATATTTAAGACTCCACAACGACTGCTACTCCCACCATGAACACAATTTTGTCGACAGACAACAAAAAAACTTTAATTCAATGTCGTTGTTGCTGATTGCAACAAGACAAATCTTATTTCTCATTGAGAAGGAAAAATGAATTAAACTTTTCCAGTTTATGTTTTTCATTCTTCTTTTCTTATCAACTGTGACAAAAGTCGAGCACCACTGGCTGACTCGCTTTGTCTTTTTGTCTATGTGACAATTTACATGCGATAAGAACTTAAAAGGAAAAAAAGCAGAAAAAAGAAAATTAGAAACCATAAAGATATTCAAACAAAATGCTTTTATGTATAGTTGTCGTGTGTGTCGTGTGTAGATATTTGGAAATCATCACAATCAGAAAAGGAAAGTAATTAGAATCTTTGCCCACTTAAAAGCTATTGAAGGAAGAATCTTTTGGGAATGTCACAAATTTTTTGAGAGAGAAAAAGAAAGTTTTTTACACAAACAAAAATGTTTAAACATGAAGACTGCTTTTTTTGGGACTTTTTTGACAGGGGAAAAGATTTATAAATCTCCCTCATTATGCCATTTATCATCACTACAAAATGTTATTAATGTGACATCATTTATACATGTACTAAACACAATATTGATGCAATACAAGGAAATTAAAATAATGATGACAAATTACATAAAAAGAAAAGTCTAATAACAATTAAAAACTATTTCTGGCTTAGGAGCTTCGTGTTACATGTTTTTTTTCTTTTTTCATGATAAATTGTTCCACATATAGAAGCTCGCGTATGCAGTAATAATGTAAATGTTTGTTCTCACAATATCACAATAAAAATCTCGCACATTCAAAGCATAGTCATCTCATCAGCATAAATCCATTACTAGAGATGAAGTTAATGCTGATAAATGTTGCAATTTTCCCTTTTTTTCCTCTTCTTTCTTATTCAACGAAATAAATATTTGAACGCCAATATTTGATGGGAAAAAAATATAAAAAGAAGAAACATTTGTAAGTTACCTGACATAAATAAAATTTTATGTGTTTTACAATCTGTGAGAATTGTATCATGTGAATGATTAATCAGCAAACGAGAAAGATTATCATTCACAACATTCCATTACATTATATTATGCGCTAGACAAATTTGTTTGTAACGCGTTCTCTTCCTTTAGTTTTGTGATTGTGAAAAACAAAACGCCATTGCTTATCTATGAAAATTGAACTTCACACTTCTTACTTTTATTATGAAACCAAACATCATAAACTCGCAAACTTGATAACTGAATCTTAGACTAAAGTTTCTTACTGTATCATCAAATAAATAATAAAAATATATAAAGATAAGCAACAATATAAAGAAGGAAAGCATATGATGCTTGGTAGAAGCATCGAAAAAAGAGGAGAAGTTTATAAAATAAACACAAGAAACACAAAAAAAAATCTTTTGTGCAATCCCAATAAGTTTTAATTTCTATTAGCACGAGTCAGTAAAGTATTGGAAGCATTCACAATTGACGCAAAGTGGTATTAATCAGGTAGAAACTTTATTGCAAAGAGTTTTCAGTATTTATCGAAATATAATTTTTAAGTTTATTCTTCTCTCTTAATTAATTTTTTGTTAAGTTGTGAAAACTTCCACTACTAACTGACTGCATCTTTGTGCATATGTTCATTAAATTTCATAATCATCGTTGCACTTTCTCATCAATGAACATTTTTTAATGAATCACGAATTATTTTTTAGTTGTAAATGGCAAATGAATAATTAATGCATAAAAGAAGCAGCAGCAGAAAACATGATATGATTAGTAAAATGAATTAAGTGTTCAACATTCGATAAAACCATTCAATTATTAATGAATTTTAATTTATCACATGAGAATATTGAAGTTTAATTAATCAGGAATCTGGAAGATCCAAAGAAGCTTTTGTGAAAGGGAAAAGATGAGAGAAATTACTAATAGATATAAATATTTGATGGTGCTTGAAATAATGATTGGAAAACTTTAATAAAGAAACATGAAAATATTTTTGTAATGAAATTTGAAAAGAAATTTTGTAGTGGGCCAGCAGGCAGGTAGACAGACAGGTGTTACAGAAGTACTCTCATAATAAGTAAGAAACGTGAAAAAATTTTGTTTATTGGCACCACTAAAGAAAAAAAAAGGTGTCGAAACGTTTTGGCAAAGAAAACTGCTGCGAAAATTGTTGTGTTAATTATCATTTCTCATTAGCAATCATCTCTTCTTTATTCATACTTAATATTGTTTTTCTTCCTTTCTCTTACATCGCCAAATTGGCATTCGAATAACTGTAAATATATATCTTAAGCATAATTTTCATTAAACGAGAAAGAAGGCAAACAGTTTGTTTTTACACATTAATTTAATTAGGATTATTTCGTCTTAAGATTTCCATTTCATTTTCGAATTATTTACAAGGTAATTTAATTAATTCATTAATACTAACAGAAAAGAAAATTGAGACATACAAATTTAATTTTAAACAATCATTCAAAGAAAGTGAAAAGATTGTGCAAGATTGCTTTAAAAGAAAAAGAAAGAAAAAAACTTTAAATATTGCACATGAAAAGCTGTCAGATGTGAAGAGAGAAAGATATCAAACCATTTAATTAAATGTTAAAATGACATGGAAAAAGTGTTTGTAGAAACTTATCATTAAAAGTGATCTTCATTAAACGAAGTCACTATAACAAAAGAAACATACAAAATATATTCATGATTAAAAATCAAAGAAAAACTTTTGTTTTATTTTTGAAACTTTTTTCAGATCAAGATTAGTTTAAATCCATGGATTAAGATTAAACTAAGTTCTTTATCTAACCCTGCACGTTAATCTAACTCCGAAATTGATTTAATTCATAGCAAAACGAAGACAAAAGTTCAACGAATTTTAAATAGTTTTTCATCAAATTGAAATAAGAAAAGACAAACAATTTTATTTTATATACATCTTCATGTTTTTGCTGATGCAATTTTATTTTCATTCTTCTTTATCATTTGACATTACACGAAATTATTAGTAGAAAGTTGAAAAAGGAAAAGATTTTTTTTTATTTATTGTTGTTGACAATGGGAAAGAGAAGATGTAAATAAGTAAGAACCGTGATGATGCTAAAGACATTATTGCTCAGAAGTTCTGCAAATGTTTGTATAAGACAGCAGAGTATTTGCTTTAGGACAGAAGAAAATCAAAAGTTTTATTCTCCATTATCAATCAAAAGCTCATTTTTCATTTTGAATGTTTAAACGGAAAATTCATTTAGATTAAAATTTCATTTATCTTCTTCTCTTGTTTACATAAATTTTGTTTCACGCTTTTGGAATGACAATTAATTAATTCTGGCATCGTATAAAGATATTTAAAGGTTCACGAAATCGATTGTTTGCTGATTTAAGCTTTCTCAATAGCGTCGACATTCTCATCTGTATTTATTATGACTCATAAAACCAGTAAATATGTCCGTAACTAAGATTTACTTATTTATTAAAGTGCGTGGGCGATTACTTTATTATTAAAGTGCCATAAACAAAATTAAACTTTCAAACCAAACAAAAGGAGAAATAAAAACTTTTGCATTACCAAACATTTGAACTTTTCATCTGTTTCAGAGATAAAAAAATTAACTTTTTTTTACAGTACATGTTAATTTACATTGTAAATTAAGTTAAATGTCTTACTCTGCACTTTAATCATGAATTATTCTACTTTTAACAGTTCCTTTAATCAATTACTCCCCCGCCAATCACAAATTCTCTTCTTCCACATTTATAGATTTTTTTTTATTTTATTTCTCTCTTATTGTTCACCAAATTAATTTTGTTTCTGCTGTTTTGAAAGTTTAAAATTGATTTTCAGATTTCGTAAGTACTAAAAGTTCGTTCAATCATTTAAAGACTAAAAAGAAAAAGTTTGATGAGTTCCAATTGATAGAATTTTCATTTGTAAGGATCTAAATACCAAATAAAGAAAGCATGAAGGGTTTATTCACCAGTTATGTCAATTTTTGGAATTATTGATCAAGTGTACAAGCTTTAGAATTAAACGAATAAATTATTCAATTCAAGAAATAATTATAACAAAAAAAAAATTTTTGACATAACTAATGAAGACATAGAGGAAGAAATTCCCTTTAAAACTTCATTTATACTAAATCTTTAATTAAACTTTTACATTAATTTTCCTTTTATAGATGGTGGAGATGACAGATGACAACAAACGAAGCTTCTCCATCATCCATCTTATTCAACATCCATTTCTACTTCGCCACTTTTGTTTTGATCATTTGTCTCTTCAGTCGACTGTTCTTGTGATCCATTTTGTGGTGCTTCAGTTTTGGCTGGTGGCGGTGTTGCAGGACGAGGCTTAGGGCGATTTAAAACTGAATTAACGCAAGTTGTAATCGTATTGTATTCGTGACGAACATCAGCAATCTTAATTGGTGGATCTTGTGTTTTCTTCAACGTGCTTAACTTTCCACGAGCTTCTTCAAACCATCGCTTAGACTTATCAGCTTGTTCAGTGATGTTGAGCATTTCAGTCTCCGTTAAATGATCGTATTTTGGATCACCGCCTCTGTACTGTGCAACTGCTTTGTACGACATTTGAATAGCATGGCCAAGTTCATTAAATGCTTGCTGATGACCTTCGTACTCTGTTTGACGATTCTTAATTGGATCAGTTTTCTGTTGTAATTCATTGAGACGTGTTCGATACATTTCTCGCTCGCATGATGCGCCGTCTTCATAGAGCCAATTCTCCATATCATCAAGTTGACGACATATCTGATCACGAATTTGATCTTCGATATAGTCATAAAGATTTCCACCATATTGCAGCTTTTCACGCATATCATAAACAAATTCTTCGAGTGCGTTACGAGCATCGACACGTTCCATCTCTTGACGATCGTTGCTGATCATTTTACCCTAAAGAAATATTTTACTTTTTATTAAATTCACAAACAATTATCTAAAACTTACCTCAAGCTCAAAATATTTATCAAATTCAACCTGAGAATATCCATGAGTGCGTGAAACTATCGGCAATTCGATAACTTTATTCGATTTTTTCTTTTTCTTGTCATCCTGCATAAAAGAAAAGTTGAGAAAATTATTAAAATTAGTTTAATTAATAATTAAATCACTAAATGAAAGCAAAACATTCAACAAAAATTCATGAAAGAAGTTCGAATAGAAAAGAAGGTGCCAGCAGTCATTTCGTTTCTACTTAACAAATATTTTAATTAAAAACAATTTTTGAAGTGAGAAAGAAAGAGATGAAGGAACAACAGAAGAAAGAGATGGAAAATAAAATCCTTTCGATCATAACAAAACTTAAAAGGAATATCTAAGAAATAATAACAAAGAACAAAATAAGCAAATTAAACGTACCGAAGAGAACCATCTGCTGATACGATGTGTCCAGCCGGTTTTCTCATTACCCGTGTCTTTCGTAGGACTTTTAACATCGTCATCACTGCTAGCACCCTGCACAACGTGTTAAGGAGATTTTTTTAATTGAAGTGTGAAAGACGCATGACATTAGATGGAGGGAATTTTAAGAGAAATGAAAGAGAAAAATCAAATCACGATTAGATTTCATCATCATCAGCAAGATGGTCGTCTTCAGGCGTGGCGTAATAATAAAAATGAAGATTTATGGGAAAGAGCAAAGATTTGTGCGAAAGTGAAAGTTACAGGGCAGGGTGTAAGCAATTTCTTTTTTCTTTGTTAGTTAAATTAATAATTATTAAGAAAAGGAAGAACGACAAGCTCCAAAGTCCACATCGAGAAGAAATAAAATAAAAATTAAACTCACTTCTTGTCCACTTGTGTCCATTGGTTCACCAGAAGGTGTTTGACTTGGTGTCGCATCAGGTGATGGTTGTTGTGCTGCTGCGGCTGTTGCTTGATCATTTTCACTGCCGTTTTGCTGTTGTTCTTCTTGAACTTCTCGCTTCTCAACCATCTGAGCACTTGAGATTAACAAAATACCATTGTGATTAATACGAACTTTAACTTTAACTTCTTGTGCATCCCCAGTTGATGATGGCTTGACATCATTCACTTTCCATTCACCTAAAACAAAATTGAATTAATAAATTTATAAAAATTGTTTGAAATCAAATTTAACTTACCAACAAACGGATCTAAGCATGGAGATGGGTCAGCGTAGTAAAGTTTCACAGCAAATGAATCTCGACGTGCCATTGTGAGTAAACGACTGAAAGGAACAGCATGATTTGCTGGAAACACTTCCATATCCGAACGTTGTCCATTTTCATTATCAAATGTTATCATAACTGAATAAGGTTGAATGTCAGTGACACTAAAGTCACGAACACGAACAGCAGGCGATAAAATTGCACATTGCAATGCACCGCCACGTGAAACCGCTTCATCTTGATTGATTGTTGTACTTGAAGTCTTACCAAAGATCTGTTCAATGAGATGCTTCACAGCTGGAATTCTCGACGATCCCCCGACAATCTCAACTGAATGAATTTCGTCCAATGTCAACTTTGAATCTCTCAGGCATCGCTTCATGACGTCTTCAATGCGTTGGAACAAATTTTTACAAAGTTCCTCCATATCAACTCGTTGAATTGACGATTGAACGTCGACATCATTCATGAAACATTCGATATTAAGTGGAAGTTTTGTGCTATTTGCACTCATTTGTTTCTTCAATTTCTCGACTTCAGTTAAGAGACGAAGGAAGGATTTCTTGTTGGAACGTGGGTCAAGCTTATATTTTGTCATAAATTCTTTTCTAAAGTGTTCAGCAAGCATCATGTCAACATCACGTCCACCAACAAGATCAGAAGTTGCTGCAAGCATCTTCAATTTTCCTTTGTTGAAAGCACAAGCGGAAACTTGAATAGCACTGTGACCAAAATCAACAAACACAACATTTCGTGACTTCTCTTCCGGTTCCGGTAAATCCTGTTTATAAAATCCATAATTGAGAGCTGTTGCAGTTGTTTCGTTGATCAATCGAAGACAATTTAGACCAGCAATGCCAGCTGCATCAAGAAGAGCTTTACGCTCAGCATTTGTAAAATATGACGGGACTGTGATGACACAATCATAGATTTGTGTCTTTAATTCAGATGTTGCATCAACTTTGAGCTTTGTTAAGAGCATTGCCGTGATTTGTTCCGGTGTAAAGACTTGTTCCTCGCCCATGTAATCAACACGAATGCCAACTGATCCATCAGGCCTTTCCTCAACACGATAAAGTGTCGATTGAAGCTCGTTTTGAACCACTGGATCCTTAAATTTCCTTCCCAAGAAGTGCTTGAATCCACAAACTGTGTTTCTTAAATTCGTCACCTGCTGATTCTTAGCAGCAACACCAAGTGTTCGAGTGTTTCCTGTAAAGGCGACACATGACCTAAAAGAAAATTTTACAAAACCGATATTAACGTAACGATGATTTAGGCGCGATGATGTAATTAAATAATATTTGTGAAAATGAAATAATTTCAGAATTTCAGCGATCTAAATAAAAAATAATCCACCCGGCAGTCATCGACGGCATAAACCATATTAACCACCCACTCATTCAAGTTAAAGAAGACAAAATAAATTACGAAAAAAAGGAAAAGAATCTTAATGTGATTCATCTTTTACAAATTACAACGCAGCTCGAAAAGAAATTAAATCAAATGAGATAAGCTTCTGAAGGAAAATAAATATAAACAAGCACATTTTTGATGTCGAAGAAAGTTCTGTTCATCGACCTGCTTATTGTTTCGTATGTAAAGTACAATTTTCTATTAAATTGCATTAAATAATAAATAATCGTGGTTTGCTATGATTTTTAAATGAAACCAGATGTCTACAAGAAGAGATTAAGCCTATTTATGGCGTAATCCCCGATAAACACTGAAAAAGGTAATAAGCCAATCGTGTGCAATTACAGACAGAACGACACTTTTCTCCATGAATTGTGAAATCGCATTTTTAAGCAATGTTCATCGTTTCAATGCCATTTTAGGCCATGAATGGAGAGTTTATGAAGAGTTCAATATTTAACATATGAGTAAAAATATTAACACAAAACATTGATTGCATCCCATTAACAGCTAATACATCAAATAAAAGTATGATTTTATGAGAATTAATAAGCAAAGCTGCTTGAAACAGAAGTAGAATGAATTAACATTTTTATTTATACATCAGGTGATTTCATAGGAATGGAATACTAAATAATGGTAATAGTGTTTAATGATGCATAACGAAATATCAACAATATAACAATCACTAACATCGGCAATGGAAAATGAACAAAGAGAAAATTCTGGAAGTGAAAATCGATAGTTCCAGAATTGTCGAGAAATAAATTGAAACCTAACCTCAAAGTTACAATTTAATTGACTTTCTCTTCAGAATATCTTAACAAGGAAATATACTTACGGTGTAGCACGAAGACTGTAATCATTAGCAATTGTTTCAATGCCGCCAGCTTTTGCCACCGCCACATAGCAAGACTCATTGCCGAAATCTATTCCGATTACACTCATCTTGATATTTTTTGAACTCCTGTTTTAAATTGATTTCTAAAGTTTAAATTTTATCTTCAAGGCGCAACTGTAACTTGATTACTTATTACACACTTCTGAGATAAAGTTATAATTAAATGATCAAAGAAATTAAATGAATTTTTTATTTTCTCGTCTTAACGTTTCGAAATTCAAGAATTAACTGAAGAGATCGTTCAGTAATGTAACGAATTTTGAGAGGACAACGATTTTCTCGAAAGTTCCACACAATGACTGAATTTTCGATTCTCCCCGATGTTCGAATTGTTTCGAAGTTATTTACTTCATTTTCGAACATCATTTATTCAGTAAGCACGAAAATAATTTAATTTCACATTTTTTAAATATCTGCTTATCGAATCATGTTCAATGCAAGCAGACTAGTATTGAGAAGAAGTTTAAGCAGAATACAACAAATGACATGGAAACAAAACTCAATTAAACCACCAATCGTTAGTTATTTCAATTATTGCACAAAAACACCAACAATATCGTCATGTAAACAAACGGAATTAAATGCTGACAAGCCTACAGATCAATTGTCATCAGTACCTTTAGGACAATTAGAGAAGAAAATGCAAATGATGTATACTTGTAAAGTTTGTGGCACAAGAAACTCACAAACAATATCAAAAGTTGCTTACAGTAAGTAAAATCATCTGAATAAAATTTTAAAAATAATTTAAATATTCTCATTGTTAACAGCACAAGGTGTTGTGATTGTCAGATGTTCGGGTTGTGAAAATAACCATCTTGTGGCTGATAATCTTGGCTGGTTCAAAGATAAGAAAGTAAATATCGAAGACATTCTAAGAGAAAAAGGAGAAGAAGTTCGCAAAGTCACATTAGGAAATGAGATTGTTGAAATAGTTCAGAATAAATTAGAAATACAATAAAAGAATTTATCGTTTATGAAAATATCAAAAAGTTTTTTTATTGCAAAAATATTTCGCGTATCTTTCGTAAGTACAAAAAACAATCATTAAAGGCACTTAACTCAATACTGGACGTTTTTCTTTCTTTTCGAATATTATAATAAATGGAAAACAAAAATTAACAATAAAATCAATGATATTCAATGTAACGGTTGAAAGTTTCGGTAACGATTGAAACTAAAAACAAAGTACGACGATGATAATGAAACCAAAATTACATTGAACGTCAAAGATCTCAAAAGGAATGTAACATTAAAATTGAATTAAATCTCAAAAGTTTCTTATCATTTTTAAGGAATATGGAATGAAATGAGAAAAGATTTTTAAAGTCAGATGACTAAATTCTATGGCAACATAATTTCCTATCAGATTCTTTTCTTCAGACTCTTTTCGGTTTGCTTACAATCGCATAATCCAATCCATTATATTTGTGATGATCCAATAACTCTTCATCACTTAATACGACAGTTTGTGTTGTTGAAGTTGATGAGAAGGAAACAGCAGTTGATGAAGTTTGTTGTTGTGGTAAACTCGTTTTTCTTATCACACCATATCCAAGATAACTATCGTCAGCTAACCGCGATGGTGCTAAATGTGGCTCGGGATTGGTTGGAATGTCATGAGATGTCGAAGGCAGTGATTGAAGTTCAGTTGGTGTAATAATCTCGTAATCGTCAGATACTGGCGGTTTCTTTTTCATAGGCGGTGGAACGATTGGAACAATAGTTTTATATCCACTGCTTGATGAACTTGCTTTGTTGCTAGTTGGAAAGAATTCCAATCGATCATAATCACTTTCATCATCATCTGTTAAACGTTCCAACTTTGTAACTGATACATTTGAATTATTCACACTCGTCGCACTCTCATTAATATCAATTATGGAAATCTTTCTCGTTTCGTTTCGATTGAAAGATTTACTTCGTTGCCATGCGAATTCTTGAAGTTCATCTTCGGGTGTTGAAACGTGTTCAGTATGTTTAGGTTCATCAATTCCCAATGTTTTCCACGCTTCAGTTATATTCTCAATGCATTCGTAATCGCGGGCCATCGATTTATTTCTTTCTGGAGGCGTGGGCGGGGAATCAAGTTGAACTAGTGTTTCATGAAAGTTTGGATTTAATCTGTCGCTTGAGTTCACTGTATGTAAAGTCTTTCTAGGTGGTTTGTTTGGAATTGAGATTGGAAGATTTTTAACTGGTGGCGTTGGTGGTCCAGGCAGAAATGGAATGTTTATCGAATCTGTTGATGACAAAAATCCTCGAAGTGATGCATGCGATGTTATGGAAATTTCTACATCTGGTGAATTTGGTGAATTAATGAATGGTGGCAATGGACTTCTCGATCCAGCTTCCATTGATAAAGCTGCATTCAATTGGTTTTCACCACAGTCCAAACTTCCCGAACTGTCACCATTAAGAAGTTTCTTCATTGATTTCATCTTAGACGACATGCAACGAAATATTTCTTGTGGATTTGCATGATCTAATTTAAAAGTTCCTTCGCCTGTGTCACATTTACGACCAGCTTCGAATGTGAACTTTCCATCGCGATAGCCATACTTACGAATGTATCGATATGGCCATTTTGCAACGATCACACTGTCGTCATCATAACTTCGCAATTGGATTTCTGTCATAGTTAATTCAAGAGTATAAATTTTCGGTTCCAGTTTATTCTTAACTGTGATGTCAGTTGATATTAAATTGCAGACAAACTTTCCTTCCGACAATGATGAGCAGTAAAGTTCATTGTACTCGACTATAGAATTTCTTTTTGACTGTGCTAGTTTATCGTTGAAGGCAACAGACTGCAGTGATTTTGTCCAAAGATTTAATTCAGTTTCGTTTGTGCATTGGAAGACAATTTGACCAGATTTTGTAAGGACATTTATGAGAAAGGCTGGTGGTAATGGTTCAGAGTTGACTTTAATGCAATTCTCGAGTGTAACTATTCGAGGATTCTTATCAGTCTCACTATCGGCAATCTCAAGACGCTCAATTCCTTGGCTGGATCGTGCAAAAAGCATTACGAAACGTTTCTAAAATTAAAATGTGGGAAAAAAAGAGAAAAAAAAGTTTTAAAACGGAAATACCAATGAATATGTGAACACTTAATAAGCAATCTCGCAGAATTTTGAAAATATTAATAATTCAAGAAGTGTACATATGCAAAGAATTGTGGAAAAAATTTGTGTGTGTGAGAGTTTGCAAAGAAATATGAGATTTTTGAGTCATGCTCGCATTAAAAATGTACCTTTTTAGGATTCTGTTTGATATTAAAACCGTTTTGGGACTTTATCAGAAGAAATCCCGTCAGGACACAATTTGAGTCGCAACTGGTGTCTGACATAATTTTTTTTGTTTTTATTACAATAAAATCTTTAATCTAGTAAATTTATCAGTTAAGGCACATATTAGAATCACTTTATTTAGTTTCTAAGTATAACCGTCATGGAAACGAAAATATGTGACTATATATAAACATACAAATATCTTTCCAAACTAATTAAATTAAAGAAAATCAAAAATGTTAAAATGTATTATTAATTGCGAAACTTCGGGATTGTACGAATTGACTTCATTCGAAAATAAAGAAAAACATTTTCGAAGCGGGAAATTTGAATTTCTTTCAGTTACAAGTGATGTGATGAAATTTATTAAGTTTAAATCGATGAAATTTATTTATTCTGTCTATAAAAGTATAAACGAAAATATTTCTTATTGATAAATTCACATCTACTTTACAATTTATCAAATAAGAAAAGTCTTCCCTGGTTTGTCTCAGTTTTCATCTTCTTATTAGATTCCATTTTGTTGTTACTTCCATCAGATTTTCTCTTTTTATTATCTTCTTGTTTTTCAATTGGAATGAAGCTCATAGAACTTGTACCATGTGAACTAAGATTAGATATTTCGTCATCCTTTCGTGGAAGAAAACTTGCAATTCTTTTAAGAGTTTGATCGTCACGTGCCAAGAATGAAGATCGTTTGTATCGTTGCATATCTGATGCTTTAATCAAAAATGCTGAATTTTTATCGAGAACTGTAGTTGAAGCTTTCAAAGAGCTACTGGATGTAGAACATCGATATTTAATCAATTTACTCATGCTTGATGTTGTGACAGTTTGGCTGTCTTGATCAAAAAGCACAACACTGTCGCTATCTTCTTCAGGATTCTTCAATGCATGTTCCCGTAATAAAGTCTCCCGTTCGTGTCGTTCTTTACGCCACTGAATCTCCAACTGTTCATCATCTTCATCATCATTTTCATCTTGAAGATTATCATCTCCACCTCTTGCATTATCATTATCGAAAGCAAAGTCGTTTGTTTGATTTTTCCATCTAAATTTTCTTTCACGTTCCATGCCGTCATTTTCATCGTCTTCGAACAATAAATCTTGCAGCTTTTTGACATTTTTTATGTCGTCATCAAGAACTTTACGGGCATGAATTCTTCCAACTTCTTCCTGCAATTTCTCTTGATCAAATTGTTCTTCATCGCCTAATTCAAGCTCAAGCTTGTCCATTCCCATTTCATCTTCATCAGCTGATCCCCATTCTGAATCTGATAATTCAGCTTCCTTCTCGAAGTAATCACTAGCAGCTTTGATTCGATCTTTCTTCTTCATCTTTACTTCGATTTCATTTTCTTCTGAATCATAATCGACAAGAACTTCTTCTTCCTCTTCTTCCACTTCTTCGTCCTCGCAATCTTCAACATTTTCTTCATCCTCAAACTCATCATTTTCCTCGTTGTCTTCCTCGTCATCAGAAAAGCCTAATTTTTTAGTCCTTTGTTTGCGTTTCTTCTTCTTTTTCTTCATCTTTTTCTTGTTGTTGACTTCTTCAATGTTTTCTTCCACTTCATCATCGCTTGATTCGAGAAGTTTCTGACGATTTTTGATTGGTGATAAAACTTTTCCAGCAGTTGGAGTTTCTTGATCGATTTGTGTTATGAATTGAGAGTCTTCTTGAACTTCTTCAGTTGCCGGAACTTCAGTTACTTGATCATCTTGTGTGGGTGCAAATTGTCCGGAAAGAATTTCCATAAAATCGTCATCTTCTGGTTGTGAGAATTTTTCATTGCACAAATCGCTAATTCCATTCTGTTTCTTCTCAACAGAAACACTTGGTTCACTGAATGTGAAGTCAGCTAGATAATAAAAAAATAGAAACTATTAAATTGACAAGAAGAAATTATAAAATTAAAACTTACAAGGTTGAGTACTGAATAAGTCTTCGGATCCTCTGTTAAAGTGTTGTGATTCGATTTGGTTTTCTTGAATATTTTCTGTACTTTCAATATTCTCAGATTCAGATTCTTTATTTTCTTCAACATTTTCCAGTAACTTTTTACAACTTTCGTCATCTGAATCTTCTTCAAAAGCTTTCAAAATTCTTCCTTTTTTAGGAAATGATTTTTCGTTTTTTTTTGTTTCTTCTTCGTCACTAGAAGAACTTGAAGATTCCTCTTCATCTTCAGATTCATCTTCATTTACAGCTTCATCGTCAAGGAACTCGCAGACATTTTTCTTCTTCTTACTTTCAATGAGTTCTTGTTCTTCCTCATCATCCTCTTCGTCTTCTGCTTCAATTTCTTCATCACTTTCATCATCATCTTTCTCTACTTCATCTTCTTCATCTAGATTTGATGGTTTTTCTTCATTTAATTCGAGCTCTTCTTCCTTTGTTCTGACCTTCAGTCCCTTCTTGAACAGTTCCAAAGATTCTTTCTTTGCTGCTTCTTGCAAACTCCCTTTCCATTGTACACGAGCTAAGCATGGACGTTTGGAATCAGCAATGTTTGATCCGGTAGGATCTAAAGGTGATGATTTTGGAAGTGTTTTAAAAAGACGTTGACGGAGTTCTTCAGGTCCACTAAGTTTTTTCGGCTGAATTAATCCCGTTTCCAAGTCAATGATCATATCTCCTGAGTACATTTCATCATGAGTCTTTGAAGTACGAATTGAAGGCTTATGTTCAATATTTCCTTCATGCAAATTCAATGTGGCTGGCAATGGTTCATTTTTGTATCTTTCACGAATTTTATCGAGTTCAGGATCATCACTTTTAAGCTCAGCTTTCTCAACATGGTTATCAGAAGTTTGTGGAACGTCGTCAGAATTCGTTGAAATCTTTTCGTAAATTTTTTTATCTTGCTCAGGTTCCTTTTCATCATTTTCTGATTCGCTTTTAAAGAATTCAAGAGTTTCTTTCTCTCGTTCTTTCATCTTTTCAATGAGCACATCAATGTTTTGGTTTGCTCTTTTGATTGCCAAAGTTGTGTCGGTTATTTCTTCATCGAAAATTGGCTTATTAAGTGTTTTTCGTGATAAAAATTCTTTCAGCGTATATTGTTTAGGTTTATGGTAAGGAATTCTAATTTCACGTTCTTTTCCAATTTGAGTGTTTTGGTCCACATTCGTTTCTTGTTTTGAAGCAATTTTTTTCTTTATCACTTCCATAGCTTTACTTGCCGATTTCTAAAAAGAAACAAATTTATTTTAATGAAATAAAAACATTTTTTTTGATAATCTTACACGATGGTGTTTAATTGGAAGAATCTTTTTCTTCGGATTGCTATTTTTTCTGCGATCTTTGACAGAAGAACGATTTGAAACTTTTTCATCATCACTTGAATCGGAAACGATTCTGTTTTTAGCAATTTTTGATGTATTATTATCACTTTCTTCGTCTGAATCATCGTTAACTTTATTACTGGATTTGTTAACTGAAGTTTCTTTCTCAACATCAGATTCAGAATCGGAATCGAGCAACAATTTATATTTATTATTCACATTTATTGATTTATTTTCTTTTTCTTCAGTACTATTTTCATCATCTGTTGCCGACTTTGGTATACAATCGCTAGTATCCATTTTTATTTAGTAATTAACTCAACTTTTAAATGATTTTTCAATTTTCGTCAAGTGAAATTTTGTTTTGAAAATTCTTATGAATTCGCGCCACGGGGCTTGCTACTAAAATTAAATTGTGTGAAATAATATTGAGCCTAAATGGTATGCAACAAGTGGAACGAACTCATTCAATGATCAGTGTAAACCAAAAACATTCAAACATTGAAACATCATGGAAGGACATAAAAAAGCTTTCAATGTGCACGCATGCTCGTTGAATGATTTTTCATTCGAAGTTTTGTACCCCTCAGTTCATTGGGATAAAGTGAAAATTAATTATATTTTAACAAAAAGAAAAGAATTCTTAACTACTAGTTAATTATTATTGAAGTAGTTATAAAATATTCTCATTATTATGTTTCACATAAAAAAACTCAAGTTAAAAAGCAATCGACTTTAAGAGAAAAAACTTTTTTCACAACTAGAAATCTAGATAAAAAAATAACAGCCTAAAGATATGGCAAAGGAAATGGTCATAAAAACATTCTAAAATTTAATATTAATAAAGCAATGAGAATCAGGATATCTAAATGTGCAACTCTAACTATCGTTTTCATTAACTTACTGTTATTCTTTGTGTCGTGGAAATATTTTAATGCCTCAGATAACTTTCGAGAAAATTCTTATCAAGGAATTTCTGATGTGAAATCAACATTAAAGCCTCGAGACAGAATTCAAGAAGCTAATCACCTAATTCGAACCTCACTTACTGTCATTTTCCGAGATTTTTATCATTTCGATAACGATTTAAAAACAAGTATCGATCATCTATTAAATCTCATACCCGATCTCAGAATTCTCATCATCTCCGATGAGCTTCCATATCCGCCAATAAATATTTTTATGTCTTCACTTCCAACAAATCAAACGACATCCAGCACTGCCCTCATCTACAAAGAAAACGTTCAGTTCTTCAATCTCGACATTGGTGTCAGTAAAAGTGGCAGCGAGAGAAATCCATCCAACTTTATTCAAACAAAATACGTTCTCTTTATGCCCGACAGCTTCCGTTTATCAAACGGTCGACAACTTTTCCAGCGATTAATCAAAAACCTCGGACACGATGTGAGAGATAAAAGTCAAGGAAAGATTCTCATCGTTCCCTTCTTGTCAAATAATAAACTCATCAATTATTACTTCCAAATTCACGCTGACATCCCAAATTGGACGTTGGAATATGAAGTGAAAAATACAACGAAGAATTGCAATATGGTTAGTTAGATTAACATGAAAGCATTTTGTATTCATTTTAATTGATGATTTCCTTCTGCAGTTTACTCAAAAGCACGCACTACTATTGGAGACATCTTTACTCAACAATTTTCCAGAACCATTCGCAGCGCCTTTTCCTGAGTATTTTTATTTACAAGCGAAAATTGCAAATTACCAAGTAAGTGTTCTACTTTCACGCTAATTTATTTACCATTTTCGATAAATGCTTGAGATATCTAACAAACAAGTGTGCATAAAAATAATATTTTATTGATTACATTTCACAGTTGAGTGGAAAAAGAAGAAAAAGGCGATTATTTACAAACAGTTCCAGTTTGTTGTGGGTGGTAAAGGATGGAGTGAAATATTTATTTGTTTCCACGATACTTTTCACTCGTTTATAAATTCCGCCGTAAATTGTGAACAACGCTTGAAGTTAACGATATGTAAACATGTGAAATAATGGCGATCATTATTGTTTTTATGACACTTGTTGAACTAAATATTGCGATTTCTTATTTTTCCTATTCATTCATGCTTTCAATTATTTATTTTCTAATTAATGAAGTATTTTGTTACAGCTTCTCTACTCAAATGAAACTCTTTCTGAGGGAAAGAAATTGATGACGTCTTATCACAGTAAAGCAAGACGAAAGATGATGAAAAAAGAACAATTCAAAGAACTTTATCGAAAGTTACAATTCAAGAAAGTTGTTAAGAAATTTCATTTCATTCTTCAAAAAGGTCATCAGAAGAGTTCAAAGAAAAACAAGAAAGGAAAGAATGGAAATGACAAAAGTGGTAAATCCAGTAACAATTTCAAATTTGGCGGTGGAAAAGAAGGCAAAGATCCCATCGATGTTCTTATTGAACCACTTGAACTTCCAGCTACATTTTTAGCGAATCAAAGTCTTGCATCGATGGTTCAAATGAAGACCGACACGTGTTTCTATGGTTGTGAAAAGAATACGAAAAGTTGTATCGGTCAAATCTTTAATCAGAAACCATTCTACTTGTACATGAATCGTCACACACCTCCCTGTTGTCTCGAGAAGTTGAAAACAGTTTTTCAGTACCTGGTTGAAGAACTGGAGAACACTGGCATCAGATATTGGCTTGACAACTCAGCATTGAAGGATGCAATTGAGTTGAATGATTTGTCTAACGATGCTTTCGAGATTGACATCAGCTTCAATGTCAATGACTATAATCGATCAACTGCTTTAAAACGTTGCTTTGATTCGCGACCATTCACTGATCTTGCCGGGTATTATTGGATCAAAGCCACCGATGGTCAATACTTGAAAGTCCAATTCTCAAAAACTAACGAGATTCACGTCAATCTCTTGCCTTTCGAGATTCAAAATGACAAAATGGTTCCCAAGGGATTCTACGGGACAAAAGCAAAAGAATTCTCAATAGAATTTCTTCATCCCATGTCAAATTTATTTTTCTTAGGACGAAATGTCTTCGCACCTAACAACGCACCAATTTATCTCAAAACCAAAGGCTTCAAAATGAATTCTGAACGATAAATGTCAACATAGTTAGAAAAGTTTTCATTTCTTTTTGATGTCAAAACTTTCCATCAAAACTTTTCTTATTAAGTCAAACTTTAACATAAAAATCATGAATGATTGATAAGCTAACCAACTGATCTTCTTTAATTATGATTGATGTGATTTAAATAACATTTTTATTGATTTTTAAATTTTGTGATACAATGAGATGGATCGGAATGGCAATGAAAGTTTCAAAACGGGAAAATTTCTTTTGTCCTTAAAGTTTATTTATGAATTAAATAAATATAATAAAATTTCTAACATAAATTAATTGGAAGTTGCGTCGTCTACCGGATCGTTTTCAGTGCTTTGTCCACCTTCAGGCAGTTCTCTAACAAGCGACAACAATCGGTCAAGTTTCTGAACTTGAAGTGTGTGCTGATCCATCCATCCTTGCTTCTTAGGTGGTTTACAAAGTAGCCTCAAATTCGGTGACAACTTCAAAGTGATTGATGTGCCCTTGTCATCACCGACAATTAGGAACGGAAGCTTGTTGTTGAAAGTGATGCGTGTCAGTTTATTCTTCTTGCGTGGCACAACTTGTTGCGAACAAATTGCTTTATATTTGTTGACGTTCAAATCAAAGACAAAGACACGACCTTCACTTGTGACAGCAGCAAAGACAGTGCTCGAATATGGTGCCCACTTGACGTCACCAACACTAGCACCAAGATCAAAAATAAACAGCGGATCGTTTCTCATGTCTTCCCAAATTTTCACACGCCAATCACCTGAACATGACACAAAAATATTCGAGTTGAATTTATTGTAATCCATTCGATAAACTGAGAGATAATGCGCTTGGTAAACCATCAGATATTTGGAGCTATAAGCAGTGCTGCATTTGAATATCAAACCATCTTCAGTTCCAACTTGAAAGATTTCTTTATTGGTTGGATGGAACATCATGCAAGTTCCGCTTGCTTTCAACTTAATCATCGTTCCGTCAGGTCCACAAACAGGTGGCACGTCCAAGTATAAAGTTATAATCGTTGTGAGTGTCAATTTATTCTGCATTAAAACCCAATTGAACACACGACCGTCTGATGACAATGAATAAAAATTAATCTCGCCATCTTGCATGTCTTCACCCCATTTAATCTCCCAGACAGCTTCTGAATGTTTTCCATTTACACCTTGTGATACGTAAACTGGTTCTTTGGTACCCATTTGTAAGTTGTAGACACAAACATTTCCATCATATTGACCGATGACTATCAAGTAAGGATATTTCTTGTGAACATCACAACACATTGCGCCAGATTCAGTTGTGACTGAAAGATAAAAAAAATATAACCAGAAATCACTTCAAGAATCAATGAAACTCACTTCGATATTCAGGAAAGGATGGATTTTTAATCGAAAACAAACAAACACAACCTTCAGACACTTGTTTGATGAACTCAAATGATCCAAAGCAAACTGCATACAGATCGAAGTAATGAGTGTTGAGACAAATGTCAGTGACACTCATTTTCTTGCATTTATCATATGTAAACTTCCACAATGGCAATAAAGTTCCATCATCTTCACGAAATTCATCCGATGGGTCTTCATAATATCTGAAATCTTTAATAAGAATTGTCAGTGTGGAAATTGTTAAAAAACTTTTCAACCAACCGTGAGCGATATCATCGAAAATATTTTGATTCACCATTCGTTCCAAGATTTGACATTTCTGAAGATATTTCCGATTGAATTCTTCTGTTGCTTTGTTCTTAGCATCACCACGTTTCAGTTCTGCATGCTTTTGTAATCCTGGTTTCTTTTCCTTCATCATTTCTTTTTCCTTTTCACGTGTTTGTCGATCAAAGTCTTCATTGTAAGAATCATAAATGTGCCATTGAACAACATTTGCACCAAATTGTGAACGTGGTGGTGGCACGGTTTGTGTTTCAACTGATCGCGATGGATTGCTGCATGTTAAAGCAGCTCGTTCACAGAAATTAAATTGATTTGTGAGTTTCTTCTTGGGACCTCCAGTTGTTCCAACTGCCACTTCTTTATGTTCTTCTTCTCCTTCAACTTCCACTTCACCTCCAGCCTCAGATCCTAACAAATCACTCAAGAATTGATTAAATGAGACTTATAAATTCAAAATACTTGCCATCAGCTTCTTCTCCTTCTTCACCTTCACCTTCACCTTGTTCTGGTGTTCCCTCAGGTCGATCGATTAAATCTGGGGTTGTTGCTCCAGTTTGAGTGCCAGATTTTAATTCAGCAATACGTGGGTCAACTATAATTTCTAATTAACAATATCTCAACTTTAATTATTTAATGAAATGTGATGAACTTCTCACCCCCATCTCTTGCAATTTGGGCTTTTGCCTCAGCACTTTCGATATGAATTGCAGAACCTTCACATTCGAAGATTGTCACAACATTTGTTGATTTGGGGATGGGAATGTAAGCGCCTTCTTTGAAGCTGTAAATTACAAGATTTTGTGGCAAATGTCGATTCTCTGTGGACAAAATTTTTGGGATTTCTTCCGACAATTCCGTTTCAGTGAGATCCATTTGATCTGCAGGTCGTAAGAGTTGACGCGAAGTTCTTGTCCAATTGTCGTTATCGTCACCTTCGCCAGCGTGCTTCGAGCCCAAAGATGAAGCGCGAATTTGCTGAAATATATTTTGCGTGGGAGGATAGACAAGACAAGGGAAACAGAAAACATCATTTAACAAAGAGTTTACAAATGTTCTGCTTGACAGTGATGGGGAAATGGATCACTAAGGCATCTAATGAACAATCAACAAACTACGTGATTGATGAAGATTAAAAATGTTTATCAAAAACTTGTTGCAATCCACAACAATAAAAATCAGCTGTAAAAACCTTTATCAAAATAAAATTTAATTTTAGTTATTAATTCAAAATTCAAAACGAGTGTTTGTGGTTGATCGTAAATTATGTCACCAGAATGTTTAATTGACGTTCATTGTCTTCGTATGTTAGCCTCGATGTAAATTAAGGCTTTCATAGTGAATCTTTATTTACACTTGCATTTGTCTTTTGAAGTAGTTTCCATAACCAGGGACATCATTTCTTAATAAACCACTTGACACAGAGAAGAAAAACACAAAAAGTTTTCTTTTTCCAAATCTAATTTTCTCTTCTTTTCTTTCCGATCAAAAATCATTTCACCGAAAAGGAAAACATCAAAAAAAGAAGAAGAAAAAAATTCATTCAAAAATCAAATTCTCAAAATAATCACTCGTAAGAGACCACGAACATTAAATCGCACTCGTATCTTGCTCTCTTCTTCACTTTCATCATCAAACTCTTCAGCAGTCTCGGAAGCTGGTGTCAAAGAAGCTGCCGTCGATGATGTGTTTGCTTTGTCTGGCATTCTCGATTGATCTTGAACGTCTTATCAATGCTGATAACCAAACTCAACTGATGTTGAATAATTACAGCGCGCTTCATTGGCGCTTTTAAACAACCCAAAAGCTTCCTTTTTTAATGAAACTCACAACCGCAAAACACACAACAAAGAGAAAATTGCAAAACACATTCATATCGTGATAGAAATCAACAGCAAAGGCTGAATCGTCGGATCCAATGAACAATAAATAAATTGACATTAAAATAACTAAGAAACTATTTATTTTCTTTCACCACCCACTCACCCACCTGATTCTTTCTCGTGGAACAATCGTGAACAACAAATAAAAATTTGTCTTTAAAAAAGCATGGAATAAATTAAGAATGAGAGTAGTTTAAGTTGTTCCGTGCTAAAGGCCACCGCAAAAGAAAAAAATTCTTGTCGTCATTATCGTCGTTCCAACATCGCGTACCATGTCTTTAAAGACACAATAATGGAGAGAGGGGAAGTAAGAGTATAATAAACAATCAACAAAAAGGTTAAAAATAGTTTACTACAAGCAAAAAAGTAAATTAAGAACACACATACACACACAAAAGAAAAGTTCTAAACTTTACTCGTCTAATTAAATCGCGTGGAACTTAAAAAAAAGATTTTTTATGATAAAAAAATCGTTAAGTCATAATTCAACTTTAGCGTGCATTCATTTCCGGAATAAAAAGAAAGAAAAAACGTTCCGGTTTATGTGGTTTAACTGAAAACAAAAGTAAAAACTAAACAAACAAAACATTTCCTTAAACTTCTCTGACGCGAACGAAAAACAATCAAAGAATTAACTTTTGCTTAATGTTCTCAGAATTATTCAACATGCACAAAACGGATACCTTCGAACTTCGTCTTATCTATCACCACCACGAGAAATCGCAATTAGCTTTCGTTAAATTTTCTTTTTCTTCTGAATTAAATTAATTCAGCACACCGTCACTACTTAGTATTGTTTCAGTCGTTGTTGAGTCAACACTTGATACTGAAGAAGCTCTCGTTTTATAAATATTCGATTCGATATGAAAATTCTACTAAATATTTTCTACCTAGTGATATAAATAAAGAAAATATAAAATTACCGACAGCTTTCCCAACAACTTGTTCTTCAGCATTGTTAATTTTATGAGCGCAGAAAATATTGAACACAATTTATCAAACGTCAACAATATAAAACGTGAATAAATTATTTAGTTATCGATAATTAATCAGAGTTTGAAGGATTCACTGAGTTATTTGATATCGATGAAGCTTTTTCGAGATCCACCGTGCAACTCAAAAGTTTTACTAAGAAATGATTCGAGTTATACCTCTTTGAACTCGTAAAACAAAAGACAACAAAGAAGAAGGAAATTCTGGTAAGAAACTTGATGATTGTTTTAAATTAAAAGTGAAGACTCATAAAAATTGTTTTTTATTTGAAACTTTTCTATTTTAATCAACATTGACAAACGTTTTGAATAAATTAAAATCAAATCAGAGAATTCTAAATTATCACAAGATGTGATCAAAATATTTCTCAAGAATTTGTAATTAAATTTATCGTATTAATTATACAGTTGTCATGTCTAGAAAATTCAGAAGCTCTTGATTGAATTAAATTGTGATCAACATCAATCGACATTCTCGTTTTGTTATTCGTTTGAAGTTGATTTTCACCCTTCATTGGATGTTCGTGATTGAAGTAATTTCTTTACGACATCCACTTGTTTCCCCTAAAATATTACAATAAAAGTTTATTGAAGCTTTCATAGACAAAATTTTTTATCATTCTTCTTCCTATACATGGAAATATTTGAATGAGAATTTTCCTTATTTGCTTATTAGTTAAACTGACGTGAAACAAATTGATCGTGGATAAAGTTTTGGGAAAATCGGGAACAAAGGAATGTTAGTAATAAATCAAGGAAACATGTGAAGATAGTGAATTGAACAATAAATTAAATTAGATTGTGGTTGGTAGGAAAATTATGTTCAGCTGTCATTGAGATTGTTAATAAAGATTCATATGAGTTCCATTTTTCCTGGTTATTCCCTTTCGATATTGTGAGAATTTTCATCAACAATAAAGGAATGTTGGAAATATGAAAAGATAAAAATTATCGAATAAATTCTGACAGAATTTCTGTGATTGATTGTCTGAACATGGGAATTTAAAACAAGTTTGAGATTATTTTTCCTAATTTTTATTATCAGCTTTGGCCTTTGTTCCTTTTTCTGTTCCTGAACAGGCCTTTTTGTCTCTTCCGGAACAGATTCATGTTCCCGTTTTGTTCCATTTCTGTGTTCCGGAACAAGAAAACATCTCGGAACAAAGCTCCAAATTTATCAAATGACGAATGTTCGTAGCATTATAAAATATTTAAATTGATATTATCAAGTTATGAATCTCAATCAAGATTAAAAATCAATAAGACTCAATTACATCCCCGATTACATAAGTTTTCAATATCCTAACAACAGACAACATTCATTCGTGCTTACACGCAATTCAAAGCTTTTATATCACTTCAAATCCTCAAACATTCGTCACCAAGGTGAATGTTCCCCATAATTTACATTTCTTTTGTTTGTTAGGATTCTTAAGAAGCACAAAAAGCAAATAAATTAATTATAAACTTTTAATTACTTGTTCGTGGTCACAAAACTCAAAATTAGATCATTTGAAATATTCAGCAACACAAATGAAACCTTGAAGATTTTATAATAAAACACTCAATAAAAGCTTCGACAATCCACCCACAATTTTCACATCTACACAGCAGAATGATTTATGTCGTTCTAATCATAGTTGACGTTGTTCCTTCCTTCCGGTTTCATGACATTTTTTTTTATTTTCAATCAAAAAGAAGAGAAAAGCGTCTCATTATTGTCTTCTATCTTTACAAATATTTTTTGTTTCCTTTCTTTGTACAAAGAAAACGTTGCAGGCAGGCACAGGCAAAGAATTTTGTTTTGCTGTAAATAAAAAAATCGCTCAACAGACCCAACTTACGTGCAAAGTTCGCTTCAAATTCTTGAATAAAGGCATTTTGAAGCTTTCTTTTGCTATTTTCTTATTAAAAAGACGTAAAAAACTCGATGTTTTTGAATTTTGTCAATCACGAAACATAAAAAAGAAGCACAATGACAATTGTAATATACAACCAAGGTTGAAAAACTTTTTTAAAATAATTTTGGTGGCACTTTTAGTTTTACTTCTTTTCGCCCACGCCTAATTTGCATCGATCAAATATGGAATCATTGAAAGGTAGAAAAAAACTTTGCAACGTCGTCATGGTAAATGAAATTAAATAAGCCAAAGCTTTATTGTAATAAAGAAGGTGAAAAATAATTTTTATCGTTTCTTGTTCAGTTGTGAATGGGGAATTTACAACTCACCTTGTTTCGTGTTGAATATTGTCGCGTTTGGTATCCAACATCAGCCATTGTCGTTGCTGTTAATTAAAAGGATCAAAATAAAAGAAATTCTCACACCTCGCTGAGTAAACTTTGAAGAGATTTTTTATCAATTTGTGTAAATATTTTGTAAACTTTTAATATTTAGATGAAGAAATTTCGTGATAAAGCTTCAGCAAATTCACAAATCCAACTGCCACCGTATCGTGATCTGCAAAACGCTTTTCATGCGTATCAGACTTCATGGGAGACTGAACGGTTGGAGAGCGAAAAAAACCGACAAATTTATAGCGAATTGATTGATGATTTAGATCAAGAAAAGGGAATCGTGAAGCTTTGTGATATATTTGATGGAAATATAACGAAACCTGTCATTGATAAATCGACAGTGAATAACATAAATGACGAGAAAGAAGAAGAGACAACTGAAGCATTGACTGCAAAAAATGACATCAAAACAAATTGGTGGACTAAAGTTTCTGTGAAAAGTAATCGACCAATGATCTTAAGAGAAATCGCAATTCATAAAATGGCACAAGACTATCGAGGAGGTCAAGTTGATGGTCGAATCTGGGGTGAAGATGCGACCAACTTTGGTTTGCATGCTTCTATTGATTTACCGATTCTTGACTTATTAGAAGTCGATGTGAGTCACGCGTAGCTTTAAGTGCTTTATGATTGAATGATCCATAAACAATGAAATATTTTAGAATGAATTTTTTTGGAAGCGACTGGTACGAGAGAAAATTCGAGACGTTCTCAAACATCAAAAACTTTTGAGAGATTCACAAACAAATTGGAAGAGAATTGCAATAGAATTATTGCTAGCAGAACTTGTTGAGAATCTTGAAGAACATGAAGTCGATGGGCCAATGAAACAAAAAGAATTAAAGGAGTTGGTCGAAAAATTAAATTCATTTGTGGAAAATCTTTCAATTCTAAGTTTAAAGCCACGAAAGTTTTTCAATGAAAATGAAAATTTTCAAATCGTTAATTTTACATCAAATGATTGTCGACATGCTTCACTTGAGTTTCTTGGTGGTTTAAGTAACTTGAAGAGTTTCAGTGTAAGTTTCATGACGAAAAAGCTCGAATTTGACGTTAAATATCGAAGAAAACTCTTTCAAGTCGCAGTCAGTGACATCGAAAAACTGGGAAAATGTTTGAAAAATTTGAAAATGTTGGAAAATTTAACAATTCGATATTGTGACTTGAGTGAATCTGAGAAAATGAATTATCTCCTCACATCTTTGATGTCTCTGAATAATTTGAAGCATGTTGACTTATCTTACAGTCAAATAACGTCGAAATTTTCAGGGGAATGTTTTGAGAAATTTCTTTCAACAGCTCGATCATTAAATTCTTTAGAATTGAAAGGAAATAAGTTTGATGTCGAGTTTGGTTTCCATTTTGCAAAGGGAATTGAAAGTTTCCAAGGGATGTTTGATTATCTTGGATTATCACTCACTTCTTCATTTGGAAGCGGTCTTGATCTGATCTTAAAAAGTGTCAATTTAAAACAAAACGTCTCGAACTTAGACATCTCTGGCTGTGACAATGACAATTATGATGAAGCTGAGAAAACTTTTCGACAAATAATCAACTTAATTGGTTTTGAAGGGAAGATTGTTTCACTAAATATTAACAACAACATGATAAAAAATTCAACGACGAAAGAATATTTGATAAAGTCTTTCGATAAAAATTATTTGATACAATTGAATTGCAATAATTGCGGTGAGTTAAACTTTTATTTAAGTCTACTGAATTTCTGACAGTAACTCATATTAGGATTCAGTTCCGAAGACATGATCAAGATCAAAACTTTAAATATTCGTAACATATTTTACAAGGAAAATCCGATTTTGAAGAAGGAAAATTTCTCTGTTGAAGATGAGATGGAAATTGAAAAATATTTCAACGAAACGAAGCATCCGTTGATCTTAAAAGCTAAGAAGAATATCCAAGTACATCATGATAACAAAAAGGATATTAAAGCCACTGGAGAATACTTCAACTTACATCATTCACTTCCTGAAACTCCGTCAGAAATCAACTTAAAGTCACAAAATATCAAAATAAATTCTTAGTTAAAGTCATGCAAAAGATTTCCTGATTTATTTCTTTCCAGCAAGAAAAAGAGACTTTAAATTCCTTAACTTACTTATCCATAAGCATTTGCATTGCTTTCGTGCTTTATTTATTTTACAGTATAAAAATTTCTTAAAATTATTTTTAATTTCTTCCAGTTTCGATAGACAAAAAAAAAGATTTAAGAATGTTGTGAGCAATCTTCATCTTCTTCTTTCTGAATCAACTGAATAGTTTGATAATCTACGAACCATCAAAACTGGAAGTTCAGGTAATGTAACACACAAAAATATCAACAATGGACTGAAGAGAATAACTCCCGCCATCCACATGATGAAAATCCATTGATTAATGCTATCAGTAAATGCCGTTGGATGTAAAGATGCAAAATAAGACATTTTTCAATCTCCAACTTTGTCTATCAACTTGATGAATGGATGAAGTTTAATTAACTTCAGTTTGATGAGCCTTAAAACTAGAAATTTTAGCCAGCCACGTGACTTGGGATGTCTGCATTTATGAACGCCACCTATAAAGAAATAATTTTATTAGTTTACATCAATTTATTTAGTAATATTTGCTTTAGTATTCAAAGTTCTGTGTTACATCAAAGCAACGACCTTCGCTTACATCATTTGTAAGCTACAGTAATGATTGACAGAAAGATCATTAGCAATGATGCCCTTGACTGCGTCTTGTGTTTTTGTAAGTTACGTTTAGGTTTTTATATGTTTCTTTGTCGATTAGTTAAGCCCTAAAACATTCGACTTTAATCTTATTAACTTGCTTCAAATATTCTGGGCAAGAATTAAAAAACTGTTTAAACAGAAATCATGACTGCAACACCTACGAAAGAAGTTTTACTTGAAATATTTAATCAAAAATATTGGCAAAAGCTGTGCGAAACGAAATGGTAAGTAATAATTTATTCAAATACCCATTTATCATATCTGAGATACATTGTATCAAATAGTAGCATTTTTAACTAACATGTTGCTTATTCTTGATTGACAATAAATTCATAAAACTTTGACTCATGTAATAATGCAATAAATAAATAATTTAAATTGAAATAAAACTACTTTTTGCTTCTCTTCATATCTATTCTTAATAAAGTAATCGGGGCAAGGACATTTAATAGTCCATTGGAGCAAAATAGAAGTTCAATTGCATTTTCAGAGTGTAACAAGTTTTTTTTCTTTAAACACGGTAAATTCAAGTTTCACAATGCCATTGAACTTACAAGAAGCTTATTGTTTATGTCACATTTCTAACAATGACATTTGTAACACATGTTGCTTAATAACAAACTAATCCAAACTTGCTGATTCTTTGTTTAATTAACTAATACAACTTATCAAGTAGGCACAAACTTAGCAACTGAAAATAACAGAAATGCGCCAACAAATGAATTATCGCGATTGTTGAACGTTTTTGCTTTGACATTCAATGCTGAATGCAACATCAACAAAAACATTGAAATCATTTTCTGTCTCTTTCTATTTTGCTTTCCGTGATTTATTTATTTATCTTTGTAACTTGTCACTCAAAGGAATTCTAATCATTAATGTTACTTACATGAAATAGAAGTAGCTGTCTTGATCCACTGAAGGCTTTCGTTCTGTCGGAGTTGTTGGCGATGATGGCGATTGACTCGCGACACTTCCCGAACGTTCCCTCAAGAAATTGTTATCACTGTTTTGGGGGCCCGTCATTGATTGTGACTTGTTTTGATTGTTCAGAGAAGGCGAGATGAACTTTTTGATTATGCTTTCCATCGCGACTGGCTTGTGATTCTTTTTCCTCTTATCTATAACGATGACAAAACAAAAATGAATTAAATTTATTTTTCTTCGAGCCTTAGCAATAAAATTAAAGCAAATAAATTTTTATTTTCTGACGATAGGAACATAAAACGATCGCGAACACGTATTGACCTTCAACTTTTTTTCGGGTTTATTTTATTATCGACTCTTCTTAAAAACATGTGTCGTTTTATAAATAACTTAAAATTTGTGAGAGGAATATTTTTTTCCACGAATAAATTATTCCGCGACCAGATTATTGCATGAAAATTATTCCATACAGAAAATTGCATGATGATTTTGAAATTTTTACCGTTAAAAATTCTAAGGTAAGTTTTTAAGTTTATGATATTTAAATTATGTTCATCATGATATAATGTTTAAGATGACAAATTATGATGCTAAATACAATATATTTTTACTTCTTATCCCTGTTATTTAATAAAATTTAACTCACAGAATATTTTTTTACGCATTTACATTTTTAACGGTTTAAATTTTAAAAAATGTCGTGCAATTTTCTGCCAAGCAATAACATAAATCTGGAATTTTTTTCCCGTAANATCGCGAACACGTATTGACCTTCAACTTTTTTTCGGGTTTATTTTATTATCGACTCTTCTTAAAAACATGTGTCGTTTTATAAATAACTTAAAATTTGTTGCTTCATAATTCGTTTAAAAGTTATCACTCCAACTCGATGATTTGTAATGAAGGAGAAAAATTTAGGTCGCTGATTCAATGAAAATTGCATTACTGAATTGTAACTGCGCATGTTCAAAAGAAATTAATGAAAAGGGGGAAATTTAAACGCAAAAAAAGTTCATCTAAAGTTTATAAAAATTAAAAACAAAACATTTTAATGATGAATTTCGCTTTCACACCTTTTAAACCGGCAAAATAAATCTTTCGATGATTTATTAAATATTTTATTTTATTCCTTTGGTTTGCTTCCACTCACGTTGACACTTAATTTGAAACTGGCGTAGAAAAACAGTCGACAAAAACTTTTTCTCTGCTGCTTATTGTTGTAGGCTACAAGTTGAGCTGAGTTATAGGAAATAATTTGGAGTTTTGAAACGACGAAAAACGCACACACGCTCAATAATAAATTTGGTTCTTCTTTATTCATATTCGTCATATGAATATGCGTTACCAACACTATCTACGATTTTGTTTTGATTTCATCATTCCTTATGATTGTAGTCATTGACAGTCAGATGTTCAAAGTGCATTCATTCATTCTATGCATTTAGAACAAGAATCTTGAAAACTTTCCATTTGTTCCTTCTACATGAGTTCAAGCCCGCATTTGTGTATCGTCATTTACAAACCCAACTTTCAACTCTAAGACGACTTAAACATGTTTATGTTGTTTAGAAAGAAGCATAATTTTTTTTGCGTTGGTCAGGTAGAAGTTGCAACTAACAAAAAGGTTTTTTAAAAATTTTCCATTACTTGAAGATCGTTTGCAATTTTTTGAAAAGATTCAAATAGAAGAAGATATTTTAATTCTCAAGTGAAATTTATTAGAAACATCCTTGGAAACGAGTTCAACCAAATGCGTTGCATTTCATGCAATGATGCCTACGTGATCAAACGCATTTACATGGAAAAATCTAAGAAATTTCTCTTACAACATTATGAACTTCAAGTCCAAAGTCTATTCAACATGTTGATGAACGACATAAAGAAACCACAACTGGAAACTTATATTTATATCATTTTGTAAAGGTGATTGAAATGTGGGCATAATTTTATTTACTTTTACGACTTCAACTGTTTAATTACAAAAGAATATCTGCTGCTATTTTTGAATTATCTCGAGTGCAATATACGTTTGCTGATAACACGAAGGAGGTATGTTTCAAATAAAAATTAAAAACAAAATAATTAAGAGCTTTGTTTTTGATTTTCGAGTGTAAAAAGATAAGAAACTTGTCAAAATTATTTTCAAGTGGGTGACTTGAAAAGACGTAAATGCGATAATTTACGGTAGTAAGTAAAAACTAAATAATTGAAAGTGCGAAATGGTGTTCTAGTTAAATAAACTGCTGTCATTACGATCTGATTTTGTATTTTTCGCACAACTAGACATTTTCAGATAATGAGAGGCGGAAAATTTCAATTTTCCTTCTTTTTGTATTAAAAAAGTAAAAAGAATTTGTTTACTTGTTCAAAACACGACAAATTCACATGTTTTGGGATTTATCTAAATGAACGTGAGTCGAGAAAAGCCTTTAAGATATTCCTTGGCATATTTTCTTATCACGACTAATTATAGAAAGAAATTCTTTTTAATCTAACGAGTTCAATCATTGAAGACCCGACAAAAGTTATTTCGCAATATTAAAGAATTTACTCACCGGTTATTCTTATCGTCTTAAAGAAGATTAAGTGGAATGAACCTGAAGATGAATTCGAAGCGTGTCAGCTCGACGAAAGGCTTTATTACACTTGCTGCAAATATGTTCACGTTCATTCAAATGAATTTTCAGATGTTCTCGAAGATGGCAAAATTGTGAGAATTTTCGTTGGCAGATGTTGCAGTGATAGTCTTTGACACCGCTGTGAAAGTTATTGTGCTTCTTAAACGACGACAAATGAATGAAACTTTTTCCACAACCATCAAATAAGCATTTGTAGCGGGTTTCATTCCGGTGAATCCTTAAATGTGCTTTTAGATGTGATGATGTGAAAAATGATTGCGAACACTCAGTACAATGATGATCTCTTTGATTTTTATGCATTTTAATGTGAACATTCAAATTACTTTTCGTTTTGAATGTTTTCGAGCAAATTTCACAAGTGAAGTTTCTTTCATCGGAATGAATGCATTTTCCATGCATAATGAGTGATGTCATGTGTCGGAAGGTCCTTGAACAGCCAGACACTTTACAAATAAAGACTTTTTCCCCTTTAGTATTCTCATTCTCTTTATTCCTGATAACGTTTGATGAGATTTCGTTATCACTAACTTCGTCATCGACATTCCGAAAGTCAGAGTGACAAGATTCCTCGTAATTATCTTCTAAGCCTTTCAACTTTTTCAGACACTCATTAGCTTCTTTCCTCAGTATCCTTAATTCATCTGATACTGTACTTTCATTTATATTTCTTTTCAAATGAACAATTAAGTGATGACTTTCAAGTGTCGAAAATTTTATGAATTTCAAATCACACAAATGACATGGAAATCGATCAACTTCATTTATTTCATGAGATTTAAAATGACACTCAAGTTCTTCAACACTACAAAAAAGTATTTTGCATATAAAACATTTAAAAGTTTCTGTAGATCTCATGATATGTAAACAAATAAAGAAACATTTAAAAATTCAATAATAATGTCTTGTTTATAGGAAAATGAACTTTTCAGATTATCATTGAATTTTTTTATCACTTATTTTGACTGACTCCGAAGGTAAAACTATTAAATATCCATGTTAAAAACATAGTCAAACAAATTTTATGTTTGTTTACAAAAATGTGCAAAATTTTCGAAATCCAAGTTTCGAATATTCTTGTCTCACTCTCTCTTTTTCGAAAATCCATCAACACATTTGTTTACAAAAATAAATTGAGTAGCTTTCAAAATATTAAATTTTCCTATCAGTACTATTAATTTCCTTATCTCAACCTAAAATGCCACAAGGCCGAAGGAAAATTCCCTTTTCAGGGAAACAGAAAAAACAACAATTAATCAACAAACGACAAGATAAAGGTGAATTTCTGAAATTGTGAAATTCTCGAAACTTCTTCACAAACTTTTCATTAATTTCAAGGAACTCCAATAAATTTGATTAGAAAAATTAGAGAGGAGACTGAATCTGACAGTGTCAGTGAAGTCAGTGAGAGTGCTGGTCCTAGTCGAATGGTAGACAACATTCAAAAGATTAATTTGCAGCCATTAAAAGATCCAAAGAGTAAAGCGAATCGTTATGTTCTTCAGGTACTTACATGACATTTTTAATCAATTCATTTTAACTAAATTTCAATTACTTTTATTAGTTTCATACTGAATCTGCAAAGGAAATTCGTGAATTGCGAGAAAAGGCTCGACAATCTTTAGAATATGCAAGTGACGTGCAAATGGAGATTGACGATTCCTTCTTCGATGGTTACGATTTTCCTAAAAGACCTGAATGGAACTACCAGATGAGCAAAGCAATTCTGATGGCTAATGAAGAGCGATATTTCTTTAATTATATTATGTCGTTGGAAAAGAAACATTACGATGTCATGAAGCAACTCAGTTATTGTGAATTAAATTTGGAAACGTGGAGACAACTTTGGCGAGTACTTGAATTAAGTGATATCGTTCTAGTAATTGCCGATGCTCGTTTTCCAACATTGATGTTTCCTCCTTCACTTTTTGTGTACGTCACGAAGGAACTCAACAAGAAAGTTATCATTTTACTCAACAAAATTGATTTGGTTGAGAGTTCAGTTGTGTTGGCATGGAAAAAATATTTTGAAGAGAAATATAAATCAATTAACGTTGTTCTCTTCACATCGTGTCCATCCTACAATCTTCGTGGTGGGAATATTAACAAATCTGGTTTGAAAATCAGACGACGAAGAGGAAGAATGCGAATGGCAAGTGAAGGTGCACTTCAAGTCTATCAAGCTTGTAACTCGATTGTTAAAGATCAAGTTGATTTATCAAGTTGGCATGAAAAGATTCAAGAAGAGATGAATGTGAAAAATCAAGCACCGATTGATGATGGCGATGACGAGGAAATTGAAGTGGAGAAAAGTCACGAAGAAGAAAAAGATTTCGACTTTGAAGAGCATGTTTTATACAAGAATGGAGTCTTAACGATTGGATGTATTGGATTTCCTAATGTCGGCAAATCATCTCTGCTCAATGCTCTCATGGGAAAGAAAGTTGTGAGTGTTAGTCGAACTCCCGGCCACACGAAACATTTCCAAACGATTTTCTTAACTAACACAGTTCGTCTTTGTGATTGTCCCGGTTTGGTTTTTCCTAGTCAAACTCCACGAACTCTTCAAGTTCTCATGGGAAGTTATCCAATTGCACAACTTCGTGAACCTTATGGATCTGTAAGATTCCTTGCTGAACGTTTAGATATTCCGAAGCTTCTTGCAATTAAACATCCGGAAGGTGACGATGAATGGTCAGCGATGGACATTTGTGATGCATTTGCACTCAAACGAGGTTTTTTGACAGCAAAAGCAGCTCGTCCAGACACATATCGCGCTGCTAACAGCATCTTAAGAATGGCGTTAGATGGCAAAATTACTTTGTCGTTGAAACCTAAAGGATTCAGTGAAAAGAAAAGTTTCTGGGAAAATCATCGAGAATTGGAATCTGTAAAGGAAATTCAAGCACTTGGCAAAGCTGAAAATAAAAACGATGCTGCTGACTTCTGTTCTGATTCTGAAAATGAAAGTTCTTTCCGACCTTCTGATTATGAAATGAAACAAAATTTCCAGAGATCAAAGAATGAAGTTGGACATGATGATGGCGACAATGAAGAGAGTGAAAGTGATGAAGAGCGACATCCAAATGTCTCGAATCCTTTTGATCTTCTCGACAATAGTCAAGATTAAATTGAAAATCTTTAAATAAACAATTTTCTAAAAGAAACTTAATTATGTTTTCTTTATTAATTAAATTAATCAGGGTTTGTGAGAAGATTTATGGTACAAGATTAGAAATATTCTTTGGCAATTTATTTACAGCAAATTTTAAAAATCTTTCTACTTAGTCAATTTGATGAAATTTTTTATCTAATTTTCCTAATTCCTAAATTTAATTTTCTTCTTCTACTTTGGACTAGGATTTTGAAGAATTTTCAAGTCCTGTTGAGGATTTAATGAATTTATTAACAAGCAAAAATGTAAAACTAATCTTTGGCCTTAGCTACACTAAATTAAATAAAAATATGCAAATCAAAAAGATTTTAATTTAATAAATGAAGGAAAACAGAAAATTGCGAATGATTCTTGAAGTTTATGAAATTCTTCAGAATTTTTCCAATTAAAACCATTTTCATTTTTCACCATTCTTTATGTTTTATGCTCGTTTCCTCTGTCTACATCCCTAGATTCTAGACGTTCGATTGTAAAAACTAAAATAGGAAAAAAATATTACAAAAATGTAGAAAATTATTAAAAGAAAAGCTTTCCGAAAGCTCAACGATAATTAATGAGAAAAAAACGAGAAAAACTGAACATGAATAGAGAAATTAAACAAAAGCACAAGAAACATTTCAATTAAAGAATCATAGGAATTTCAGCATTGAAAGTGCGCACAAACTCTAACATAAAAGAAGAATTTTGAAGCACAATTCTCATCAAATTATTAAGAAATCCATCAAAAGTCATGCAGGTTTGACATCATTTTTACACGGTCATTTAATTTCTTTAGTAGGTAATTGTCGCGTAACATGCTTTCCTGTGTTTTAAAGAAAGGAAAGAAAATTTTTCCATTTTTATGTTAACTTTTTAATTCAACTTATAACAACCTTTCACATTAATTATGCTTTCAATCAAATAAAAGATGATATGAAAGTTTTGTCCAATTCATTAAAAAGTTATTTAATTGCAATGATATCAATCAATGTCAACATCAGTTAGTGACAATTCTTCTTCCGAAATATTAAAATTAAGTTATGCTTTTATTCCCAACATTTTTTTCTGTTCATTATCCATTTCATCATAATTAACATTATTATGCATTTTTATGTTGAGATTTCCTTTTCTTTTCTTCTTTTTTTTCCTTCAAATGGTTTCTTCGTGTTTCTTCATATAAATATGTATGTAGTTACTTACAATAGAAAACTAACTAACTAACAAGAGCTAGGGTGGGATGGAGTGGTGCGGTGGTGATTTTATATTATTAAGGAAAGAAATGAACAAAGACTTGTGCTTGAGCATTTTGAGTTTAGTTATGCAAATGTACAATATTTTATGATAATTTTTTTTCATTTCTTGTTAATTCTGTCTTATGTTTTCCTTTTTTCTGTTTATTTTGTGTTTCGTCATAATCAAAGTTTCATTCACTTTCAGTTTTATGATATGAAAGAATTTACCATCGTGAGTGTTTTGAGTTAATTAAGTTCATAGAGTTTACAGTAAAACAAATATTAATTACATCCTATGTGATCATATTTATGTATCATTTTAATGTGGAGAAACAAACGTGACAATCAAAAGTTTTCAGATATAAAAAATGCAATCAAGAGGTAAGAAAAATATTTAAGAAGGCAACAAAGTGCTAGAAAGAAATTCATTTTCATAAGCACAAAAACAGAAACAATTCTTAGAGAGTGAAATTAAAATAAAAAAGAAAGGAAGAAATGCAACAAAACTCTCGCTTAAAACTTCTTTAAAAGTCTCCATAACCATGATCATTCGTCAACAGCAATAAAGTCTCTTTGTCATACCTGTCTGTGAGACGTTTCTTCATCTCTGTTGGGTATGTCACGTAAATATATTGTTCATCAATGCCAGCAGTTGGCGGGAAGAATTCTTCCGTGTATGCCAATTGCTCCAATGGCTGACTATGTGACAACGATTGAACAATCCCCGAATGGCCAGCAGCGTGCATATTTGCAGATTGAAACATGTTGCTGCCCATGGCAATTGGAATTGAAGATGACGACGTTATTGCCGTTGTCTGAAGTTGCATTTGCATCAACTGTTGTTGTTGATGATGATGACTAGAATGAGCTGTTAATAAATTATACGACGGCGTTAAACTTTCATCAGTACTGGAAGGATACAAAAAATTTTCGATACAAAATACAAAGAGATATTCAAGAAGTCTTTCTTTCCATCATTGTTAAAAGCACCATGCAGAAATAAATTTAAATAGCTTGCAATGAAGCTTGAAATTAAAATCAAAAGAAAAGAAAGTTTTTTATTACAATTTGATTATAGAATAAAATTCATTGGCATGCATGTGTCCATAAAAGAATTTATTGAGAATGCTTAATTTAATAGAAATGTTGATTTAAAGGAAAATAGAAAGAAATAACTTTAATAAGGTGTTTGGTCAAATTCATTTCCTGAGTAATTATAACATAAAACTTCACTTTAAAATTGATTATCGCCAACGAGATTTAACTTTAAAAAATTAATTATACGTGCCCTAATTTTGAGGAACTTTCGGAGCCATTTACAGTCGAATTGAAAGAATAACAACTTGGAATAATAAACAGGAAAGCTTTTAAGTAATATAAATGAAATTTCAGATAAGAAAATTCTAAGAAAGGTTTAAACTTACTCAAATAGAACCCAAATGATGTAATAACATAAGCTGATTCCTAGGGATAGAACAACCACGAGAATGAACACTGGAAATTGAAGAGAAAATTATTAAAATTATTTTAGATATCTGAAGTTGCTTTCAACACCCACCTAATGCCCATGGGAAAGGTCTTTGAGCTGAAGAATCTTCCCAATAACGATCACAAGTCAAATACCAACAAATTGCTTTGTTCATTTCATCTGAGATAATAAAAACATTGAAAATGTGCTTAAATTAAATTGGAAATTGACTCAAATCTCACCTTCCATGTTTTTGAATTCTTCAATGGAAAGTTTCAATAAAGCACCAGCGATACATGATCTGATAAGTCGTTCACATCTTCCTTTAAGCTTTTGAATGTCTTCAGTCTTGCAATTTGCTTTTCTTCTTTGCATCTCTGAAGATCTATGATGTCTTCTATCTGCAAGCGACTCACATTGCGTCTCATTAATGTTCTCTTTGTTCTCGTCTTCATTTCCATTATCGTCTTGTGATTTTTTTGAATCGTTTTGCTTCTGTTGCGTGTCAGATTTCTTCGATTTTTCTTTGCAAAGAATTCGTTTTCGTTTATGGATTTTCTCTTTCGGCACTGGAGCTTCGATTTTATGTCCCGTCGCTGCAAGAATTTCATTGAGTTTGTCTCTTAACGATGGTGGCAGATTGAATGTACTGGTCTTCATTTGCGAATTGATAACTTCTCGTCGTGCTGCCGCAAGTGCTGTTGCTTCGTTGTACAACTCTATGTCAGTTGACACTGGCGTCTTACTAAAGCTACCTAACGACGAATCTTTAGAGACCAACACATCACATCTCATAATATCACAATAATCAGCAAGGCAAATCGCATCCTCTGCTTGATTCACTCGCCCCCGATGACGATTATCAAAATGTAAATCAAGAAACTTTTCCTCGTAGAAATTCTTGCCACAAAATCCGCATGTCCATTGTGTTGGACGATTTTGAATTTTAGCGTTCTCTTGTGGTGCGAATAAATCACGATTTGGATGAAATGGACATTCGACTGGAAGTTCAACTTTGAACTTTTGGAAAATTGGAGTTAATTTTGATTGAACAATCTTTCGAACTATTCGTGAATTTTGACGTGAACATTGAATGGTGACTGAGCCTGGTGGTATTGGCCATGGCATAAACGATAAGAAACAAATAAATATCACCTGGAAAGGAAGATGATTTGGATTAATTTGATGCGATTAAGTCGATTTATGTATTGTTTGGTTTCGCTTGGGAATAGAAAAGGAAGTTGATGATGTCAAGTTAGACACTCTTATCTATGCTTGAATATCTTTAAGGGTTGTTCCATGAAGCGTTTTCACACAAAACATTTCCTAACATAATCGCGCCCTAGCATTGATAATATTCGTGAACGACAGGCAGAAAGGAGCGTTACTAACAATAGTTCCAATTTATAAGTAATTAGTTGAAATCTACTTTCATTCTTTTATGGAATTTTCTTTTTTTGATTAATGATTTTATATCGCTTCACTACATCAACAACTAAAGAAAAGAACATCACGTATTTCATGCTTCATTTCTCGTGATTTAAATTGAAGGATTAACACAATAACATTGTCTAATGACTTCGAAAAGCTTGTTTTAATTTCAAGAGTTTTCATTTCTAAAGAAAATTGAGGTTTCGTGATCAAACACATGTACAATGGCATTAGCACAATTGAAGTCTTTAACCACCCTTGAAGCTACTTCAGTTCAACAATTATTAACTTTTTTCCAAGAAAAAGTTGGAACTTTAATTTTATGATTTCCAGAACACTTTTCTGAACATTAACAACATTGTAAACGAGAAAATTGTTGGATAACTTAAGCAACTATCCAGATTAGTGTTCAACGATAAGTTTTCTCTTTTATAACAACCTTAATTAAAATAACACAGAATGGATTTCTTATCAGAATACAACACATTTTTATTATATTATAAAACTATCATGATATTTTAATTAAAAAAGAGAAGAATATTTTCCCGGAGCAAACGATAAACACAACTTGTTACCACAACGATTCGCGAACGATAGAAAATGCAATGAACTTTTTACACTTTTTATTGGATATTTACAACCCTTCGAGAAAATGTAAGTAGCATTCACAAAAACATTGTAGCCGCACGAACTGACTTACGAAATATTCGTCAACGAATCAACAATTCTTTTTGGCAGGGAAATTACTACAAAGCTACCGACAAAACTTTAACGAATAAGTAAACAGTAAACGAAAAGAAAAGCTTTTTGCATGTCGATGAACAGCACGAAAGCATTTCATTCTGTCTGTTGCACAGTGTTTCGTTCATTATGACATTGTTAAAATTCCTTAGGGTGAAAGGTTTAGCTTATGTTTAAATTAACATAGAGAAGTTTCATAGCAAAATTTTTATCGATTTTTTTCACATTTTATTAATTTATTTTCATTCGCGATAAATCTTTCTTCATTATAAGAAAATTTAAGTCAAAGATTTAAGCTTTTTTAATTTTGAATGAAGTGAAGGAAGTTCTGATTGCATTAATATTATAAATTTGAAGCAGCAATGAAATATCCTAACCCGGAAAGATTTTCTTTTTTAAAATTTCGAGTTTTTCAGTTCTCACCTCAAAGTTAATTGATTTGGACCACATCCGATTGAACCTTGCATCAATGTATCGACATTCAATCTTTTTCACTGCTTTAAGTGTTTAATAAAACTTGGATAAAATTATATTTTCATAGAGAATTATTTGGAAAATTGCTCCTCGGAAAATCGATTTTTCTCAAAGGGGACGGAAACTTTTCTAAGGATAAATTCGAGACGGGGGTGCTCTTTTAGAATAACAAACTTTTTGATGTAAGTGTGAACCAAAATTTAATTTAACATTAAATCATCAACATCTTTATTTGATCACATAATAATATTTTCATCTTGTGATCAAGTTCACATTAAATAAGATTACTATTTAACAATGAATTTATTACCGTTTATTTTTGAAATTTTCGCTTCTTTATGCAATTTTATTGGCTTTGCTGAAAACTCCCAAAACTTTCGAAATTCGAAATTATTGAAATTCGAAAGCGGTCGGCATAAACAAACGAAAATAATTTGAAAGAAAAATATAATAATGCAGGCATCTAGCATTTTATATGGAGGAGATGAAATTGGAGCTTTAGTATTCGATCCAGGACATCAGTCTCTTCGTTTAGGTTTTGCTCAGGTATGGATTTATAGTTAATAATTTGTAATGAAAATATTTTTACAAACACAACCAAAAATTTGCAGGAAGATTCACCGAAATCCGAAATACCGGCTGTGGTTGGTGTTGGACCTAATAACTCCACAAATGGAATTAACGAACCAGAAGTGAAACCAGATAACAATGTTACTCCATCTCGTATGTCGAAAATGATCTTTAACTGATTTCATTCTGATTATTATTAATTTCTTCTAGACAAGTATTACATCGACACGACATTCCTCAATGTTCCTCGATCAAACATGGAAATTCAAAGTTATATGAAAGACGGAATGGTAGATAATTGGGATCTCTTCGAGAAGGTTCTTGATTATGCATACAAGAGAGTTATAATGTCAGAGTCTGATTTACATCCAGTTCTCTTCTCCGAAGCATCTTGGAACACCCGACACAACCGTGAAAAGCTCACAGAGTTGATGTTTGAAAAGTACAACGTCCCAGCATTCTTTCTCGTCAAGAACGCTGTTCTTGCTGCATTTGCAAATGGTCGTGCAACTGCTTTAGTTGTCGACAGCGGAGCTAAACACACATCAGTAGTTCCTGTCCATGAAGGCTACGTTTTAACACAAGCTGTTGTGAAATCACCTTTAGGCGGTGATTATCTCTCAATGCAGTGTCGTCAACATCTTGACAACCAAGGAATTGATTTGACTTTGGGTTACGCGATATCAGCTAAGGATGTGGTGAAGGAACGAGATCAACCTCGTTACACTAAACGAACGTTACCTGACAATTTGACTAACTCATGGCAACAATACATGCTTCGACAGCAATTACAAGACTATCAAGCAGCAGTCGTTCAAGTCTTAGAGTCGCCATATGATGAACGAATGGCGTCACAAATTCCGGCCGTTCATTACGAATTTCCAACTGGATATCATCAAGATTTCGGTTCTGAACGTTTTAAACTTGCTGAAAGTTTATTTGACCATGCCATGCTTGGTGCTGGTCAATTGGCTTCAACAAGTGTATCGAATTGTGATGCTGACGTTCGTCTGGCACTTTATGGATCAGTTGTTGTTACGGGTGGAAATACTTTGCTTCCTGGTTTTGCTGAGCGACTCAATCGTGACTTGTCACATCGCGCTCCTTCAAATACAAGAATTAAAATGATTGTCGCCAATGGAACAGTAGAAAGAAGATTTGGAGCATGGATTGGCGGATCAATTCTAGCGAGTATCGGGACGTTCCAACAAATGTGGATTTCAGCGCAGGAATACGAAGAAGGCGGAAAGTCTCAAGTCGAAAGAAAGTGTCCGTAAATTTTAATATTTTCTTCTTCAATGTAATTCTTAATTTCTTGATAAAATAATTTTTTTGTGACAAAATAAATCGATGGATAAAATTAAAATTTTCTTTGACTTCTTCTCATTTATGCTAAAAGAAACATTGAAAGTCTTGCCAATGACTCAACGCATTTCCTAAATATTAAATTAATAAACTCAGCTGTTTTGAATTGAAAAAAGAAAAAGAATTGAAAACTGGGGAAAACAAGTTAAATAACTTTTCATTTGAAGTCAAAATAAATGAATCAACATGATGAATCGTATAAAAACAACTTTGAAGTTAACTTGTTTACTTCTCGAAAAAGAATTTGTGACTTAACTTACGATTGACCCATTCAGTTTTCGAAAACAGGAAAACAAAAATCATTTTAAGATTCTACGAACTTTAAAAGTAATTTTGTACAGTTTACGGAAGTTTTGTTATAACTAAGATTATTTCGTAACTAAACTAAGTTCATTGAACTTTTATTAATAACAATTTGAAGTTTAATTCTATCTGACAACGTCAAAGCAAATTCTACGTAAATAATTCAACAAATTGACTGATTGAAAGTCTTGAATTATATAAATTGAAGAACTTTGTTAGTGACACGAGCCTACCAGATTCCAAAGTCCACACTCATTTGAAACAGCCGGTGAAATTAGTGTGATGATCGCAAAATAAATGTTTCCGAGTGGCAGCTACAGAGAAGAAAATATTCTCAATTGGATACCTAATTTAATTTTGTGTCGTCATCGTGAATACAGAAGTTCACAGTAATTCTGTTTTATTTTCGTATCATACCAAACGTTCGAAGCTTTCAGTTATTCAAGAGATTTTGATCAAGTCGGAAGCATATAAAATAAAAGATTAGATAAAAACAAACTTTGAATCAATCAAGAAATTGTTCAATTATCGAACATGGCACATCAAATTCAAAATGTGTTAAAGTCTTCTTTAAGACTCACAAGCACTCGAAGCTTATCATCAGGAATTTGTTCGAATACTGGTGGAATTGATAATTCGAGTGAGTATTTTTAATAACTTTCATAACTTAAGAAAAGATCAAAAACGTCTCATGTTGTTTATTTACTTCAACTTACTTAAGAAGATGTTTTGAGCTGATTCCTTAAAGAGAAAATGTTTCATGCATTTTAATGCTTTATTTAACGACAGTGCAATTCTTTCAATCCAGGCAAAGGGCAAATTAATAAATCTCAAAGTAGTCGCCGGTTTTTTTTCAAGGTTCACATTCACAATTCCCACGAATGCCACCCACGCAAACAATTCACTTTCTTTTTTTGTTTAAACTAAGCTTTGTATCCAAGGCTTCGTGTATCAACAAAATTTTCATTCGTTGTTCACGTGCGTGTGTATCTTTCTTTTTTCCTTGTCCTAAACGAAACTTTCTAGAGAATTGAAGGGAACCAAGACGAATAAATTGTCTTAAACATTTCAGTGAGATTTTTATAGTTTTAGTTTGTTAAATGTAAAAAATAAATCGCGCGTGAATTATGACGTCACGTGCGTGATACTTTCAAAGAATGTCCATCAATGAGGAAATAACTTCATTTCTGAACTCATATGAGCGCGTTAACCTTGGCATGCTGCCAAATGATCGAGACGCAAATGCCCAGCGCACGCCACGCCGTCCGTGCTCGGACTTTGATCTTAAATGTTTACCTTCAATTTCTCCTTTTGAATTTATTTTTAATTTACAGATCAGTCAAACAAGTTGCATTTGGCAGTGCAACGTGACTATCCACAGGCAGAACAGCTGCCATTGCCCTCAAATATCGACATCAATGAGACTGCACGTTTCTCTCCTTTGCGAAATCGCGACATAACATCCGAATCTATTAGCATCCACAATCATGGGTTCAATGGCATCGATGTCACTTTAGATCATGCACAAAATAAAGCGGGAAATGAAATGAACACTCCCAGATTTAGCAACCCTCATTTGGAAAGTTATGATCGCAGTTCGGCTGTCAATTTAAGTGCCGTTATGCAATCAACAGTTCCAGAACCATTCGGAGGCAATCACAAGTTTTCATATTTAAATATGCCAGGCGGAAGTTGGGGACAACAAACGAAATATCTTTCACACGAACTCAACTCGGCTCACTACACTGAACTTCGTCAAGAAATGCGAAATGATTGGTCAAATTATAAAGGTATCAATATGAATGGATTGAATCGCTATTTACTTAAACCAAATTGCTTGAATGAACATCATTTTTTATTAATTAACAAACGATTCATATCATTGAGTTGTAATCGGTTTAATGAACAAATTCAGAAACCAACAGGTGAGTCTGAAGAAAAAACTTCTGAGATAAAAGAAAGCGCGCAGTCAAAACTTAAAAAAGCGGTCAAGGAATATGGATCAACGGTGATTGTCTTCCACGTTGGAATTTCCTTGATATCACTGGGAATGTTTTATGTGCTTGTCTCAAGGTGGGTCGAAATAATATTGTGAAAGATGTTTTTGAACGTTTTCTTCTTCACATCACACGCAAACTAATAAAGCCATTGAAATTTCTTTTTCACTTTCTAAATTTAAAAACACAATTTAAGACAAACAAATTTTCTTTTTCTTTATCACAGTGGACTAGACGTCATGGCTCTTTTAGAGAAGATTAATCTTGCTGATAAATTACCGAAAATTGCTGAAAATGCATCAACTTTTGTCATCGCATATGCAATACATAAAATATTCGCACCTGTAAGGATATCAATTACATTAGGCTCGACGCCATTTATTGTTAGATTTTTAAGAAACAAAGGGATTTTGAAGAAATAAAGAGAACATTTTACACATATCTAATTTATTGTTCGTTCAATCTTTTAATTTTTAACGGTCTGCTACACAATAAAATTCAAAAATAAAATTCGAAATCGCGCGCAATTAAATTCGAAATTAAAACTGTAAACATTGCGTTGAAAGAAGTGTTACAAATAAAGTTTTAAAAGTTTTTAGTGCTATGCGGTTCTAAAATTCAATCAAAAGATACAACATTCTTAACAGCAATGAATAATCTGATGGATTCTGATATTCAGCGCTTTGTTGCCTGTCTAGTATTAGGTAAAAAGAAATAATTTAGTTTTAAATTAATTTTCACATCTGTTAACTATTTCATATTCCTAGGATATTTGGAAAACCAACAACTCCAAAAGGCATATGGTTCCTTCTGTGATACAAGCAGACATCTTGTGAAAGAAAGGAATGGATTAAAGTGCGGAAACAAGCCGCTAGATACATCAATTGGACTCGTGAATATAGTTAGAGATTATTTCTTATTCAAATCACAAATTAATGATTTTTTGCGAATATGTCCTCAATCGCCTATCAAAATCCAACTCATTGAGACAGATAGCTTACTGAACCGCTTGAAAATCATCTTAAATAAATTCAGAGAAAGTTTACAAAAATTATATCCAAGCAGTAACAAGAAACGCAAACGAAATTCAATTGAAGATGAGTTTGATATTTCACAAACCAATACTAGTACTCCTGAATCCATCAATCCTGCGTTAAAACGTAGACGAAAATCAATAACGACGCCGTTTTTAACGTTGAATAATAGCAAAGTGGATGATAACGAAAATGTTGATGTTGGATCATCGCAAAGCTTAGGAATGAATGGCGAAAGTAACAGTTCATCATCAACATCGGAAAAAGAGGATGAAAATGAAGTGGAAAGTCCAAAAATAAATAAATCTAGTCTCACGCCTGATGTACTTAAAAAAGTAAGTTAAATTTTATTAAAAATTCTTTCAATTTATTTTTTTTGTTTCTTCCTAGCAAATCTCCGATTCGCTACTCAAACGACCAGATTTGGCTGATAAAATCGCTGACTTGATTAACAGCACAATGAATGCGAAGGAAACCGAGCCAACGACGTCAAAGAATTGCCAAGAAAACAACGGAAATGTTTTTACCGATGAAGATTTGGAAAGAATTTTGTCTGAGACACAAAACGATCCGTCATTTGAAGAGATTATCAATGACATCGTTTTCACTTATGAGAATCAAACCAATGTGCAGCCACCAGCGTCTGTTGAACCTTCCACATCATCACTTGTTGAGAATTCTCTTCTTGATGATGTTGAAGAAGTTCCATTGAAGAGAAGACTTCGACCAAGATCTGAACGTTCGGCTGTAAAGACACAAAGTGCAAGGAAGAAGAAAATTAACATCATTTCGAATGAACCATACAATGGAATTGTTCCAGCAGTTGCAAATTTGTCTCCCGTGTCACTATCTGAAGAGCAGTCAACGGAACTACCACAAATGCTAATACAAATGCCACTCTTTGTTCAAAATGGGAATGAAATGATTCCCGTGATGCAAAACATTCCATCGTCAGTCGTTGAATCATCTTCGGGAATTATTGAACTTTCACTAGAAACATTCACAACAGCTCAAGCAGTTATAAACAATGAGACTGAATATACGACTGCTACAGCCACAATGAATATTGAAAAAGTTGTAAACATTGAGAATCAACAGGAAAGTACGCCAAAATTCACGAACTTTACTAATTTTCCAAGTTTGCATGCATCTAAATGCAACTCAACGCCACGTAGAAAAGCTTCACATATAAGAATACTCAATTTCAATGAGACTCCTGGAAATAGAAGACTTTCATCTATCAAAGAATTTCAAACGCCATCAGATGCTGGAATTGTTCGAACCACGCCAGGATCAGCTCCACAATTTCTTCATTCATTGGGAAAAGCAAATAATGATGATGGCAATGAGAAGAAAGAAGTTTTAATTGATGAGAATTCAAATTCAAATTCGAATTCAATCTCAAACACACCAAAAGTTATTAAAAATCTTCGTGGAAGGAAAATTTCTGTTGCAAAGAAGGAAGAAAAAGAAACAAAAACTTCTCCAAGCTTCTTAGAAAATCTCACTTACAATGATACAAAAAAGATGAGAAATCTTCCGATCGATCAACAGATGCGTTTGCTAAATCAAATCAAGGAAGATATTGTGATGAAGGAAATGAAACGTCAAAGTCCTAAAAAGAAGAAAACAAATCGAAAGAAAGAAGTTTCAAATGCGAAAGAGAAGATAAAAGGGAAAACTAAAACACCGAAGAAAGTGGCGAAGGTTGAAAAATCTCCGTCGACAGATTCCGATGAGAATAGACCGCTCAGCAAAATGAAGTTCAAGATTGCATCGCCTCGTAAAATGACGCCAAAGAAGTCTGTAAAGAAGAAAGAAAAAAAAATTGTTGAAGAGCCACCAGTGGAGTTAAACAGAAGTGACACGGTTCAAGAAGTCGCAACAATTCTCATTGATTTATCAGCAACAACTTCATCACATCTGACAGAAAATGTCGTGCAAGTTGCTGCTGAAACTAACAAGAAATTGGAAGACGAGAATCAAAACTTGCAAGATCTTATCACGCCCATCAAGGATTCTTTAGAAACTCCTTTTAAAATTGACGCTTTAACTCCACTGCCAAACACGCCGCGCTTTGCAATTCCACTCACAACTTCTTCATTACATGAAACTCCAATCACAAAAGTTATCGTCAATTCTCTGTCAACAATCACAACAACTTCATTGGCGAAAGCTTGCGACATTCTCACGCCAAGTTTTCCGATCACACCTGGATCGAAGTTCACTCCACCTAAAGATGTTGTCGATGGAAGTCCATCAGCTTCGAGTGTTTACAGCACAAGACGAACTGATTATTCATCTTGCAGTTCTTACTACAAACCTGACGAGACTGAAGAAGTTGATTTGAATTCTTTTCCAAGTCGAAGACATAGCGAGTCTGATGGTAATTGTTGTGTGAATGAAAGGCGAATAAAAGTAGTTGGAAGTGCAAGAAAGGTTGAATGTCCTGGTGCAATGGAACGTGTCAAGTCGTTTACAGAAGATTCAAAGGAACTTCCAACTCCACATTACACGATGATGGATGAAGGAGTTTTATCAGAATCTGTGATGACAACAGCAACAGACGACTCATCAAATTCAAGTTCATCGTTTACATGTTCGACATGTTCAACTGACGACTCATCCGATGACAATATCGTTGAGAAATTGGATAAAGCTGAGAAGAATGTTGAAGAAAAGGATTCTGAATGGCAATGTGATGATTTAGAGAAGCAAACTGCAAGTTGCAGCAGTTCGATTGTTGATGAACGAACAGGTGAAGTTCGATTCCCATTACGCAATTGGATGACACCAAAGAAAATTGACGAATTGCCATCAAATCATCAAGAAATAAAAAAGAAAGCGGAAGAGGAAAAAGAAACAAATAAAATCAAATTGATGTTGAATGAGAAGTCGAAGGTGAGTGTGATGAGTGTTGAGGAACAACACAAACTTCGATTGAAAGAGAATGAAGCTGTTAAGCAACGAACACTTCAGAAGATTAGAAAGGAATCGGCAGCAATAAATGCGAGAAGTTTTCCAAAGATGAAGAAATCAAATGTGAAGAGTTTCAAACTTCCAGCTGAAAGTGTTCCAAGAAGCGTCGTCGGTATGAGTCGCAAAGATCACATTCTCCAACAGAACCTCACTGAACGTCCCAGACCGACACCCTTGAAGTTGATTTCATCCTCATCACGTCGAAAGAATGCAACGCCAAGAAAGACGATCGTCATTGATGAACTTCCACGACAACCGTCACCGATAAAGAAGAAAAAGTCAACAACGAAAGCTGAGAAACCATCACCAGTTAAGATAGAAAGTCAATTATTACTGGAAAATGCGACTGACAATGCGATGATGCCTGAAGATGCTTTGGGACTTAATTTGTCATCGTCATTCAACAGCAGCTTTGAAGACGAAAGTATTTGCACGGTTGTGAAGAAACCGTCAGAAGAATCAACGACGATTATCGAAGAAGGTTCAAACACATTTCAAAGATCGTTAATTGCTCAAGGATTTGAGAAGATTGAAGCGAAGGAACTTCAAACGGAACTTGTTGATAAATTAGAAAAGATTCCAGAACCACCAGCACTTGAAGTTGAAGCTGCTGCATCTGAAAGTGATGACGATGATGATGATGAAAGTGAAAGTGAAGAAGAACTTGAACTCTGCACTGCTGAAGCTAATGAACGAAATGTTTTTCATCACGAGGAGAGTGACAATTGTCATCTTCACATTCCATCACTTTTACCAATGAAAATCTCCACAATGATTTTAAAGTTTGAGGAGCAAACTGTGACTTTGAGTGATTCCGGTGAATTTGATTTGTTCACTATGGAACCGAATCCTGTCGTTAACTTAATAAAATCAAAACATAAGAAAAGTCCCACGAAGAAATTAAATGGAAATCAAAATCATCAATCAAAGAAAACAAAATCACCAACCAAAGAATCGCCGAGTAAGAGTGAAAAATCAAAGAAATCACAAACCAAGAAAGATCAAACGAAAACTTCTGTGGAAAAGTAAGTTCCAAAGCAAATGTTTCTTTATTCGTTTTATGATAACAAAAATTCTTCCTTCATTTCAGACCTCGTGTGAAAATCAACATAAAACCAAAAGACGATAAAAGTCCAGCAGTTCATATTAATTCAACTGACATCAGAGCAATTCTTGATAAAGTACACGGGAAATAATTTTTCTATACGACATTGAAATTTAAATTTTCTCAATTTCCCCACCTGTAAGAATTTTGTAAAATAAAATTATAGTCGACTAAATGATTTTTACAAAGAATCATAAACAAATCATTTTGGTTTACTTTTTACTGTTTGTTTATCGAACAATTTATTTTTTTCCAGTTAGAAAAATTAAAGAAAAGAATTAAAAATAAAAAAAGGTTTGGAAAAAAAGATTTGCGAGAGTGTTGATTGTTTAATTAAGGTTTACGTGAAGGTTGCATAAGATTAATAGCTGCAACAGCATCAGGGAAAAGCGAATGGTAAGTGACGAGTGGAACGTAAGCAGCTGTGATGACTCTTCCGGCAAACCATCGTCCATGAAGTGCGTTGACAGCGAGAACTGCAGTTGCGATTGAAGGACATTTTACGTAAACTTTGCCATCGGGCGATGCTACATCAACATAAACATGTAAAACTCCACCGTGTTTGTTGCATTCATCAACGACATCATCTTGAATCTCACGGTCCCAATTTGGTGTTGTCTCCGTTGCTGGGTCAAACATATTGACAAGAAGGAAACATTGAGTTGCAATTGGCGGCGTTTCTTCAACAACTGGAGGTGGTGGTTGTGGAACAGAAGCAAGCAAAGCATTCGCGGCAGCTTGTGGAACCGCTAAGCCAGCACCTTCTGCAAGTTTAAACATCAATTGAAGTCTTCCTGTTGCGCCCAAATCGATTCCACTTCGATCCATTTCATCTGTATCGAGTGATGCGTGTGCAGTTACATCTAATCGTTCAGTTACATTTCCAACTTTCATTGGACGACCAGCCAGCTCAAATCCATTTAATTGCTCGAGTGCTTTTTTGGCATCGTCAGCATTGTGATACTAATGGAAGAGTAAAAATTAAATTAAAAATCTTAAGCATTTCAAAATCTTTGTTTATGTTCAAAAATTTTCGAAAATTATTTTTTTAATTTTATTGTTTGAAACAACAAAATCCAACGAAACATCATCAAATGCAACGTCAAAATTTGAAGTAGTCGAATCAAATGTAATTTGTTTTTGCATACTTCATCCCCTCGATTAATCACCAAAGATATAATCAGATTAATCAAGGTCAAGGGCATGCGAAAAGTTAATAAAAATATTATTAAACTTACCGTAATAAATCCGTAACCTTTTGAACGTCCTGTCTCGGGGTCCATAATTAATTGAATGTTGTCAATCTTTCCAAATGGCTCAAAAATTCCTCTCAACATATCTTCTGTGATGTTGAAATGAAGTGATCCGACATACAATCGCATCGGTCCTTGAATATTCTTCGGTGGTGATGGCGGCGAATTTGCATTTGCCATGCGATTCTTCTCAGCTTGTGTGTGTTGAACTGAAATGGGAATTCCTAACAATTTCAGACCAGATAATCCCAAAGCAAGTGCAACCGATTCAGGATCTTGAAATTCAATGTAAGCGATTCCTTTGAAGCGTTTGGTCTTGTTGCATGTGATAAGTCGAACGTCTCTCACTCTGCCGACACTTGAAAAGAATTCTTCCAAATCTCGTGCACGAACTCGTTGTGATAATTGCATACAGAAGACTGTTCTGGCATCTCTTTCTTCATAGCTTAACTTCTCAGATGGCGAATCGTCACGATAACCAAGCCCGTTTGGTGGTGTTCGTCCACGACGGAATGGGCGAGGTGAGATTGACCGACGTCGTCTGTGGATACAAATTAATTTATAATCTTTTTCTTTCTCTCTCGAAATTATTAAAAATTTGTCGTTTCTGTCAAGAAGACTTTAAAATTAATTCTTAAAAAATCTTTAAATAAATTAAACATGAAACTTTCTTAATGTCGCATTGCATTTCCCACCAAAAAATAAAATTGAAAGGATTCATTTTTCAGTTCTACTTCATGCGATTTAATGAAAATTTAAAAATTTCTTACCTTTTTTCAGGTGTTTTTGTTCTTGTCCGTTTACTGTCACGATCACGTCTTTTATCTTCACGATCTCGGTCACGATCGCGATCACGTGATTTGGTTCGTCGTTTTCTGTCTCGATCTTTTGAACGTGAGCGATCACGCTTAGATTTCTCTGTTTGATCTCTCGATTCCTTTTCCTTCTTCTCAGGTGTTCGTGATCGTCGGTCGCGTTTGCGCTCATCACGTGTGCGATCCTTTGAACGGCGTCGATCCTTCTTTGACTTTTCCTTTTCTTCACCTTTTGATTCTTTGTCCTTGTGACGTCTTTCTTTAGATCGACTGCGACTACGATGTCGGCTATTTAATAAACATATTTAATTAATGAATGTTTTTAAAAAGAATTAAAATTTAATTACCTTGATTTGTGCGACGTTCCATTTTCACGGTCTTTGTCTTTGTCCTTCGACTTTTTACTTTCTACGACATGAGGCGATGTTGATTTCCGCTTTCCATTGGCTCCCGAATCCTATTGATTATTGAAACATCAGTTTTGATATGATTCAAACATTAATGAAATAAGTTTGTAGAGGATAAGAAAAAAGTTTAGTTGTTTGGTTGTTGATTGCCATTCCATCGTGATGTTGTCCATCCATAAAATTAGTGATCGTCGTCAGTATTTGAATGAGATTCAGAAGCAATAGGACGACGAAAGGGGGGAAAAAATTAAAAGAAAAACAAAAGAAAAATAAGAAATTGTGTTAATTTAGTTTCCAATATTTTGTCGTCAGGAAGATAAAATTCTTATTATCTCTAAGTCGCGTATATTGTGGTTTTCATTCCCAAAGTTGTGTGATAAAAACAAGTGAAAAATCACTTAAAATCCTTCTTATGTGGCACAGATTCTGTTCGGAATTTGCCTGCGTTGAGAAAACGAAAGAAAAGTGCCAGCCAACAATAAAATTTCACTTACCATCAAACATGTCAATTTACTGACATTTGACACGCAAACTTTTCATATTTCTTTTAATTTCATTGCTTTTACATGTTTTAATTATTTGACATTAATGATCGCGCGAGTCTTTCTGTAAAATAATAAAATCGCGTAAAAGTTCTGCTCATTCATATTTGTGGTTATCAAAAATAATCTGAATTCTACTACAGTAGATGGTGATCTTAATTAATTACCCTTTGAACATAATGTGACCCCCAATAAACTTTACACAATCAGTAAATCAGGCCGAAGGACTTTTTATCTCTGACTCGGATCTACAAATATAATAAGAAAACTTTTTTTGTTTTGCTTTTGCTTTGTACCATCAATTGTGAAATCGATTCAAGCGTGTTGTTGTTTGCAACATCATCTGAGACCTGAACAGAGAAATGGAAAACGTATTTTTTTGTTGAAATTATTAACTTAAGTTTTTCTTTTCTTATGACTTTTATTTGGTGATAAACCACATCAGAAAATCGTCTCGAATCTCGTGATATTGGACCTATTAGATTCAGAAACAGAAAATATCATTAAAGTATTTTTTTCTTTTTTTCTTAGTATGGGAACATCCGCGTTGTTTTACAAAAGGCAAGTCATTATGCCATGGGGACAAGTTTAAGTGTCTAAAATGAGAATCAAGAAAGATATTTGGGAATTTTTTAAAGACACCAATGACGATGACCATCTAAATGCGTGAAATTCTCAGATAAATTATCTAAAAATAAAGAAAACTATTATACATTGTAAACAAGCTTTGACATTTTGACTCGTAAGTGGCGTGGGGACGAGTTTTCACTTTGTAACCAACATCCCATTGCTAAATTTTTTCTTCTTTTTTCTTATCGCTTTTACTTTAGTCGCTCTTTCATTTCTTATATATCTTTTTCGTGTGTAAAAAATACCTTTTCTCATTGCTGTTGGTCGAAGAGATTTCTGCACATTCATGTGTCTATAAAAAACGAGTTGGTTTGTTTCATTGAGTTCACATTTATCAATAGATATTTTTTTTAAATGTTCTTAGTTATGATCTTGTCAAGTTAACTTATATACAAATATAATCAATCCTACCAAAATTTTCGTTATTGTTTGTTTTTAAAACTTACGTTCTTAAATGGGGCATCCAGTAAATCATCTAAATAATCCAAATCGTCGTCCGCCATTTTTTTGGTTTCTTCTTTTTTTATCTGCTGCTGGTAGTGCTTTAATTTTCAATTCTATTTTTTCAACTTAACTCGAGTAATATCAAATTAACTTGAACTATTATGAATTGTTTATAACTTTATCTTGACGTTCACGATGGTTTTGTGTTAAATACGAGCAGTGAAATGAATTTTTATTTCCGAGAAGTTTGACTTCTTTCTTTCTTTCTAGAAGTTCGAAAATATATCTTCGAATACGTGGTATCACCGAGGGGAATGGTAAATTAAAAAAATTCAAATTATTTTTCGAAAATTCGTTATTTTTTACTAAAAATAATTTACATAGGTTTCCTGAAACATTCGTAACAATTTCATAAATTAAATAGATTTCATTATATCGCTACATTTAGCGTTAATCTTAATGTCAACTACTTTGTCTGCTCTTGTTTCACCGATATTTACAATAGCCACAGGTAATCCTAATTCTTTTGCTTGAAGAACCTGTAGAACAACCAAAAAATTATTTTAAATTGGGGAAATAATAAAATTAAATATCTTACAATTCGATAACCACTAAAAACGGTCAAACTTGAGCCAAGAACAAGAACACCATCGGAATCAATGATAGTACGAACAACTTTTTCTATTCTTGTCCTCGGCACATTATCACCAAAGAACACAATATTCGGTTTTAAAAATCCCCCACATTTAGGACATTCCGGTAGATAAAAGTTATCAATGTCTTCTTGTAAAATTTCAATATCACCTGGTAGTTAAAAAGACATTAATAAATTAATTTTCCTAAGTAAAAACCAAAGAAATAATAAAACTTTACCATCTGGTTTCATCTTTTCAGGTGATGATTCAGCTTCTAACGTTTTTTCCAACAGCTGTGGATTTAATTGATTTAATATCAATTGGAAATCATGTCGTCCAATAGAATAATCACATGGATTATCTCTTTCACCTTTTCCGATGCATATCACTTTGAATCCATTGCCATGAAGTTCTGTAACTTCCTTGCTTCCTGCTTTGCCATGAAGATTATCAACATTCTGAGTGATTATGTGGCTTATCCTTAATTCACGTTCCATTCTTGAAAGTTTATGATGAGTAGCATTAGGTTCAACACTAGAAAACTTTGGCCATCCAAGAAAATTTCTCGCCCAATAACGTTTTCGGATATCTTTTGATTTTACAAATTCAGGATGTTGAATAGGTTTGTGATTTGACCTTTGATAAAGACCTACACCTTCAGAACGATAGTCAGGGATTCCTGTTATATCATTTAAATATTAAAAAGTTCTAAAAACAATTGTCATTCAACTAGATATGAAAATAATTTCACCTGATTCAGTTGATATGCCAGCACCTGTTAAAACCAATATACGAGGCTTGTCATTTAAAAATTTCCTTAACTTTTCAACATCTTCCATTTTTGCAATATCATGTTTAGGTACAAAGAACTGTGTTGCTAAATTTCGTGAAGGAATTTTGAAATTTTTCAATTTTATCATTTTTGTTTGTTTATTAAAAAGATGATGAACAAAAACTAGGAAAGATTCCGTTGAAAAAGAAGGTTGAGGGGCTTGTGACTTACATAGGAATTAAGAGAAGACATCCAAGGGGGGGTTTTCTGTAATTTTAACACCAGAATTTTTGATATTGTTCGCTTTTCTGGTACTTAATTAAAATTAAGGCGAAAATGACATTTTTGTTTCACTTCAATGAATATTAAGGTTTTTAACACTAATTCTATTAGGTAGTTTTCACAAAAATTTTGCTTTCGCAAGCAAATTTCCAATTTGAACTGCCCCTTGACAAAAATAAAATAAATAGGCAGAGTGAAGATTGAAAAATACGAAAAAGAAATCAAGTTTAAATAAGAATTGTAAGATGTCGGAAATTAATGAGTTCTTAAATGACTGGGAAGAACTTTCAAATGAATATAAAAATTTAGAGGTAAGAGTTCAAAAATCATATAAAAAAAGAGAAAACACAAATTTAAATTTCATTCGATTTCAGAATGTCAACAAAACTTATTTAGAACTTTTGGATGGTTTAGAAGAATTGCAAACGAAATGTACCAAAGATATCAATCATCAAAGGTACCGAATCGGACAAATCACAAAAAATTTAAAGTAAGTTGCATGGTTATAAGTGAAAAGATCCAGCGTTGAAAGTTCAAGATCAGTTGTGATTATAATGTATGAAGAAAAATTATTTCGTAATTATAGTCATGCAATCAGTGCGTGGGCTAGACCTTCGTTATCATTTGACTAAGCTTTCAAGATCAAAAATCAATGGGAAAACTCGCTATCACTATTGTTAGCAACATTGTTTCAAAGTTTGAATCTGCTTTGATCATAAGCTTAGTAATTACCGGCAACAGATAAGATTAAAACTTTAATAACTTTCAAATGAAACTTAATAATGCTAATCTTTGACTTGTGCTGAATCTATTTAAAATTCAATTAGACGATTTCGTTAATTTTATTGCAACTTTTAGAGGAATTAAATCAACAACATCCGATGACCGTACTAAGATTGAAGAGCTGGAAAAAAATATGATTAAACGAAAAGCCCAATTATATGAGATTGAACAGAGTTTGCCACAGAAGAACAGCATGTATTTAAAGGTAAAGTTGTCATTATTTATTTTTATTACTCATCTAGTTAAACATTTTTCGTCGCTTTCTCTCTTTTATTTTATTACCAGGTAATTCTAGGAAATGTCAACGTTTCAATTCTTAATCGTGCTGAGAAAGTTCGCTACAAGGACGACTACGAAAAGTTTAAATTTATTTTAAACTGCATAGGTCTCTTAATGTCATTTCTCAATTTATTGATAAATTATCGTGCACTTGAGTTGGCGTTTATGTTCCTTCTTGTTTGGTATTATTGCACACTTACAATTCGTGAGTCAATTTTAAAAGTGAATGGCTCAAGAATTAAAGGCTGGTGGCGACTGCATCATTTCATTTCAACTGTTTCTGCGGCTGTGCTGCTTATTTGGCCACAAGGTGAACCTTGGCAACTGTTCAGGTCTCAATTTATGGTGTTTAATGTTTACATCAGTAAGTAAAACAGATTTCATTTGATGAACGTTCATTGAATTTATTTTTTATGGCAGGCTTCATTCAATACTTACAATATGGATATCAAAAAGGTCTTTTATATCGACTCAAAGCGCTTGGAGAACGTCATGACATGGACATAACTATTGAAGGTTTCCACTCATGGATGTGGAAAGGACTTTCATTCTTACTTCCATTCCTTTTCGGCGGATACATTTTTCAAGCCTACAATAGTTATGTTCTTTATAAGTTATCTTCACATTCAGATGCACCATGGCAAGTGTTTGTTTTGAGTATTTTGTTCTTCGTTTTGTTCGTTGGGAATACTTTGACAACATTGTGGGTTGTGCCTCAGAAATTACGAGGCAAAATAAAGGAAAATTATAGACTGAAGAGTGTCTCATGGGCAATGAAAATAAGACAACAAATTAAGGTAAAGCTTAAGATTGATCATAAATTTTTTATAAATTTATTTTTATTTCATTTACTTAGGGTGAAAAGGCAGAAAAAATTCGACTGAGTGAATCACACGATGATGGGAGTTTCGAACAGGAATCAACAAAAGACAAATAAAGAAATTGTAAGCTTCGACTTGAAGAGAAAAAATCAGCAAAGTCTGATGGTGTAACATTCAATTAAAACTTATCACAATCTTCGTTTCACTTCTTGTTAAGTAAATATTCGTTGTTTAATGACTGAGCCTTGATAGTTGAAGGCAAAATGTTTTGTAAGTTTACTTAGAGATCGGAAAAAAATTACTGCTACAAAATTAATTATTCGATGTAAAAATAAAATTTTTCTTCGTTGTTGTGTTTAGCTCAGTGAAGAGTTCGCTTGAAAGTGAACAAATAAAGGGAAAAAATAAATTAAATAAATAATTTAAATGTTTGACATTATTTCAAGATGTTTTAAACTTGGTTTAGGTTTCGACTTCACATTTGTGTTGGCTACCTAAGTTTATGTTTACTAACAATGTTAGTCATGGTCATGAAAACAATTCCGTATATGATTGAAATATTTATTTTTATCAATGTCATGAGTAATCAAGTAAACAATTGAAGATAAAGCCTATCATTAAAATTGAAAATTCATTAATCATTAAATCGGAATGTGAGTTTTGATTGCTCTGCTGGAAAATTTAATTTATGTTTATTCTTTTGATAATAAAACGAAGCAAGTTTTGTCTAAAATATTTTTTATTTTATCTCTTCGTCATTCGAATTACAATCAACATTCCCAATCTCGTCATTGCAACGTTATATTCATTGCACAAATCTAATTTAACTCTCGATGCATCCATGTCGATTGCTTTCAAACGAAGCTCAATAGAAAATTGAGAAAACATTTTAGCGACTTTCTTCAAATCAAAAATCGTTTGAAGGTCGAATTTCTTGTAATGTTCTCCAGTTTGTGTCATACTCCAATTAAGTAAAATGTCAAGTTTTGGTAGTTTTTCTTTAAGTTTAAAAATAAAGTCAATGTTGTAAGGAAATGCTGCGTCAAGTTCAAGTTTCTCGAGATTTGGAACCACTTCTGTTAACTTCAGCAATGTAACTTCATTCCAATTCACATCATCAGATCCAAACCCAAATCCATGGAGCGACAAATTCTTCAACACCAACGAATTAAAATCAAAATTGTTGCAAAGCTTGGCAAATTCTTTGCTGTAATGATAATCAATTTGCAGATTTTCAAGGTTCTTCATGTTAATTAAATAAGAATCGAGAGACAATGGATGATCACAACGAATATTCAAATCTTTTAAATTTTTAAATTTACTTCCCATTCGTTCGATTCTATTCAAAGGCACACCAACATCGGTCAAATAAATTTTGAGCTTTTCAAGCTGTTTCATGTCTTGGCGACTGAAGTCTTCGATTATCGAAACAACTGGTGCGATGTCATGTTCAACACTTTCAATTTCTACCGACTTCAACTGATTTAAGTTGGGGAAATGTTCATTAAATGTCATTGCACTTAAGCCATCAATATTCATGCTAAACGCTTTAAGATGCTTCAATTTGCAAACAGCTTCAAATGCTGCTGAATCTTCATCGAAGCATCCACAGTTGATCAAATCTAAAGTTATTAAATCTGGTTGATTTTCGATTATACTTTGAATGGTTGAACGTTCCAAGTCGTCTTTGTATCTTCTCATTTTGATTGTCAAGTTCGATAGTTTTATGTTTCTCAAACATTGACTATTTAAAGAATCAACGTTTAATGTGAGATTTTTTATTGATTGTTGTGCGTTGAGAATGCTTGTTGGATCTCCTTGAATATCCAAAATCTTCAAAGTGTTTTTGTCAAGAAATTCCGTGAAAAAGTCGATAGTTGCTTGATCACATTTTTCTATTTTAAGTTCTGTTAAGTTTCGAAGCTCCAATTTAGAAAATGACTCTTCATAAACTTCTAATTTTAAATTCCAATGAATTGCGCTGAATGATTCCAAATTGGGAAGAAATTGCAGCAAACTTAAAATCTCAACTTTCGATAATTTGCAAGACTCCCAAATGAATCTTTTGATGTTCTCTCCATACTTGAAAGAAATTGCTTTTAAATTCCAATATTGCTCCAATGTTAACACTTTACAGGTGTCTATAGTAAATTCATCAAATTGCCTTTCTGAATTAAGAATCGAGTTGAAATTTTCTCCACTCAACTAAGGAAATGGGAAAAATATTTTAAAATTGACGCTGACATAACAAAATAATTTTTACCTTTTCTGTAGTGATTCTTAAAGGAAAAGTATTTCGATCAATCGTGCATGTTACCGAATATAACTTCTTGCAAGTTAATGCGACATTCTTACGATTGTCAACAAACTTCAGAACATGAAGCAAGACCTCATTAGGAACAAGCCAATTTCCATCGTCATCTTGCATTTTAATTCGTGCTTTATACATTTTAAATAAAACTATTACGTTTTAAACTTTAAATTGACTAGAAATATTCAACAATTAGGCTTTAAGAACTGTTGTTAACTAAAATTTGCAATCATTGTTTACATTTTGTTTACAAAATATTTTCTAACGCACACATTCACATATTTGACGATCTTCGAAATTTGCTATAAAAATTCGATAATTTATCGACAAACCGATAAAATCAGGTAACATCATTTCGTAACTGTCCTCACCGATTTTGTTTACCATCGCTTGAAAATTTATAGTACACTTATCTTAAAAAATTTAAAGTTTAGTTGCTTTAATAGATAAAACAAGATTTATATCATGTCTTTCCGATTGTACAAAAAATTGTCTGCCATTGGGATGGGTTCGTTAGGTGGAATTTCACTTTATTACTTCTTGAACACAAGTGAATCTAAATTAAAAAAAGTTCATAATTCGTGGACCACAAATTATACACCATCAGTTAAATGGGACTCCAATTGGGATCATAGAGCAGCTACGAGCCTTTCGAAGCCTCTTTCTAAGGATGCTACTCCTGAAAAAGAAAATGCTTTCAATGAGAAATTGGAGAAAACAAAATCGAAAGCCACTCGTCACTTAATTATGATAAGACATGGTCAATATAACTTGAACGGAGCTACTGATACTGAACGAATTCTTACCGACATCGGTCGTCATCAAGCAAAGCTCACTGGAAAGCGTTTGGCTGAATTAAAAATTCCGATTGATGATGTTGTCATTTCAACAATGACTCGAGCTCAAGAAACAGGAAAAATAATATTAAAGGAATTAAGTGATTCTAAAATCGCTATAAGTCATGATTCATTAATCGAAGAAGGAGCTCCAATACCGCCAGAACCTAAAGTTGGTCATTGGCGACCGGAACAATCGGTAATTAAAAAAATCTTATTAATTAAATAAATTATTTATTACACACTTTTGCCTGCAGCAGTTCTTCCAGGACGGAAGTAGAATTGAAGCTGGTAAGAGAAACACTATTCAATTTTTAATTAACTTTACGAAACTAGATGATTAAATTTTTAATTTAAACAGGTTTTCGTGCTCATTTTCATCGTGCGGATCCAAATCAAGAAAAAGATTCTTACACGGTGCTTGTATGTCATGCAAATGTAATTCGTTATTTCGTTTGTCGTGCTTTACAGTTTCCACCTGAAGCTTGGCTAAGAATCTCACTTCACAATGCATCAATCAGCTGGATTACAATTTATCCTAATGGAAGAGTCATTTTACGTTCACTTGGCGATGCGGGTCACATGCCATTGAAATATTTAAGCACTACGTAATCGTTCAATCCTCCAACTCAAATTAAGCTCAGAATCTTTAATTTTGTAACGCACTAACCATTTACCCTAATTTGTATCATAAATAAATAAATCTCCAAAACTTTTCATTAATTTGTGAATAACTGAGGAGATGAATATATAACGAACTTTTAAATTCAAATATTCGATCTGTCGACTTTGTAGCTGTCAATTTTTTGACAGGAACCGCTTTGTTGTAAATTTGTTGGAGGTTTTTAAGAATTCGATTGCAGTTGTTTTTCGTACACGGTACTAAGAAGAAAGTTAAGAAAAAAAGTTAAATTTAATAAAAATATCAAAATGAAGAGCACATTTCTACTGGTTCTTCTCATTTTACCTACAATCATTTTAACATTAGAAGGTGAGAATGCAGAAATAATTCGGAATTCTTTTTTCCATGCCACGCAAGCATGAACATTTCTTTGATTTTCTTATTATCCTGAATGAAATTGGTTCATCACTTACTTACAAAGTTTTATTTCAATCATTAATTAGGCAATAAGATCTTTGCACATGCAAACGAGGATGAAATTGACGAAGATTTAGTTGATGTTGAAAATGAGAACGAAGGTGATAATGAAGATTCTGAAAGTGCTCTCGTTGGCGATGATGTGGAGCCCGATGAAGATAGTGAAAGTACAACGTCACCGGATGCTAACACTCACCTTCTTTTCGTTCGACCACTCTACACACCAGGCTCACAACTTGAATTACCTGGCGGTGTTCCAGTAGAATTTCTCATTGGTTTCCTCAACAAAGGCAAAAATGATTTTATTATTGAAACCGTTGAAGCTTCATTCCGTTATCCAATGGACTTCAATTATTTCATTCAAAATTTCTCAGCTATTGGCTATAATCGAGAAGTGAAGCCTGATAGTGAAGCCACCGTACTTTATTCGTTCCTTCCTTCGGAATCATTTGCTGGACGACCTTTCGGATTGAACATTGCAATTAATTATCGCGATTCAAATGGTTCACCATACACCGAAGCTGTGTTCAATGAAACTGTTCTTATTACTGAAGTTGATGAAGGATTCGATGGCGAAACATTCTTCCTTTACGTTTTCTTGGCAGCTATCGTCATTTTGTTATTGGTTGTTGGACAACAATTCCTTGGATCATTTGGAAAGAGAAAGCGTTCACAAACTGTTCGTAAGCAGGTCGAAACAGGAACAACAAATAGCACTGATATCGATTATGATTGGTTGCCAGCACAAACTTTAAGAAATCTTCAAAATTCACCAAATGGAAAAGGAAAAATTTCACCGAAACAAAGTCCTCGTCAACGTAAAGCAAAACGTGCTGCTGGTGATGACTAAATGACATTCAATCCTTGAGATTCATTCTAAATGGTTTTTAAATTACATCAACATGATCAACAAAACTAAATAAAAAAGAAAATAAAAATTTTAGACTGTGAATTAAATTTGAGTGAAAATTTGGAAATCTTTAAAAGATTTTTCATCACTCAACGAATGTTCTGCGGATTCATAGTTTCATAAACAATATCATTTTCCTCCCCCACCATCATTAATAAGTCACTCAATTAACAACATCAACAGCAACGCAGAACTGCAATCATTTTTGCAAGAAAAACAAAATGTTTCATCCTTCTTCTTAGCTAAGAAGACTTAAAATAAATTCTCATATGTTTGAATGTAAAATTGTTTTCTTAAGCAAATAAAAAAACAAGAAAAATTCAATATTTTGTGTAATATTTGATTGATTATCAACTAAGTATTAATCATCAGCTTTATTCTTTTTTATTTAAATTTTTATTCATAAACAAGTTTTCATCTCATCCAGTTCCATAAATTTGTTACTGTTGGATTTAAAAGAGAAAAAGAATTTTACTGTCAATGACTGCAACATTACAAATGAAGGAAGAAAAAAGGAAAACTTTAGTTTTATTTTTTAAATTATAGGTATATAAGAAAAATAATGAAATGAAATGATCGGAAGAAATCAAAAGAACAGAAATGCGAATTTCTCTGATCATTTAACAAAAGTCATTCATTATTACAAATTGAGAAGGAAATAAAAACGGAGATGAAAAGAAAGGAAAAAGTGAATGGATTTAGAATGTTAATTCATATTTTCATTTCTTTTATCTCAAGTCGAAAGGTCAAACCGCTAATGGTGATGACAATCATGACAGTAAAAACTTTTTTCTTCTTTTTTTCTCAATCATGATTAAATTATTTCTGACCGACAATCATGCCCGTAACACTGCACTTCTTTGCACATAAATCTTTAAAGTTTTTCAGAAGCTTTTCACGTAATTCTTCACGCTTTTGTTTGATGTCATCACGTGATCGAAATTCCATAATATCTTCATCCGGAATGCCATTTTCATTATCATCGGATTGATCGTCGTCCTAAAGAATATTTTTATTAATAACAGAATAAAATGTAAAAGAGAATTCGACTTACAAGCATCTGTTCAAGTGTTAAGAATGTATCAACACGAGTATGATCAATGCCTTTACAGCAAGCATCCGAACAAGCAACTTCTGACCCTTCTGGAGTGCTAACAATACTAGAAGTTCTTGAAGAATTATTATTAGATAAAAGTCCATCGTTGTGCGTTTCAGAACTGTAACCAGCGTCAATGGAACGTTGAGCAGCACATTCACCTTCACCATTATGACATGATTGACACGATATTACCGACAACACTTCATCGCCACTTCCTTTCACATCTAAATTCTCCACCGAAGTACTCCGCGAACGTTCAACTGCATGCTCATAATTCGAAGAAACATTACGACGAACTTTTGATGATGGCGACATAACTTTTGTCATTTTAACAACATTCAATGATGGTCCAAGTCCCACATCGATTATCGTTCCATCGCACAACACAATTTTCTCATCATCATCATCGTCGTCGTCATCATCCGAGTGTAGATTGTTGTCATCATCATCTGAATGAACATGAGCATGATCATGATCAGAACATATGCACTTGTCAGGCACAGGTTCAGGTTCACAATTATACGAATCTTCTTGACTTTCATCATCTTTTGCTTTCTTCTCATTACGCTTCTTACGCTTCTTCATCTTACGTTTCTTTATTTGCTCTTCCTTCAAACGATCTTCACGCGATATTTCATCATAAATGAGCTCAAGATTCACTCCTCTCTTGTTCTCAACAGCGGTATCAAATGAACGGCATAAAGCATGAACAGCAACGGCTGCCAACACTTGACAAGCATTTTCTTCTTCTTTAACACATTGTTGAAGACGCTTTAAACGATTATAAATGCACATCCCGATACATGTAAGCACCTCTTCTTGAGCAATTTCCATCGTCTTTGCATGTCGCTCACGATGACGGGAATGACTAAATTTAATTAAAATTATAAATGTTTATCATGTTTTTCTCGACGATGCTACAAAGTTGCGAAAAGTGAAATTGCGGCAATCCAATCTAAATTCTATTTCAATTATTTCTTTATAGGAGCGCTTGAAACTGCAATGAAGGCTTTTGTATTTGAATCATAGAGACCTTCAAATACTTTGTATGCTGTCACTGCAGTTTCATGTATGACAAAGAAATAGTTGAAGTAGAATTTATCTGCCGAAATTTTATTTTTCGTCATTTTTTGCCATCGTTATTTTAACTCCTAAAAAACTCGCTTACCTTCCAATTATTTCCGGTTCAGCCCGTTTAATGAGGTCATCAATATATTCAATCTTGGTGGGGAGATGAATATGTTTGTCCTTGAGACACCGCTTAATTCCGTTGTAAATTGCAGTAACGTAGCCTTTTTCCTTAGCTGGATTGGCTTCATTCATGAGTAACGTATAAGCTTTCTCTACTTTCGTTCGGCATTCTTGACAAAATTTGTGCTTCTTCAAATATTCATCTAAAGTAGCGTGCAACTCATGTGCATCAACAACCGTGATTTTCTCTTTACAATTTTGTTTCATGCACTCCCACATCTCGAACCATGTCTCAGAAAACGGTCGTGTACGAAAGGATTCCAATGAATGAAGATTACATCGAGAATTTTTCTTGTTACGCGGTTGATTTTCGAGTAAAACGTTTAGCTGAGTATCGTGGTCGAACAATAAAGTGCACATCAATTGAGAAGACTGTAGATGCTTGTCACACACACTCAATACACCATTGCGAATCTTTATTGGATCCAATGTTGCATAATTGTTGCTCATGATTGTTGAATAAAGACGTTCAACACTTCGTCGACATCCAACACAGGGCACGATTTGACTCAATACATTCTGGAATTCAATCTTCGTTACGCTCAATGAACTTTTCAATTCTAATGGCTTTAAGAGTTTAAACTTCTTGTCAAACTCCTCAAATGCTTCTCCTTCAATTGGTGAACGATCAAAGACCAATCCTTTTGCACTGAGGTCCATTACCATCTGCAATTGATATAAAAAGAAAGTTTAGTAAAGATAAAAAATTTATAAATAGAAATGAGAAGACGTGAGTTCGATTCCCGACAAAGAAAACGACGAAACATTGTTTTTATTTTTATCCCTAGAGGAATCTTCACTTCCCACTTTTCTAAATCAAAATAAAGATGGTAAACTTTCACTATTAGATGTCATTTATGCTCTCATGTCCTACATTTCTTTTCAATTCCAGTCTACAATTAAATGTCTTTTCAATCTTTCTTTTCACAAGAGAGATTACCAAGTTTCATATTTCGAAAGAACAGACTAAATCAAACATAAGAATTGAATGGAATTTTCCTCGAATACATAAAATGAAAGTTCCAAAGCATAACCTGACGAAACCTAAAAGTTTTTAGGCCATTTTGATGTTTTAAAAATTTATTAATCTTCTTGAGATTGTGGAACTTTTATCCTCGCTATCTCAATAATTTGTCTTCATTTAAATGCCATAATTCACCATACCATTAAACTTTTTTCACATTCGCTAGACGATCCCGAAGTCTTCAGATCATGAATTGTCGATAAAGGAATTTGTCTTCGTTTATTGACTTCTGGCGATTTCTTTTCATCGCGTAGTAAGACGAACACATTAGCCATTTGTTAATCACCTATTTGAGGCTATAAAAATCTTTATGAAACAACAAAATTCAATAATTTATCTTATAGAAATTTGTTAAATATTTATACACTCTCCACCTAAAACTGCACCCTCAGAAACTTAGTTTCAGGTGGAGAGTGTGAACCCTTATGCAGGGTTTAAAAATTTCGTTTTCAAATTCAACCGATTCGATTGAACAAAAGAAGTTCGTGAAAAATTTTCATTTTTTAAAATATATTTATTCGAATAAAATAGTTAATCTCTCTTCATAATAACTGATCTACATGAGAAAAATATCAAGTTATCCATCATTAGGCACTTCACTTCTTTTGATGCAGGTGTCGAATTCGTTTCTCCAAATTATGATGTTAACATCATCGATGTTTTCACAGAAAGAGATATCAAGAAGCTTAAGATTGGAACAGTTTTGGAGTATTCTAGATAGAAAGATAGAAGAATAACAAATATTTTTCAAATAATTATCAGATTACTTACTTCAAGCACATTTCCGATGACACTCCAACGATCCCCATTAAATCAAGATGTTCTAAGTTGGCACAAAATGTTGAAATGTTTTCGAGATCACGTTCGGAAATGCCACGGATAGCTGCAAGAACAAGTTTCTTGAGATTGACACAATTTTGTAAGAGAAGTTTGAAACTTTCGGTAACTGATGCTTCGTCTCTCAAACACCAACCAAAATCAAGTTCTTCCAAATCTGAACATTCCGACAAAGCTCGTACACCAATTGTTGTTAAATTATGACATTTCCACATGTCAATAGATTTCATCTTCTTGTTGAATGCGGATATCTGAATGCACACTTCATCCATGCTAACATGATGAGATGAGAATGCAATGTTCAATTGTTTTAGATTCAAGTTACTCTTGATTATGTTAAGTAAAGCGATCGTATCGATTCCACTTCTACTAAGATCCAATACTTCAAGATTATGAAGCATTGCAAGACTTACAAAGTCTCGTTCTGTTGTGACATTCATGTAATTCCTCAATGACAACTCTATGAGGTTGACACATGTTATGCTGATTGTTTCAATGCATGTTGTGTTCATAAATTGTGATGAATTTAAGCGAAGATGTGAAAGAGTTTTCCCATTTGTTTGAATAAATTTTATGAAATCATTTGGTTTAATTGTATCAAAATATCCACAAGAACTCAGATCAAGTTTTTTAATCAGATGAGATCTTTGTGTCAGCGATTCCATGAAGGATGACGTCGACAAATGCCAATAGAACTTCAAATTAATTTCTGTATAAAGAAGTGGATCAAAGACTAGATTCCGAAAATATTTGCAGACTTGAGAACAATTGTAAAGTGATTTTAAATCAAGATATGAGACGACATTACAGAGAATTTCATAAGGAACATCAGTGATTTTCTTTTCTCTTTGACTTCCATAATGATCTATTAAATCAAAAGATTCTTCTTCTCTTTCAAATCCAACATTTTCCATGAATTTACTTAAATCATTCTTAAGAAAATCTTCAATAGCTTCCGAAGGTGTTCTCTGTGGTTTAAATTGCACAGTCTCAAGCTTCTTCTGAATAATTCCTTTGATTTTTGTTTGTTCAGTAAGGGGCTTCTTGGCAGGTATCTTACATTTGACGCCTGTAAGCAACACGCCATCAATGCCAGTGTAATAATCGATGAAGCTGTGATTAAATTCAATTCGTAGAATTCTATATTTAAAAGAGGATTAAATTACATTCACGAAGTCTTACAAGTTTTAATTTGCTAGTCTTACCTTGTAGGTGAGTTGAATTTATTGATTTGCGGACGAAATTCCCTCGCTTTTTTCTCCACGGGTGCTGGAAGTGTCTGCCAAAGTGTTTTCCATTTCTTAAGATTCGCAAAATATGCCAGAATCCTGACAATTGATCCCGGATGATAAGTTTCATATACTCTAATATCTCTTGGAAACACATAGTTTTCATATTTTATAATGATAAAATCATGGAATGTTAGAAGTTCATGTTTGTCCTTCGCGGAAAATTCTATTTCATTTGAAGGTCCATACTTTCTCATAGAAAAGCATTCTGCAAAGTCCCCATAAGCAGGATACTTAGAAGGTCGACCACAAATATTTATTGCAGAGTAACTGATTGATGATTCAGAGCCATAGCAATCCGAAAAATCAACAATTTCATTTGCCCATTGTGATATAATTGTTTCCTTTTCTTCAACAATGCTTAATTCATCAATCATGAACTCGTCATTGTTGTCTGTGCTTTGCATTTTTGATCTATTCACTTTTCACCATTTCCAAAATATTATTACACTTTTCTTAACATGCTAAAGGACTGAAAAGTCAAAAATAAATAAAGAAATCTTTTTTGTTTTGATTTTCGAGAAAACTGACGTCACAACAATTTTTCTTATCGGTTAACCGATTCGTTTGTTTACAAAATAACAAAAAGTTCGGCAAGAAGTTGGAAAATTGTGTTCGCTAAAGAAAAAAGATGAATACAAATAATTCGCCAAAGTTTTTGTGTCGTAAAAATGAAGATACTCTTCAGCCAATTAATACACAATTTTCAGGGATTTTCAACAAAGCTTTATTTACTCAAGAAAATTTAAATATTCTCAACAGCAACAAAAACAACACACATAAAATTCTTTCAAGTCCTCAACTCTCAGAAAGCTCAAATTCAACTGTTGAAACGATTGATTATGAATTTCTTACACCTAAAACAAAAGCTGTTCGACAAATTCCATCATCACCGAACAAGGAACTTAATCTGACAGAATATTTCGGGAAATTTATGGAAAAACCGAAATTTCTTAATTTAGATAGTAGGAACATGGAGATATTGAAGAAAGTATCAAATAATGTTCCAGCAGATGGGAATCTTACTTTCAAAACGTAATATAATTGAAATATTTTATGAATTGCTATTAACGTAGTTATTCCTTCCTTAGAAACGCTTCAAATGATCTAACAAATGTGATTTACTTCAACATACCTCAATCAAAGTTAATAAACCATAACATCATGTCACCTGCTTCTCTTGGTTTGAAGAAAAGACTGCCGGCCACAAGTACATCACAACCAGTACAAACAAAACCCGCAATTACTGCTCCTGCTAAAAGAAAAGTTGGAAGGCCTCGAAATGAAAGTAAAAAGTCTGTTGAGAAGGAAGTTGACCCGTTTGAAGAAGACGAATTAATAAGTCATCGAACCAAATCTGGAAGAATTGTGAAATTCAATCCTGACGTTGCCAAAATATTTCAATTAGATTCTGATGCTGAACCAGTAATGGATGCGCCAACTCCAAAAGTGACTGCTAGCACGCCAGTTCCAGAACTCATCCCTCAACAGCAACAATCAAGACAACAGCCGGAATTATTATCAGGACTCGTGGAACCAGCAAAAAAACCACGAAAAATTTCATCAGAATTCCGTTGTACAACTTGCAAGAAAATTTATCTCGGGAAGAATAAAATGAATCATCATTTTAAGTTGTTTCCAGATCATAGACCGAAGAAGTCAGACGATGAAAGTATTTTATTCACACATTTAATGTCAATGGTACGTCAAAAGAAGAAAAACAAGGATATGGCAGACGTTTTCTTCAAAGAACTTTCAAACTTTGTTCAAGTTTGTGAGAAGTTGACACCGAAACTGATAACAAATAAAGACAATCATCCGAATACTCATCATCATGTTATTGATAAGAATGCTGCGAGTCTTTTAAGAATCAATCCTGGAAATTATCGTTTAAATATGAATGTGTTTGATAAAACATTCAAGTTGGACAATCCAATAGAACCAATCGATAATGAAGAGCAAGAAAACGAGGCTGTCAATAACAGTTCAGAAACCAACGAAGATCATCACGAACTCGAACCTGAAGTGGTTGGTCATGAAGTCATTAAAGCTCTCGACGATGTTCCGAGTCTTGATGGTAATGAAGTGAATTTATTAATAAGACAGACAAACGAGCTGACAAATCTCACGAACATCAGTGACATTGTTGGAGAAACTGAAAAAATTGAACAACATATAAACATGGATGGTGATAATGCACTTTTAGGATTTCTGACCTGAACCATTTAACTTTAAAAACACACGAAAAAGTGTTGTAAATTTTCATTATCATCAAACAGTTCAAAACGATACATGACACAAAATCAATTTCCTAAATGGACGCGATTTCAATCAATTTATTTGAATTGCTTTTTCGCGATACATTTTCCACAGTTCGATGAGAATTTATAGCAATTTCATGTAATCAATAAATTTATTATGTCACGCAATGCACTTCAATTTATATAAATAAAGCTTTACTTGCGGCTAGAAAAGAATTAATGAAATTAATGAACTTTTCTCGTAACTCAGTTTGATGTATTCATATTTAGTTAACAATAATTTTTTAATGGCTTTCTAACGTTCACAATCTCTTCAAATTAAATATAATTGCACAATGCAATGTTGTTGCTTTTGATTGGCTAACGAAGGATGTGAACACGATCAGTAAATTTTTCCATGAAATATTGCTAAGATTAATGTCAGTAAGGCAAACATCTCTCATCGTTATGGAGAAAAGAAAAACTCGATACAATACACACGTCAATCGCATCACGATTTGCTTTCACAGAGAAAAAAAAGCAACAGCAAGTGCGCATCAATTTTCTGAAGCTCTGATGATTATGATGAAGGATATTTTCATTTATTCTTTGCTCTTGTTTTCTCTCCTTCTTCAAGACACCATCTGTTGGCAATAAATACTGCGTCGTTCTATCGCGAAATGAATACGTTCGTTCATAATGCCGGAGCTTAACGAGTGTAAAAAAAGAACGTTTGGGTATGATGTGAAACCTTTCGAATGTTTCAAAATGCTTCATTAGAAATTTACTGCCGTCAAAGCATGGAAGTTTCATTCAGTTATTCATAAATTTCACGAAACATTTAAAGTCTTTTTATATGACGTTTTCTCTATGTTGCTTAAAAATGATTGACTTGTTTCACCTGAGGCTCTTTAAACAATTTACCTTCGTCGTTTGTGTCGTTGATGCATGTTGATGATCCTTGACAAATTTAAACGACAGTGGATATTCTCTTTTTCTCTTATTTAGAATTCTGTTTTTTGGGGAACATCGTTTAATGATGGATCATTTCATCTCATGAAGATATTTTAAATATTTAAATATCCCGAACTTACGATTATCGCACTCCCTAATTTTCTCTCCTTCTTAACCATAAAAATCTGCCGCAAACAACAAACAAAGACACAAAAATTTCTCTCCCCTTAAAAATAAAAAAAGAAAGAAAGAAAGAAAAAGTGGAGAAAACTCTCAAAATCTGATTAAACTTTCTCGACAGTTTTCTTTTCCATTAAATTTCCATCTCGACAACAACAACAACGACAAGTCTTCTGGCACAATTTGTTGGTGTCCTTTTTTCTGTCTCTTATTCAAGAGTTTCTCCATTGAAACAAACATACAACATATTATTATCATCATCAACTCTGTGTATAAAATAATAGTTCCACCAGATGATGCCCTCACGGTTGAGAGAAGAGAAAACCACAAAATTTTGCTTTGCTTTAAGAAGAGAACAAACAATAATTTTTGATGATGTTTATCGTTTTATGATTATGAAAATTTAATGGACAAAAAACGTTCCTTTCTTACGTCGTCTTCGTCTTGATGTCGAGAAATTATGGACTTTCAAGATGATGTTTTGTTTTTTGGGTGAAGTTGAAGTGATATAAGGTCATGATTTCCTCTCCATATTTTATGATGCCGTTCAGGATGATAACAGATTAAAGTTGTGATAGACACGAAGAGCGATAAACAATAAAAGAAAGACTTTAATGACAAGGATCTCGACTTTTAACGATGAAAGTATCATGAAATTATACAGAAGGGAGAGTAGAAATTAAAGTCTTTTGATGATCGCCAAAAGGAAGAAGTTTTTATTAAAAAAAGACAAAAGTTTAAGAAAACTTGTTGTTTAAACATCGTTCAATATTTTACAGTCCATTAATGTCTTCAAATCTTTTTTATGATTATCATAAAATCAGGTAGAAAAGTGTTTTGTTTATAATGAATATTAATTTAATAGACAACTTCATTTCTAATTGTATCAAATAATTTACTTTAAAAAACATCAAATGTCAATTATTTAGTTATTTATCCTAATGAAAATAGGCGGGAAAAACCATCGATAATTACCAAAATATTTTTTATAATTCAATTGTCGAGTTTAGATTTAATTTAATCAACTTCCATTAGATATTCTTTAAAATCCCAAAATGAAGATTCTCATGGAAAATTTTAAAAACTTTTCTCGTTTTCATAAAGAATGTAAATTACGTAGACAAAAGGAAAAATTACGAGACATTTTTCTTCAACCCACATTTCTGAAACATAAAAAAGGATGTTTATGCTTTGAAAGTATCACACGGATTTATTTAATTTACAAGAGTTGATGCCTCGAACATTTACATGCCACAAACATTTTTATGTCATCTCATTGAAAATATTTTATTGATTTCAGATTTAAATTTTGAATGAAATTGCAGGGAAATTGAGTGGAATTCGTGCATATTCAAGAGACTATTTCAGTCTCTAATATTGCAGCCGACTGAATATGGTTGACAACGCGAAATCTCTTTTCCTTTACTTATTATATTATGGCATCGTTCCAAATTGCAAGAACTGTGAAGTCGATAATTTTCTTTCGTCGTTTAAAGTTCACAGAATAAAAGTTTACAGTTCGTTGATTTGGTTTGAAATTCACTTAATCTACAAAGAATGAAAACTTTTGGATTGAAAAGATGGAACAAAGATAACAGATTTGCTATGTATTGTATCTTCAATAATAATAGAAATTAAAAGTTTGAATAAGAACCTGCTTGACATTCGTTGCAAAAATACAAAAAAAGTTGAGATTTTAAAATATTTGAATAAAACGTGGCATCTTTTTCTTGTGATATGTGCCAACTTAGTTTGTAGAATTTTTAAAGTAGGTTAAAGTCAAGAGTTTTAGAATTTCAATATCGTGCTGTTCTAAATAAAATGAGAATATGACTTCGTAACATGCTTCAGGCACATTGACAAAAGAAAAAATTGTGTCGATAATTGGTTAAATTAAAGTAAAATCATTTGCATGAGAATCATACATAGAGAAACAAACATGAGAGAAAAAAATGTTGATATGTTTCATGAGCTTATAATGATAAAAGCCACTCCAACAGGGAATGAACATTTCAGCAAAAAACGAGCGAGAATGCTTTCCACAGATTTAATCCAGTCAATTGATGAAGAAAGTCAATAATATGATATTTATTCCTCGAAAAGCAGCAGTAGTTGAACGTGCTGTGAATTAAAAGCAAATCTACTGCGTAAATTGATGGGAAAAATATTATTAGTTTATTTTGCCGAATCTGATCAATGAGTGAAAATTCTAATGTCGGTTTAAATGTCATTGACAACACATATTTTATTACGTTATCATTTCAGGAACTCATACGGTATTGTCCCTGGTCATGTGAAACAATTTTATGGTGAAAAATTTTCAATGCCAACATACAAATGTAAAATTGCTCGTGAAATTTCAGCAGACAAACCAAATTCAATTTTTTATTGATTTAAAATGATTGGAAACAGGAAATTCACGATGTAATTAAATAGAGAAATTTCCTGACTAAATTGTCAATTGTGATAAGTAGAAGTTTAAACAGTTTCATTTCCATTTTATATTATCAAATAAGTATGTTCAGTGAACACCCTTAAACCTCACATCGTATCAGATTACATGAACTCCCACAAAAATCATCAATCATACATTCATTACATGTCCTTTAATGATTCATTGTCTAAATGTTGATTTTGCAGAAAACTGAATCGATGACAAGAAAAACCATAAAGGCTACTGACCTCATTCCAATCGAGCATAAAATTCGTCTCTAGAATCTTTGAAAAGTAATAAAAGCGGTTGTGATGCTGAAGGCGCACTTCATAAAACTACTGAAGGGTAAAAAGTTAATCTGAAATATTATTGATAAAAATTATAGTCACAGTAAACAGAAGATATCCATGACAGTTACTAAAAGAGTTTAACAGAAAAAATTGCGGCTTTCAATGTTAAAGTATGCAATGAAGATAAGTAATTGAACTAGAAAATAAATTGATGAAATATTTAGTCAAACGATTTGAATTCAAATAGCGCTTTCATTCAGATCATATTGGGTTTGAAAGTCTTACAAACAAATAAATAGCTTTTTTAATCAACTTCTCTTATTGCATATATGAAGATTCTATACATTAATTAAGTTAAGAATTCTGTTACATTTTCCGACAAATTAAAAACTATACAAGAAAACAAGAAATCACGTAATGGTCATAAAATTTAACAAGTTTTGTGTTTTGAATATTAAAATAATATTTTACTTCTTCAACATCATCAAATGTTCCTATTGCTATTCAAACTTAATGCATTACATATCAATTAGTTGTCTGCATGAAATAGAAATCAAAGTTTAGAAGCAATCATATTCTCTTAGAAAATAACATTTATGAATAATCAATGAATATTAAGAGAAGGAGATAGAGAGAGGGAAAGAGGGTATACATTGCAGAACTATCTTAAAGACGTTTGATACACGTGCCACCTTTTAATATCGTATATTTTCATAAAGAAAAATTATTATCCTTTCCCTTTCATAGCATAACAGACACTAAAGCGAAGGAAAATTGAAATTCAGATTCATGTTCAATGTTTTGATGTTTTTGATGCGAATTTTCCAGCATGAAAACATTGGAACAAAGTTGAATTTGAAACACTTCAGAATTTTAATTTTTACAACTTCAGTTTTAAAAGTTTCTCTAGAAGTAACTTAAGTGGTTTTTTTTGTAAATTTTCCTGGAAATGTTGAATTGAAGATTGATCTTATTATAAAAGTTTTGCAATTTTAAATTAATTTCCACAATTCTTCATGACACTAAGTATGAATAACATACTTTCATCATCTAAGGATTTCCCATGAGAGCACTTTTCAACACCCCCGCTATTCCGAGTTTGTTCCAAATCTTACCCAACTCGACGACACTCAAGTATAATTGAAACAATCAAATAAATTTCGGACCTTTATTTGTCATTCTTGACGCTTACTCCCGGCTCGCTAACAATAAAATTACGTAACTGTAAAAAATTGTGGGGATCAAGAAACAACAAAACATTTTCCCATTTACAAATGACAGCGTGTGCTTTTTCCTTATTCTACCACTTCCTTCCCTCCCCTATAAACACAAGGTGAACGGTGATATTCAATTTTCTTCTTTCTTTTTTATTTAATCAGATTCGTTTCATTGCTGCTCATCCCATTACTCTGTCACTTCTTTTCATCTCCTATTATTGTCATGAGATTACTCTTATTTAACACTCCATAAATTTATGATTACGAAATGAATTGCCCGAATATTATTCTTCATCTCCTTTTCCTTCATAACAAAACATTTTTCTCTTGCTTTACATTTTCTTCGCTTGCTTTTTAAATACAAAAACAGCAGAAAGATAACAAAGAGTAGTGGCGATGACATATCATGCATATAAAAGTGCCATTTAGGGGCTTTGATGCTGAAAGAAAGTAATAAAATAACCGCACACAACAAAGGCGACAAGCGTAATGCGCTACAATGAGTTCAAGCAGTAAAAAAACTCTGCATTAGTAGAATGAGTCATGTCTTCGTGTTTTTTTACTCCCTCGTGAGTTAAGATACATAAAATATATCTTCCACATCTCCTAATTTTCATAAGTGATTGTTGAAGTTGAATGCATAAGCGTTCGAGATTTTTCTTGTCTTTCTAATCTCATCACGTATCGAAATCTTTCTCCTCGTTTTCGAGTGTAAGTGCTTGCGTCCATATGTGAGTGAACTTTTTAATCTTAAATTGGATGCTTCAGAAACAATTCATTAAAAGCCCCTTGGTTATTTTTTCATTATTCTCGAGAGCATCGTTCACTTGCTCTCGGCACAAAACTTTTTCATTCTCCGATTGCGATTTTATTATTTTTTCTTTTTTTTTTATTCTGTCACTGAACCAAAACGATATCTAACCGAGAAAAGAATATTTTTTGGATTTGTTTGAAATCTAATTATTCAAAAAAAAAAAGGAATTTTTTATCATATCAAACCATATTAAATAAATTGAATTAATTTGATGTCAAAAACAATCTGAAAATTCGCGTAATTTGATTTAACAAAAAATATGTTTCGGTTTGGAATTTTATGTGAAGAGTTTGAAATTAATTTCAACCTTTTCACACTCATGATGTGTCTAAAGTTTCTTGGAAGGGAAATTTACAAATTTTCATATTAATTAACAGCTGATGAGATGTTAAATGAAACTAAATTAAGCACACACACACACGTGAGTGCAACGTGAACTGATTTAACGGTGTGAAAAAGTTACAAATATCAAATTATCAACTTTAGAAATGTTTTAACTTTCAATTTCAAAAAAAGAATCTTCTTTCTGACTTAAACTTCAAGTCACAACGAATTCTGCACCTAAAAGTTTTCATATTTTACACTTTCATGAGATAATAGAATGTGGAAGTTTAGTAAACTAACTAAGTTCATATTCATGCACACGCAATGAATGAATGCTGAAATATTTTCAACAAGTCTTTTCCTTTGAATTTGATAGTTTAAATTGAATTTTCATAGTTTCTTCCAGGTGATTTAAAATCTGACGTGACTTTAATAAATTTAATTTCAATTTTTCCTTTCAGTAGTGCAATTCGTTAACAATATACATATTTGAACCGACCTTAAATTGTTATGTATCGAGGGTATCTACATCAGATGTTTATATATTTCCCCCCAGTCCTTTCATATCGAAATCATGTCCCAAACATGCATGAGCATAAAGAAATCGACGAGCAATGAACCATCTTCCTTTATAGCCTTTTTTATGGGGAAATAATACTGCGACAAAAGCTTGAAAAATTTTATGGTTCGGCTAATAGATTAATGAATATGTGAGCCATAAACACATAATGTGATTCAGTCGAAAAATACGATGTGTCCAAAGTTATTTCAACAAACTAAAGCAGTTTGATTCAATCACTACGATAAAAAATATATTGAGAAATATTTTCGTTTTCTTAGTATCACGATTTGAATATAAATTCTTTTTTATTAAGTTGCTGTAAAATCTTGCAACTCTTTGAAAAGGAAATATGAAGTATTGTTCGTGTCTCAAAACTTTACTGCTTTAATTTTCAGCTGTTTTCTAACTTTCATAGTCGAGTAGTAAGCAATAACAATTAACATATTTCGCTTATGAAATCCTATGTATGATATTTTGTCTTTCAACAAAGAAGGGTGAAAGACAAACTTACAGCTGTGAAGGAAAAATCTTTTAGGAATCATAAATTCACCCTCGAGACACGCGCTTTCTTCTTTAAACATAAAAATGTTTGGGACGCTAAAATAAACTTTTTGCCTGCCAGCTATTTTGGGTATTCTTGAAGGAGTGGAACATCTTTAGCGTTCGTGTCATGAGTCTTTTAAGTGCCGACACAGGTGTTGATGTTTACTTTCATATCTACTTTTGCATAAACTTTTCAAACGCCTTTCACAGAAAGAAAACGTTGTGTAACTAAACATACAAATTATCGAGAATGTTACAGGCCCTTGTTGTTACTTACATCGATTATCTTATCTCTTTAAGTTTGCTGTTTTTTCTGCCTTCTTTCTCGAGTATTTTAAAACCTTTAGTAAGGATTTTCATCAGCAAACGATGTGAGATAAACGTTCCATGGATTTCGTTTTCAAATTTTGAAAGACAAAGTTTTTAACGCAAAGTGAAGAGAAGCATCTGTCATTAACATTTGCCGCAGAACTCTCGGAGAAACAATTAAATTTGAAACTGCATATTTACATATTTTCTATGTCGCTCAATCTTTTATTTCAATTTTAATTTTTTGGAGTTTTTGCTTAGTAATGAGGATCTGAAATTTTGAGGATAAAATTAAAAGATTTTAATTTTGGTTTGATAAATTATTTTTATTTAAATAGAAAAAGAAATTTAACATTTTATAAAATAATTTAGAAATTTCATTTTTATTCAAGAGTTTTAAACTGAAATTTATTTTACATCATCAAAAACTTTTCCTTTTGGCTTAGACGAATTTTCCGATTCTGATGATTTGTTTTCGTATGAAACTTGCGAACTTTCATTCTCCTTGTTTTAGTTTTCATCATTGCCACCTTGGTTGCCACGATTCATTGGTTCATAATTCCTCAACTGATTTTGAAGCCTTTTAATTTCGTCGTTTTTCTCTTTGATTGTTACACTTTTACTCTCCAATTGATCCATTAATGTGTTGAATTGGTTTCTTGTTGATGTGTATCGAAGTTTATGACTTCGTTCGAATTTCAAATAGTTTCTCAGTTCGATGTTTGTCTTATCTTTCATCAAGATATTCTGAGTCGCCAATTCTTTGTACATTTCCATAATTTCCGCATCTTTTTCATCAATAATGGCATTGCATTCTTTAAATTTTTTATCAAAATTTGCTCTCATTTTGTTATTTTTCTCAATCGCTTCCAACATTCGTTTCTCAAAATCTTGAATCGTAACTTGAAAATCACGAATGGCAGCAGAGTAAAGTTTGACTTCTTCGTTGAAGTCGGCGATTTTCTTTTCTGACTCGTCATTTTCTTGTTGTCTCTCTATCAAAAGCTCGTTGTTTCCTTTGATTTCACCTCGCATCTGAAAAATTTCAGCCTTAAGCTCGCGTGTTTCTTCTTGTAAATTCCTGATGATATTGTCCTTCTCTTTAATCATCGCTTCATAGTCTTCTTTTTCTTCACCGTTGCTACTTTCAGACAATTTTAATTGCTTCAAATGATCATTCATCTCATCAGATAATTTAGGTTTTATTCTCTTCGGGATACGTGAAGGACTCCCCGATACTGTTAATGGACTGAATGGTAATTTTCGTTTTAAACTAATATTTACATTTCCTGATGCCTCAGATGACGAAGATGAAGATGTTGAAAACCTCAGCAGACTAAACTCACGTTCTGTACTGTTAGCAAGATTAAACTTCGGAACTGTTTTAGCTTTCTCTGCACTTTGAGCGAAGCAAAGTGTGTAGTATGTTTCATCAAGAACTGTTGAAGCAACATTGCAAATCACCGAAGTATAAGAGTTCCCACCCAGTGCTGGTGAAAGAATCCTTGCTAGCTTGCATTCACGAAAGTTGACGCGCTTCAAACTCGAATTTTTCTTCGCTAGTTCTCGGATGATTTTCCCAAGAACAAGAAGACTTTGGTTGATGTGCAGGCCTTCATTAAATGTTGTTGCTACTGACGCATCTGGTTTTTCACTTCCAGCCAAATCCACTAAGAATAGATTCGAATTGCGTGAATCCTCAGCGTCATCCTTTTTCTGCGATTTGATCGTTATTCGGAAAATTGTATGCGATCGACTTGAATTTTCGTTGGTGCTTGTTCCAGTCATTCTCTTGCATTTGTTATTCATTTTAAATTTTTTCAAAACTTCCTTTTCGGATGCAGCCACATACTCCTTCTGATTTACCAAGACGTGTCCATTGGATTCGAAAATGGAAAGTTCCGTTTTACCGTCTTCAAAGAGATCATAAACTTTGTCGTTATAAATCTCAATGTAGCCGATTTTCACGACGAATTCTCGATCCTTAGTTTCGTTGATTTCATGAAAGATGTCACGAACTGCCAATGGGATGATTCCAGGCATTTTATTCTTTCCAATCATGGTGTGAGTTTTTCCGCTTGAAGTTTGCCCATAAGCGAAAATGGTTCCATTATATCCTTTGAACGCTTTCTTGACGATTGGTTTTGCTAAGGCGTCGTAAACCTCTTCAGTAACAGCCGTGGATCCAAAGACGTGTTCAAATTGTAATGTATGCTTGTTATCAACAGACTTGATCGTTTTTCCATCAACAATCCACTTATCTTGCTTCTCAACTTCACTTGATAAGTTTGGACGAAATTTGATTCCAACATTAATTTTTGCCATTTTTATTAGATTTTTTTTTTACTTTCACTGTGAAAACACAAAAATATTTATTTCTTAGAAATTAATTTCTTTAGATCGACTTTCTAGTTCAGAAAATAATTATCGAATGATAAGAAATATTCGATGCTTCGCCTTTTATAACTTTCGGCCGCGACTCGCGAATTATTTATGCAGATGTGTTGAGTGTGTATAAGAAAGGACATAAATAAATCCCTACACTAACACACACATAGATGCATATGCAGGTACATAAACATTCACGAATCGCGATCAGTTTTTAATTACTCTTTAATTTGTTTTTAATTACGCGTAGGCGACAAACGGATGAAAACGAAATGACATGCACGTCTGATGCAGCTGGAAAATTTCTAGAATTTTCAAAATATTTATCTTGAATGACAGAAATAAATCATTACAAGAATACAAATACGCGAATGGAGTGTGCACTTTTACGAACAAGCCATCGTCTATTTCCTTAATTACTTTTTAAATGCTTGTAAGGAGATGACGCGGACAATACAATCAAATGGTTTTCGGGTGAAGCTGGGAATTCCCCAAATTTTCAGGATTCAGAACAATTGCTAATGGATCTAAAATTAATGTATGACATTCAAAGATGTTGATAAATCAAACATTTCAAAAGCAACGGTTTCGTACTACTTTACTTAAGATAACGTTCATGCTGTATATTTATTTCAAGATTTCTAAAAAGCTCGCGAGAAAATTTTTTTGCTAATGAAGAATGTAATGATGAATAAAAATGCTAATTTGTTTTGCTGATTTCAACATTTAACATGTTCAGAATTGCTGCATTTCAAATACTTTTAGTTCAATGTCATCTGTAGTATATAAAATGTCACCTGAAATAAAATAGTTAAGATTGTAAAATATTAAATACGATAATACGATTTTCTTTTTCAATAGATTTATTCACAAATTAAATATGACTTATTATAAGTATAAATGACAATTTTTATTATGAGTTCCGATGAATTTCAGAAATATTTATACAAGATCTTTGATATTCGAAAGATTTTTAAATAAGTAACGATTGAGAACATGTAAATGTTGTAGATAAATATAAAAACGAAAATTTCATTGAATGAAAAACTATTTAATTTTTATGAACTTTAATGTTCATTTGCACCAATATTTGTACGATTGTGTGATGATTTAGTGTTTTATTTTAATATGACGTTCAAGACCTGGTTGCCGTTGAAAGTGAAGTCCACATGTCAGGCATGTTCCTTTCCTGATTACGGTTTTTTGGGACTCTGCTTCTGATTCCGATGATTTGTTTTCAGATGATCCTTGAGAGGCGGAAGAACCTTCGGTCTCCTTATTTTCGGTAGAACCTGATGAACCTGATGAACCTTCATTATCTTTGTTTACAATGTCAACGGTAAGTGTGTCTTTATCTGCTTCCTTATTTCCAAACTCATTCAACTTGCTTCGAATCAATTCAATTTCGTCGTCTTTTTCTTTAATTATAGCAATTTTATCATTTAATTGACTGAGCGTAATACTTAATTGCTTTTGTGCTGATTCATATTTTAGATTAAAGCTTTGCTCAGTTTTCAAGAAGTTGTCCAGATGTTCGTTTTTCTTCGCCTCTGTTGAGGCATTTTTTGCTTTTTCCTTTTCCCTCAGTGCAACGATCTCATTGTCCTTCGCCTCAAGGATTTTTTTGAACTCATCAAATTTTTCATTGAAATTTGATCTCATTTCATTTTTCTCTTCGCCCACTTTCATCATTCTTCTCTCCTTTTCACGAATGGCGAGCTCTAAATCACGAAAAGCAATAGCGTAAATTTTTATGTCATCTTCCAACTCGACGACTTTATTTCTGCACTCTTCGATTTCTTGTTGTTTTTCGTTAACAATCCCGTTGTTGCCTTCGATTTCAGCTCGCATCTCAACATTTTCAGCTTTAAGTTTGCGTACTTCTTCTTGCAATTTCTTGATGATCTTGTCCTTCCCTTCTTGAATGACTCCTTGAGAGTCTGCTGGTTCTTTGACGCTCTTTTTTCCAGACAATCCTAACGGCTCCACACGATTTTTCATCCCATCACGATGTTCTATTAAAGTTTCTTCATCATTGATTGTAACTTTTCTACTTGCTTTTACTGTCGGTGTACTATTTACTGCCAACATCTTTGTTGATGTTTTCTGATACATTTTTGATTTTATTTTCTTTGGGATGCCTGATGAACTCTCCGGTACTGCTATTGGACTGAGTGGTAGTTGTCTTTCTAAATTCAAATCGACTGCTACATTTGTTTCAGATGATGAAGATGAAGAACTAGAAACTGTCATTTGGCAAGCTTGGAAGAAAAATTTCGTCCTGCTGACAAGATTGAACTTCGGAACTGTTTTTACCTTTTCTGCATTTTGCGCGAAGCAAAGTGTGTGATAAGTTTCATCAAGAACCGTTGGAGCCGCAGTACAAATCACCGAAGCATAAGAGTTCCCACCCAGTGCTGGTGAGAGAATTCTCGTCAGTTTGCATTCTCGAAAGTTGACGCGCTTCAAACTCGAATTTTTCTTCGCTAGCTCTCTGATGATTTTTCCAAGAACAAGAAGACTTTGGTTGATGTGCAGGCCTTCGTTGAATGTTGTTGTTGCTGACGCATCTGGTTTTTCACTACCAGCCAAATCCACTAAGAATAAATTCGAAGTACGTGAATCTTTCGCCTTCTTGTTTTGAGATTTGATCGTTATTTGGAAAATTGTATGCGATCGATTCGAGTCTTTGTTGGTTTTCGTCCCAGTCATTTTTTTGCATTTGTTTCCGACAGCAAATTGTTTCATGACTTCCTTTTCTGATACAGCCACGTACTCTTTTTGATTTACCAAGACGTGTCCATTGGATTCGAAGATGGAAAGTTCCGTTTTACCGTCTTCAAAGAGATCATAAACTTTGTCGTTATAAATCTCAATGTAGCCGATTTTCACGACGAATTCTCGATCCTTAGTTTCGTTGATTTCATTAAAAATGTCACGAACTGCCAATGGGATGATTCCAGGCATTTTATTCTTTCCAATCATGGTGTGAGTTTTTCCGCTTGAAGTTTGCCCATAAGCGAAAATGGTTCCATTATATCCTTTGAACGCTTTCTTGACGATTGGTTTTGCTAAAGCGTCGTAAACTTCTTCAGTAACAGCCGTGGATCCAAAGACGTGTTC